CGTGCATGCTGGGAAATGGAAGATGAGCCCCCTCGCCGCTGGCGCCTGCTCCTGCTGCCCCGTAGCTGCGTGAGGCAAACGGTTCACCATCTCTGCCCCCAGTATTCTCACCACTGACGCATCCTGAAATTCTGCTCAAGATGCTTGACCCAGAAGGGGCTGTGTGTATGTGTGTGTGTGTGAGAACCAGAAATGGACTCTGGCTTAGCACAATGTGGGAGCAGCCTTGCTCGAGGCGTTTATCCTTTGCCTTTTGAACTATCCCAGCCTTTGTGACGCAGTCCCCCAACCAATATTGTGATGCAGTTCCTCTGCACATAGAAATGCATTCAGAGACGGTACCCGCAAAATGCACAGCTCTGTGGAAACTACGTCAGTGCATTTCATTAGCCTTGCCCCAGCGACCCATGCACTGGCGACCTCTCGCTGGGATGACTGCAACGGGCCCTGTGTGGGGCTGCCTTGGAAGTGGTGCACGCGTTACAGCCGATACAGAACAGGGCAGCGGGGCTGCGTATGAGGACGGACTGCAGAGAGGACACCATCCCGTCCTCCGCCAGCTGCACTGCCTCTGGGCTCCAGGCCAGGCCAATTCAAAGAGTCGCCTTTGACATATAAAGGCCTAAGCGGCTTGGGACCAGGCCCCCAAGGGAGCCCCTCTCTCAGTATCTTCCTGCCCACCCACTTAGATCCTCCTCGGATCCCCTGCCCCAATCCCCCCCCCCCGCCAGTGCGATCGAGGGGAAAGGGCGGGAATTTCGGCAGGAACGATGGGACTCAGTCCCCAGGGACACATAGCTTGCAACCCTCTTTTTACTTCTAGACACGGGGTGAAAGTGATTTTGTTCAAACAAGCTTTTGGTTAATTTAATTTATTTAATGCATAATTTTATATCTTGTTATGGATTATTTAATTCTTGGTTTGTTAATTTAGGGATTGCATTTATCATGTTGTGTGGTGTGTACATTTTTTTCATGGGATGGTTTTATCTATTGTTTTATCTATTTTATCTGTTTTAATTATTTTATCCACTGTATTGTATGCTGTTTTTAGCATTTGTAAGCTACCCAGAGAACCTTCAGGTTAGGGGGCAGCACAGAAGTGCAATGAAATGGATGGATGGATAGATAGATCTAACTGCATCTGTCAGACCATAATCCATTGTGCATATCCTCGGACAGATGGGTGCAAAGTGCATATGGAGGACCATGCGGATGTTTCCAAATAAACTGAAAAGTGATGCAGAAACAGGACAAGACGGACTTAAGGCAGGGGCCTGGGGATGGGAACTTGGAATGGGCAGATAGGTCATTCCTGAATAGAGATTCCAGGCAGGAAATGATAGCGGACTTTATTCATCCATTTTCCCCATCAGAGTTTGGATTGATCAGGAATGGCCATATGTCCGACTTTGCAGAGGGCAGTCCTCTGCCTGGAAGCATCCTCTGGTCTAGCTGAGGACTATTCCTTCAGCTTGCCTATTCCTGCCCTTAAATGCTATTGGAAGGGAGAGCTGGGCTGCAGAAGGGACAGCCTGTCTATCATCTTTTCCCACTAGGCCGAGAGGGGCTATACGTGTATCTAAAGTATAATTGCTATTTCTGCATGTTCCCCCCCAACCCGCTGCCCCAGACTCACACCTTATGTTACATAGAAACATAGAAACAGAGCGAGCCCGAAGGGGCCTCCCGGGCCATCTAGTCTGACCCCCGGCTCCAGTCGGCTCTGCTCGCGACACGCCCACCACGTGCACGTCCAGCCTATGTTGTCCTAATGTTGCTGATGCGGTTCTTTTCCTGTCTTTCCCCAGCTAAGTTACACGCATGCTGCATTCCAAGCTGGGTGCTGGGCCACCCCTCCGTTTTCCAGGCCCTGTTCTCCCACTTTCTCTCTCCGCACTTCTGTGGGAATGGCACTTCTGAGGTGTGTGCTACTCACGTCAGGGGAGCTGAGTTGCGCTTGACGACCTTAAGCTTTTGCTGCCTGCTACATGACCAAGCCTCTTTCCTAGGAGTGAGTGCTAGCCGGCATTTCCATATGATGCCAATACTGATATTAATTATATACACATGAGACACCTTCTGGATGGTTTATGTGTTCCTCTGAAAATATAAAGCATATAAACAGATGGGAGGCAATCTTATTTATTTATTTGTATATTTATTTATTTGCCACCCAACTATTACAACAGGAATCTCTAGGTGGCTTACAGCAAGTAAAATTACAAATATTTAAACAATAAAACCAATCATATATAAAACAACAACGATTTAACAATTGCCATTTTAAATTGTATCAAATGAGGGGGATAACCATATACAACAAGACATAAGAAGCAATTTTAAATGAGTTATTAAAATACCTGGAGAAGAGGAATGTTTCCATCTGGCACCAGAAAGAGAGTGGTGTTGGCACCAGGCAATTTCTCTGGGGAGCCTGCTTCTTAAATGGGGGGCAGCCACCAAGAAGGCCCTTCTTCCATTTTCTATTCCTCTCACCTCCTTGAGGGATGGCTCTTTCAGAAGGGCCTCCTGCCTAGATTTGAATGGGTGGGTAGGTACAATTAGGGGAAGGCAGTCCTTCGGGTAGCCAGATCCTAAACTGTTTAAGGCTTTGTATTTTAAAACAAGCACTTTAAATTGGGCCTAGTCTTCAACTGGCAACCAATGTAATGTATATAGAATTAGTGTTATGTGGGCCCACAAATTGGCACCTGGTTTTGGACCAGCTAAATTCTCTGGAACAGCTTCAAAAGCAGCTCCATGTAAAGCCCATTACAGTAATTTAATCTGAATGTTACTAGCACATGAGTACCTGTGGTCAGGCTCTGTCTGTCCAGGTAGGGGCAAAACTGATCCATTATACATCCTGCGTTGGCAGCAAGTACCATGAGCATCTCTTCCTTGCAAGGCTGGGGGCGGCTGCCGCCTCTTGTCAAGTGTGTGTCGGATGGCAAGCCCAGGTTTCTTTTTGCGTAAGGTGTACGGCTGTCCTTTGTGGGAGAGAAAAAAAATCTGCTTGGGACCCCTCCCGTGTCGCTACTAAGAAAGGAGTTAATGGGCTGGTGGAAGGCATTTATTGTAGGTCAAACAAATTAGAGAGTATTTGCTTGAATAGTCATCTGTCTTAAAATATATGAATCGGTTAAATATAAATAAATTGGTATGTTGCCCATGGGTCCCTTTTTCAGATGCTGAGGAAAATGAAAACTAATTTTTAATTTAATAAATAAAAGCTACCACTTAACGAGAAGGAAAGGCTGACATAAATCTTTTCTGTTTCATTTCTTAACACAGCAGAACCAAAATAGTTGGGGGGAAAATAAACAAGTGTGACTTTCATTCTCAACCTTGCCAATTAAAAGGACCTCACAGGATAAATTCAACCTGTCATTGATTAATCCATCTTAACCTTTTTATTAGCATTTCTGTCTAACCTGTGTCTGCTGAGATGAGCCTCTACATTCATTTCACAACTTCTTCTCAGCATCTTGGATTCATCTCTTTGCAAATGAGAACAAAATTTGCTCTGCTTCACACGTAGGAAGGACGGTTAAAACCAAAAGGGGTGGTGAGGCGCTCCAGAGGGAACTCTCCAGGTGGGGAGAAGGGCCATCAGTGTGGCCGTTTCTACACAAGCAGGTGTGGAGTCCTGCCGGTGGGGGCAGAGCATCCCAGGATCAAGCATATGCGGCAGGATCTGAGCTGGCAGTGGCCAGGCAAGCCAGGGGCCTGGGGCAGAGGGAAGAACCTCAATGAAGATGTCAGGCCAGTGTGCCGATGCTGCGAAAAAGGCCAGCTCCACGCTAGGCATAGTTAGGAATGGAATAGAAAACAGATCTACCCAGATCTTACTCCCCGCATACAAATTCTTGGTACTTAGAATATTGTGTCCAGTTCTTGTCACCTTAAACCTTTTTATGTTATTGGTTGGGAAAAGTGCAGAGGAGGGCAAAGAGAGTGATCAGGGGCTGGAGCGCCTCTCCCACGAGGAACGGCCATGATGATTGAGACTGTTCAGGGCAGGAAAAAGGTGAGGGGAGATGGGATAGAGGTGTAGAGAGGGAGAACTTTTTTCTCCCTCTCCCATAACACTCAAACCCGGGGTCAACCCATGAAGCTGACTGGTGGGAGGTTTCGGACAGATCAAAGGAAGTCCTTCTTCACACAGCGCAGCCAAACTGTGGAATTGGCTGCCATGCGAGGTGATGATGGCCACCAATCTGGATGGCCTGAAAAGGGGATTGGACAGGTTCGTGGGGAACAAGGCTATCTGTGGCCATGTGCGTCCTCCTTTTCCAGGGGTGGCCTGCCTGCATACACCAGTTTCTGAGAAGCAGGGAAGGAGGTCTTGCACCTGAGGTCTCGCTTGAGGTGACTCAATGGGCATGGCAGGAATTGAGGCACAGAGGTCCTCCCCAGCTCATTCCTTTCCAGGAAGAGTGACCCCATTTGATGTCAGTGGTCCACCTGGATACCGCTCAAGGCCAAAGAGGAGCACCTCGGTCAGCAGTCCTAGCATTTGGCCAGGCTTGTGCAGAGGAGCATTATGTTGAGTACACGTCTTCACACGTGCAGTTGTTTCCCAGGTGTGCTCACCTGGATTGCCCAGAGCCTGCCTGCCTCTGGATGTGCCCCATGAACAGAAATAGCATCTGCCCCAGCAGTTCCGGTGCTTGTACTCACACTCGAGCTCAGGTGCAAACGGTGTCTTTGCATTTGGGAAGCACACGTACGGGGTGTGTGCACATGCAGGGGTTCATGATATGGAGACTCCCCAAACGGTCTGGCACACTTGCGTCATGGTTCCCAGTTAAAAGATCTCAGGTTGGACTGCTGGGAAGGAGATCCCTGAGACTGTGGCAAAGCAGGCTGTACCAGGCAGCCTTAACTGTGTCCCTCACGGGGACGTAGGTGCTGAGCTCCTCCGCAGGCAACCTCGTGGTGTCTCCGCCCCTCTGTCCACTCGCTCATCTCCCTCCCCTTCTCTTTATTCCCAGACAGCTGCTCCCCCTGGGCTTGCCAGATGAATTCACGTTGGTGATCACCCTACTCTTGAAGAAGCAGACCACCAAAGAGAACTGGTACCTCTTCCAGGTTACCGACCGTCAGGCTTACCCGCAGGTACATGCCCCGGCCCTTGAGGGCTCTTCCTCTGCTTTCATGCACCTGTGCTTTCCACTGAGGTCGACTTTGGCCAGCTACCTGTCTTCCTCCTTTCACCTCCAACTCCAGCCTTACCTGGTTAGCACTGCTTAACAAGCCATGTGATCTGTACCTTGCCTTTTCTTAAAGGCTAATGGTGCCAGCGAGCCTCTCGGAGGTCAGAGGTTTCGGGAATAAAGTCGCCTTCCAATGCAGGGTGGGTGGTATGGTGTGCACATGCTCCAGTGTGCCCCTGGACATCTCTGTTGCTGCCCCCAAGGTGCTGGACCCCTCCCATTTAGAAAGGGGGTTCTTACGTAGAGCTCTGATTGCCCCGAAGCGGAATGAGGGGCTGCAGCCATGACAAACATGGCCATGAAGCCAGTGGGTGTCTGCAGGCAGGTGCTTCCCCTCTAGTATGCCCAGCCAAGAAAGAAAAGGACAGAAAAAAAATGAGTATCAGAAAGATTTTTTTTTAAGTGGAGGGATGAGTTCCTGGCAGAGGGTGCATGAGAAAAAGATGTAATTTCATCTTTTTAGCAGTGAAGAGCTGGTTGTGTCTCCACTGATGCTGCTTGGGGCGGCGGGGAGGACCGGAAGCCATGGCGATGACGCCACCCTCCGGCTTCAGAACCAGACCTCACAGACGACCTGGCTGGTCCCGCAGTGTGCTTCCCCATGGATAGTGCCCCAGGGGCTGTGCTGGGCTGGGCCAAGCCCTTTCAGAACGCATCCGCCAGCCTCTGCAGGCGCCCTCTCATATGCAACCCAGGCCTGCAAAGCGAGCCGAGCCAGGAGGGGCTGCAGGATGCAAGAAAGGTGCCGTCAATGGGTGCACCTGGCGCCTTTCTTGGAGACCCGCCGTCTTCCCCACCTGCACCGTTGCCAGCGCCCCCTGTGCTCGGGGAAAGGGTGCTGCTTGCGCAGCATGTGGGGCTTGATTCCTGGCAAGCACCCCACAAACCCTGGGCAGCGGAGCCCAGGGAATCCGAGGGACGCGCAGGCCGAAGCAGCTCCTGCGCCCACCCCTAGGCCGAGCCCTCCAGTCTGATGCCCTTGCGTGGCCGGGGCAGGGCGGCCAGGGGCTGGAGGAGGCGGCTCGGCCACAGGTGGCCTGCCTGGGGCTGACTTCAGGCGAGTGCAGAACACTGCCCCAGTGCTGCTGTTGAAGGACTACTCCAGCGCCAGTCTAGCCAGCCTTTGGGGCGAGGTGGTCTCGTCCTTTGCTCCAGGGAGCCGGATGCCTCAGGCTAGTCCTGCGATCCCAGATGTTCCAGGAGCTTCCTCGAAGGATGACTCTTGAACCATCACATCTCCTGCAACATTTGGCTGAGGAAAAGAGCCGGGCCACCCCTGTGCCCTGGAGAACAGCTGGATGGAACAGGTGCGGCCTTCTGCTGGCACGAGCACAAAAGCAACTGGGGTGGGGAGAACTCAGCAGCTTTGGGGAGCGGGGTGTTCGTGTTGAGCTGTTGCTATACAGTCAGAACAAAGGCCACACCCCTAGAAAATAGGATAGAATTCACCCCTTTGTTCCCCTCAGTGTGATAACAGCCTTTTAATATGTCTTTTTTAACAAAGTTGGATGCGAGAAGAACTGCCCGCGCATCGTAGCTTGCGATGTAAGTGGGATTCGGTGCTCGGTCTTGGTAGAATCTCACCGTTCCATCTGGGCAAAGAACAAGGGCTCCTCTCACCTGCTGCTGCAAGCCAGGCCTCTCTCTGCTAATGGCACTGCCTGTGCCCGCCACCTCTCCACTTCCCCTCATGCCTTTGCTCTCTGCCTCTCTTTCTAGAATCCTCTTTTAGTCAGCGCCGTCTCCTTTCGCCCCTTCAGCTCTCCCTGATGATCAACAGCAAAGAGCGGAGCCTGGAGTTCCGGGCCAAGGGCCAGGACGAGGAGTTTGTTGGCGCAGTTTTCACGGGCAAGGGGATCTCCTCCCTTTTTGACCTGAAGTGGCACAAGATGACCCTCAGCGTCCAAAGGCAGGTGGTCTCGGTGCACATCGACTGCAGCTACATCTCATCCAAGCCGGTGCAGCCCCGCCAGTGGCTGCTCAGTGAAGGCAACGCGTTCATCGGACTGGACGCCACGCAGGGCACCCCTGTCTCGGTGAGCTGCGGTGGGGCTTCCTGGTAGGGTGCCCCGTGGCCTCTTTCAGAGAGGACGGTCCTCTCTGAGAAGTGCTGCCAGAGGAAGCACCTGGGTCTTCTGTCGGAAGTGCTGTCGTGCTGTTCCATTTTGCGGACAAGCACCCTAGGGATGGCGCAGGCCATCTGAGGCTCGTCTCCCGCCGTGGCTGGTGCTGAGGAAGCATCTGCTCCAGAACAGGCATTCCGGCCCGGCTGGCTCTCCAGGAGCTGCACAGGCTGCTTCCCTGGCCAGCAGGCTCTCCAAATGGTGCCTGGCCAGAGAGCCCTGGAGACACCACCTTGCTCCAGCAGCGCCTTGGTGGAGAGCTAGTGGCAGGACCCTCCTGAGGCCCTGCTGGAGCAGGCCAAGGCAGGGGGAGGGCAGAATTGACTGCCCCTTCTGCTCCGCCACTTGAAGCGAGCCACCGAGCATGGCTGGTGAGCTGCATTCGTCCTGGTGGGTCATCGAGGTGCCCCGTGTCTTACCTGATGGAGGACAGTCCTTCATCTCTACAGTTCTCTGTCTGACAGTGTCCTTGATTTGAAGGGCTGCCAGGACCAGGCTTGGTCTGAAGAGAAAGAACCACCTGAAGGCAGAGCCGCAGTGCCTTGGAGTTGCCCAGCCGCAGCAGCGCCTGCTCAGCAGACTGGTGCTCCAGGGCAGTCTCCCAGGCAGCCGTGTTCTTGCTACAGTTCTTGTTATGCATTGATGCCTACGCATTAAGCGCATGCACATGTTAAGCTAGCCCTTCCCTCTTTTCTGGGCAATGCATTTCCTTCATTTGGGCAATATTTACGTGGCTGTAAGCTGCGTTCCCCTGATTTTGGAGCTGGTCGTGATGGAACTGCTGGTTGTGATGGGCCACAAAAGGACTAGGGAAATGGCTGGACGTGTCACCCGGGGGGTTGGGGGTCCCAGGCGAAAGATCAAGAGGTCAGAAAGTGGCGTCAGAGCACTGCCTGGCAGTGCATGGGCGGGTGGAGCGCAGGGAAGGGTCTGGCTGGCTTGCTGCACACGCTTATTCAGCAGGCCCAGCCAATGGGGGACAAAGCCAAGAAAAGGCCCATCAGACTGTTGTTGTCCCGAAGCATGAGGCTTCTGGAGCCGAGAGAGTGATATCATGGAGCGTAGCCTCAGGATCCAGTGGGCCTGCCAATTCTTAAAAGACAGCCTCTCATTCTGGGACTAGAGTTTGGCCTGGCTGTGAGGGATGCGATCAGAAACATGATGGCCAAGAAAATAGTGAAACTGGGATTGGCGTGTTTTTCCTCCATTTTGGAGGAGGATTTCCCCCTCCAAAATGTTTCTACTGGGAATTGTAGTGGAAATTTGGGGAAGCACTGGTGGAGGACAAGCTTTAGCACAGTGCGTTCTTTTTCAGAATTTTTTTTCTTTTCAGTAGAACTTTTAAAGTAATAGAGCTATGGAGTCTTTGCAATCTGAGACTGAAGGTGCCAAGATTTAGAAACAAAGAAACATAGAAACAGAGCGAGTAGGAAGGGACCTCCCAGGCCATCTAGTCTGACCCCCGGCTCCAGCCTGCTCTGCTCACAACACACCCACCATGTGGACGTCCAGCCTATCCTTGAACACCCGCACCGATGGGGCCTCAACCACCTCCCGTGGAAGCCCATTCCACACCCTCGGGGTCCCAACCGTCAGGAAGTGCTTCCTGGCATCCAAATGGAACCTTGGCTCCCTGAGCTTCGCTCTGTTGGAGCGCGTCCTGCCTTCCTCTGCAGGGGAGAACAGGTCTCTACCCACCTCCGTGTGACACCCCCTCACATACCTGTATGTCGCCAACAGATCCCCTCTGAGTCTCCTCTTCGCCAGGCTGAAGACACCCAGTTCCCTCAGTCTCGCCTCATACCCCATTCCCTGCAAACCGGCCACCAACCTTGTGGCCCTACGCTGCACTGACTCCAACCTGGCTATATCCTTCCTGTAATGAGGGGCCCAAAACTGAGCACAGTGCTTCCATTTAAAAATGCTGCTCTGCAATCTCCTGAGTCAGAACCACAAAACCTGAGCCAAGGGCCAAATCTTAAGACGTGGCTGGAAACCGGATATCGGATATCTGGTGGAATAGGGAGAACGGGGCAGGTCCTCCTATTTGCTCGGGCGATTGGCTCAGTTTCTGCCAGGACCCGAAGAGCCTGGGATCCGCCTCTCCGTGCCTGCAGGGGGGCCTCTTCCGCTCTACCCTTTACCCGGCTTGTTTGTTCGCAGTTTGACATCCAGCAGCTGCACATTTACTGTGACCCGGCCGTGGCGATGCACGAGGGATGCTGCGAGATCTCCGACAGTGGGGTGAGCGATACCGGGGGCGTGCGGTGCCTCGCAAGTGCTATTGATACCTGTGTTTCTCATCTTGCTGTTGCATCACTGGGACACTTACCCTCAAAAGCAAATACACGGCCTTTCCAGAGTCAAAATGAGCCTTGTCTCTGAGCTACCCTTTGATTTGTTTCTGCAATTGTGTATCAGGTCCCCCATCCAAAACTGCAGGCAGCAGGAAACATGGGCGGTGTTTTGAATCACTGTTGTGCTTTGCATGCTCGTTAAAAGTCCACATTTGTGGGGGGGGGGGTCTAAAGATGTGACGGAGTAGCACTGGCTTGAATCTGTGACTATGTGCTTTTTTGCTCTGGAAGCAAAAGATCGTATGCATGCATGCATGCATGTATTTAGAGCATGTTTACTGTGCTCCTCTGCCAAAAAGTCTAATTGCAGCTAAATCGTAAATGAAGGCAGCCCCCCACCCCCACCCCCACCCGGCCATCCACAGGCTTTCAAGTGAAAAGGATGGGGCACTCAAGGAAGAGGGGAGGGGGAGGGGGAGGGGAAGAGCAGAGGTGGTGGAAGGCACAGTGCAGCCTGCGGGAGCGGTTGCTGGAGGCAGACGCTGAGGAGCAGGGACCTTCCCAAGGCGGTCTCCGAGGGTGGTGGGATGGCCCCAAGCCCCCCTCCGCTCCTTCAGTGCAGACTGACGGGCAACCCCAGATGTACCCTGTCCACACATCACTCAGCAGACTCTCCCCTTTTACAGACCCCCGAGGCAGGCAGCCCAGAAGGGGTGGCGCCCTGGCCCCAAGTCCTTCGCAACGAGCCCAGGACATCTCAGTTCTGCAGCACTTCACGGTGTTGACTCACCCACATTCCTTCCATTCTTTCTGCATTTGGACAGTGTTTTCCCGAAGCCTCTAAAACCCGCCGGGATGTGGAAGTCATGCAAAGCAATGACCTGATAGAGATCAACCCCCAGACGGAAGGCAAGGTCTACACACGCTGCTTCTGCCTGGAGGAGACTCAGAGCAAGCAGGTAAGAGGCACAGGAATCAGCCCTGGCTCAAATCTGACCTCTGCCACAGATGCGCTAGCTGGCCTGAGGCGAGTTGTGCACCACCTCGCGCCCACCTGCAAATAGGAAACACTGGCCTACCTTTCAGGGTCATCGAAAGGGAAACGCTTGCCAGTGCCACGTAAAAGCTTGTGGGTTGTGGTTCCCAAACTTTTGGGACATCCAATTCACTGAAATCGGACTAGAGACTGGGGAGAGCTTTGTCCCATTTGGATTGCACTGTTGGCTTATCTGTGTTCACGCTTTTGACAACTAAAATTCCAGCATCCTTCACATCTTGCATTTCGACAAATGCTGCAATGGAGTTTCCAAAATGCTTATGGAAAGGTACATATTAGGTGAAACATCAGTCGATGTTCCACCTGGCTTGCTTCATTCTCAAGCACCCTCATTCTTACCTATTCTGGTGAGGGGCCTGGAAGAAGCAATCTCTGGCCCCAATCCACACCCATGCAGTGCTACAGCTCTTTCCCCCACACTGTGCAACTTCGCCAGCTTTGGCCAGCCTCACCTTCCTGGCCAACGTTGAAGTGGCCCCCACTTTCAACAGGTGTGCTGCCACATCATTTCTGAGTCAGGGCAGCCCTCCGAGTGCGGGCCTCCGAAACGTCTTGCATTCATCCTGGATCCCACTCCGCTCAGAGGACAACATCAGCCACCAATTAAAGCGCGTGTGGCCAAACCTACCCTGCCCACCAAAGCCGGTTCGACTAGCCGTCGCAACGCTGCTTCGGCAAGAGGCAACGCTCGGCGTGTGGGCGAGCTTCTGGTGGGGCTGAGGAATATCGCCCAACTGCTGAGGGACATTGTCAAGTTGGGTTGTTGGTGCCAGGTCCCGTGACTTTACTTCCGGAGGCTTGCTACTTCCCGCCAGGACATCAGCCCCAACGTGCATGACCCATAGGGAGACGGAGGAGAAGCCGTGCCCCTCCCGGAGCACCAATGATCTCCAACAGCACCAGGGAAGGAGCAGTAGCAGTGGTGGGGCACATGCCCCATCAGGAGTGCTGTGGCTGATACGAGCATCTGCACATGAAAGCCGAAGAGGTCCCACGCCTGTCCGCACAGCAGCGAAGGAGCCGCCCACAGGTCCCTCCGGCGGGACAGAGGGGCGCTGGCACTGCTGGCGTCCACAGGGGCCCTGCCTCTGATTCCAGCAGCTGCTTTGCACAGGCATAATCCACAGTGGAGGAAGCCGAGATTTAGCGTGGCGCCTCCGACGGAAGCCTCGGTGGATGTTCCGCCAGCTCTGCCGTTGGGGAATGGTTGGGGCAAGCGTCAGGCAGGGCAGCATCCTGAGGCTGATGCAAAGTGGAGTCTGTCTCAGGAACGAAGACTGGCGAGGCGCCTTGTCAGGGTGAAAAATGCATGTGCCTCTCAGACACGGGGGCATTCCCCCCTCTGTGGCTCAGAGGCGACTGTCGCCAGGAGTGTCCCTCTCCAGCACCGCTGGCGGGGGCTGACATGGAGTCAGGCAAGGCGAGTTCTGGTCCCCACTCCACCAGGGAGCTCACTGGGGACTTTGGGCCCGTCACAGATTCTCGGCCTATCCTACCTCGCAGGGCTGTTGCTGCGAGGACAGGGGGAAAGCCGCATTGCCCATCTGTTTCTGGCTCAGTTTTGATCCCCCTTCTGGACAGATGGGATTCGCTGGGGAACACTGGGGCTGGATGCAGTGGGACCCCTCAGGAATGCATGCTCAGGCAAGAGCGACTTCATGAGGAATGGGCTGAGGTCACCAAGCAAAAACCTTCCTCTTCCTCTTCCAGCTCAGGACCCCATTCTTGTCAGTGAGGGCAAACCCACAACTGGGTCCAAAGGAGATTCTCCTCCTTCCTGAAATCTCACCTGCTCTGCCCCTCAAGCTCTGGGCAAGGGCCCTTCCCGTGGGGCCAACGTGGGGGAGGCCATCAGCTGCGAGCATCGTCTGCAGCTGAGAGTGAGGCTGTTGTCCAGATGGCCAAGGCTGCCAGGACGGCCTGCAGCTGGAGGAGCAAGCAGGGTGCCTGGCAGCCGGCCCCACGGCCCCCTTTGTGGGTGGGGAGGAAGTCCCAGCTCTCTGTCCCTAAGCACTGCTGCCTGCATGGGGCGGGGGCGAGGGGCCACCTGGCCATGGGCTGGCCCAGGGTGATGCTGCGTCTTCTCTGCTGTCTTCCTAGGAGGAGCTGAGGGGCTCGGGGAAGGCTGCTGTGAAAGGTGATCAAGGAGAGAAGGTGAGCCACCCAGTGGAGCTTTTATGTTGTGTATTTTGTGGGGACTGGGACCTTCAAACCACCTAGGTAAGAAAACTGGTGTAGCACAGCAGCCACGACGCTCCTGTGAACCAGTTCGGAAGTCCGCTGGATCTCCCCTTTCCTTGAACCCTCCGGGTGGCCCCTGGCAAGGTGTTCTCCCTCCCAGTCCCCATTGGTCATATGGGGAAGAGAATGCCGGCCTACCTCATAGGGAGGGTGCTTGTAAGGTAAGACTGGGGCAGCCGGAGCCCTCTGGGTCCTGGTGGACTGCAACTCCCATGCACCTTGCCAGCATAGCCCATGCTGAGGGAGCCTGGAAGAGGCAGTCCAACAAATACCTGGAGGGGCACAGGTTCCCCGTCACGTTGCTCAGTTCACCACAGGAGGACATGCTTTGGGTACAGCAAGGCAGGTTGGAGGAGCCGCGAAGCCGCCCGGCATTTTTGAAATTTCATCCAAAATTTTGGCATTTTCAGAGCACATTTTTTAATAAGACACTTTGGATTTTATTTTATTTTAATGGAAGGATCAGCATATAGATGTTCACACTTTTTCAAGGCAGCCTAACTTGGGAGAGCTTTTTGAGAAATGCCTGTTTTTCCACCCGCAGTTTGCTTCGCTGCTGCCTGCCAGACTTGCAGAGGGTCAGGATCAAAACCCTGCTTGTTCTCACTTAGCGTGTGACACTTTGGGCTTCCTCAGCATTAATCTTTTCCTAGAGGGCTCACAGTACACAGTTTCTTCTGAGGGCGTCTTTGTATGTTCCAGACTCCAGAGCTATCAGTGCCTCCAAGGAGACTGGCAAACCTGCCGTGCCCTGGAGCTCATGCAGGTGCTCCAGGATTGCAACCTGTGGATTGCATGGATGCTGTGATTTGGCTGCTGAGGGGGACACCATAGCTCCTCTGAGGTCAACAGCTCTCCTGAGCCCGCTGAATCTCCAGCTGAGATTCAGAAGAGCTTCCCTGGAAGCTGGTTGGGTGGGTGTGCTTAAATGGAGACGTGCATCGGAATGAAAGTGATGGTCTGTGCCTCTCCAAAGAACGAAGGACATCTAGATTTGAATATGCCTCCAGAGCCAGATCCCAAAGTGCATCTGATTTATGCCTGAGGATAAAAGGTGTGCTGTGGAGGATCTGTGGAGATCAGAGTCAGAAAAGCAGAGCTGTGCAGACAGGAAGGAGCGGTTTCGCAACCCCTCACCGTGCACCTTGGTTAGAGATGCTCAGGGGAAGAAAAACACCTCTCCAGTGTTTATAAAGGAGGGGTTTCTATCAACAGTGTGTAAATTAACATTCGGAGCCGCTCTTTCACCTGCCTTGGTGCAAGAAAACCGCAGCAGCTCTTGGACACTTCAGCCGGAGGCCTGATTTGGGTTTCTTTAGATCTTCCTCTCCCACCGGAAGCATTTCATACTTAGCTGCTTTGGCAAAAGGAAACAGTGGTTAAGCCGCAAACCCTCGCATATACTGCAAGCCTTTGGCGGTACCCAGGCCTTTGACAGGGAAAAGGAGCGTGATCAATTTCTTCCAGGCAGTTGAGTTCCCCGCCACCTTGGGAACAGCCCAGTGCTGCACGAGTCTAGTCCGAAGCAAGTCCTGTGGCGCTCAGTAGCCGCAGACTTTTCTGCACTGTTGCAAAGCGCCTGGCTTGCCTTCAGTAAAAAGCTAAGAGGAGGAGAAGGACTTGAGCCAAGCACTTCAGCAGGGAATTGGTGGAAGTATTTCCCATTCCAGATCCTCCATCTTAGCATCTTTACCATGAAAACTGTGTGTGGGCCGGCGGCGGGTGGTGGTGGGAGAATCCTAATGTTTAATCATTTGTTCTAGTGCCCTTTATCTAGAATGTCACAGCAGTACATAGGCCAAGAATGAGTGACCAATAAATGGAGGAATGGATGTTGGGCTGATACCCCCTTAAGCAGTCAAATATATATATTGAACTGCTAAACCCACATGCGTGTTGCATATGAACAAAGCAGTTCTTCTGAAGAAAAATGTCCCTATGTTTCAGAGGACTCACACATGTCATCTTAGAAGAGGCATTCCCTGACAGAAAGAGGAATGCCTCTTCTAAGAAGGGGACACCCTGCCTGCAGTTTCATAAGCACATCATAAGAGCAGAAGAAAAGCCCTGCTGCATCAGGCCAGCGGCCCACCCAGTCCAGCCCTCCTTCACATCATGACAAACCAGCTGCCCACAGGATCCTACATGCAGAATGGGTGCAAGACCCCTGCTTGCCCAAGCCCCCAGCAGCCGGTGAGGAGACACCCAAACTTGGGTCAAAAGTCAGTCACACTTTGTAAAAAAACTGCAGTCAGTTCACTGCAGTATCTTTTGAACAGGGTGAAAAGTCTTAAAGCCATGAATCCAACCAGCAGTAAACACTGGGATTTACTTCCACGTAGATATGGGTAGTGTTGTGCCATAAATGTTGCAGTCCTGATTACGATGTGCTTTCCCTTCCATTGCTCTAATTGCCTTCTTGTTTATTTTCAGTGTCCCCCTTGTCCGCTGAGGTCACCACATGCAAATGTAAGTTAAGATGTTAATACAGCATTAATTTTCTAGGGAGCTTTGGAGTAGGTGGTTCAACGGATCCTCCAGCTGTTGGCTGGAGATGGAAATTGTTGCTGATTGTAGTTTCAACCACAAAGGCAGGTCCGCCAGCTTCTTTTGACTGTTTCACTTCTTCCCAGGAGTCAGGCATACAGTTCCTTGTCCTCTCATGGACCTCTGGAGGTGGCCGCATGCTTGTTGCAGTGGGATCCATCATTGATCAGCACAAAGAAAAAGGCCTCTGCAGGTAGCACAGGAAGAAGTTAGTCCGAAAGAGGCACTTGACAGAGTTAGAGCTCGAGAAGGCAAGCAATGTCGAGAACAAGACGAAAACCCTTCGGGTGTCTCTGGTTAACAGAGCTGGAATGGTGTGCTAGTTTGGAGGCTGGACTGGGGACCTGGGAGAGCTGGGTTCTGGTCCCCACTTGGCCATGAAGCCCCCGGGTGGCTTTGGGCCAGTCCCTCACTCTCGGCCCAGCCTGCCTCACAGGGCTGTTGCTCTGAGGATAAAATGGAGCGCTGGAGGCTGCCTGGGGTCCCTTGCAAGCAGGAGAAAAATGGGCATAAATGCAATGTGTCAGCAGCAATAGCTCCTTCAGAACTGGGGTCTGTTTCCCAAGCAGCTCTGCATCTGAATAAGGGTGGGAGAAGAATTTGTTCAGCTCACATTTAGTGTCAGTTTGCCTACTTTCACACTGTTGAACCAATTCAGAAACTGAAACTCAGTTATCCTGTCAGATGTGCGCATCCCCAGAATTTGCAATGCAATTTTGTATATTAGGGAAGGTGCCCACACAAATGCAAATATTTGTAAAGTTCAAAATATTTGGAAAGTTACTTGCAAAGAAATGTGTATATTAGGCAAAATTGCTTATAAAATGGATAATCAGGAAAGAATTCACACAAAACATCATGTGACTTGTTCATGCAAACTTTGAAAACTCATCTCAAGGTCCTGTGTGAACGAAAATTAAGACTGGAAAAATGAGAAACCAGACTTGACATGTTTGCCTGTGCCAAGATTTGAACTGTGCCTCCACAGGCATCAGTCCTAGAATTTGTTTCCAGTACCGGTTCTGCAACAGGAAGCATGAGAAGTACTAGCAGAGGCTGGAGCACCTCTGAGCATATACGGCCTGCCTTCCCATTCCACTGAGGCCGGTTTCCATGTATCTGGAAATGGAGGAAGACTTCCTATCTAAGTCAAGGACACTGGATTTCCTGCTCAGCCCCCTGTGCTTTTAACAGGCTCCTGGCATGCAGGAACGGGCAAAGGACATTCATATTATTGCTCCAGATGCTTAGTTTCTTTGTGTTGGATGGGTGATAAAGTGACCAAAGGTAGCCCTGGAGTGAAAACAGATGGTGGCAGTCCATGGGTATGTAAACCAAGCCGAACTGAAACCCCAAAATAAAATAAAAATATCCAGGAACTTTGCTAGTATCAAGGGTACAGTTAGAATGATCCTCCCTGGAATCTGGCCCTCTTCAAAGCCAGGGATGACCTTTGCAGAGGAGGGATGCCACTCGCTTTCAGGGAGCTGAACTGGCAGGCAAGAAAGGGCCACAGTCCACACTCAGCCCTCAGCAAGTGGGGCCGAGGACTGAGAACGCCCTTGGGAACCTGGTCCCCTTCACCTTTCTTTTTTCAAATGCATTTTATCGGGGATCAACTGCCGTTTTATCCCACTTTTCAGACAATTGTATCCAGAAGTGCTGCAGATCCATTAAATTAAGAGGGGAGAGAGAGGCCCTGCCCTCCAGCTCACAGGCTGAACTGCCAAGATGCTGGGGGGAAGGGGAAGGAGGGGACAGGAGGAGGAGGGAGTCCGTTTTGGGCCTTTGGGACCATTCTCCAAGTGGGACGGCTCCAGCTCCCGTCAGTGGAATTGCCGTGCGTAAGCTTGGGGAGGCGGCTGCCATGAACTCCCGCCGGAGGGATATTGCAACCACCGGCCGCTCCCACCCCTGCAGGCAGGGCCTCTGGTGCCCTCCCCCTCGGCAGCCCAGCTCCGCCGACTCAAAAGGCTGCGTCACCTCACCGAGGCCATCGATTCCCTCAGCAGTTCACGGGGTCGTTCATCGCAGCAGCAGCCTCTTCCTTGGCACCGGGCTTGCCACCCATCCTCCGCCGCAGGTCTTCTTGCCTGTCCCATCTGGCTGGATTTCTGGCTCCGTGTGTGCGTGTGGGCGTGAACTCGCAGGCAACATGTGCTCTCCGCGAGGCACAGTCTCTGTCACCCCCCGCCCCATTCCCCCCACTTTCTCTTGTTCCTTTTGGCTTGCATCCTCTGGAACATCTGGATAGCTGCAGAGATCTCGGATGGCTTCCAGATGTCAGCCAGGGTTCCCATGGCAACCGCTTTGGCATGTGGGACCACGGAGGTTGAAGCGGGAGGAAGAGGCACTGCATTGGAGTGTCTCTTAGCATTTTGCACTTTCCCCTTTCCTTGTTTACCCTGGGGGCCGCCGAGCAGCCGCACAGGGGTTTGGAGGCAGAGTCGCTGCAGAGGAGGAAGGCACGGAGTGGTGTCGCGGTGCCCTGGCTGGTGTCCCTTTCAGCCACGAGCCCAGAGTGCACCGATGGCCCTGCAGCCTGAGCCCTCGCCTTGAACTGTGTCCTGTGCAAAGAATGGAGCACGAACACGGAGCAGCCTCCTGCTGAGCCGCCCCATCAGATCTATCTAGCCTTGCACCCTAGGCACTGCTGGCAGCCGCTCTCCTGGGTTTCTGGCAGAACGCTTTCCTAGCCTATCCTGGATCAAAGCCACAGCGCCAGCATGGGGCTCTGGCCCTTCCCGTACTCGGAGCGCCCCTTTGTCACGCCAGGCAAGCGTGAAGTTTCACACCCTCCTAGTGGAGAACCACACACAGTGTCAGGCTGCGCCTGAACCGGGCTTTGCGTGCAGGTCACAGGTGCCGAGGGTCTCCCACTTTCCTCTGCTGTATTAGAGGGCATGCCCCTCCCCAAAGGGACCCGCAGCTAAAGCAGCCACAGCCCATAATGAACATCACTGGCTGATGGTGCAGAAACAGCATCTTTGGGTCTTTGTTCTTCGAATGGCTTTGTGTTTGCTCCTCCCGGCCCATCGCTTGAATCATGGGATGGTGCGGTCAGATATTTGATGCAGCATTGCTTTTATTGTGAGTGTTTGGCCGACTGCATCACACTTTCTCTCCGAATCTGAGCACACCGCCTCTAAGCTGGAGGCTTTCCTGACAGTCGTATCTGAGCGAGGCTACGCTAGGATTCAATGGCAAGCAGAGGGATGCAGTTTGAACTTGCTCAGGGACACCCTTTTCTTTCTAGGGCACGGGTGCTGGCAGCCTCCATGATAGGGCCCATCTTCCCCCTCACAAACTGAGCCCCAGGCAGCCCCATTCCAGCACTGTCTGGGGTGATGCTTCATGCACACGTGTCGAGCTGAGCTGTCTCCTGACACACCTCCCTCTTGGCAAAGAGCATGTGGAGAGAGAGAGAGAGAGAGTGTGTGTGTGTGTGAGAGAGAGAGAGAATGAGAGAGAGAGAGAGAGAGAGAGAGAGAGAGAGAGCGTGCTGTAACTCGTTCATCTCCAGGGCAGCCACTGGGCATGTCTTAGACTCAGAGCCGGAGGTCAGGTGTGCGCGTGTGTTTGCGCAGAGCCTGGGGTGCCTGCGGTGGGCCTTGGACCCGGCCTTCTCAGGGATGCCAAGCGAAAGGTCCACCTGGAGGCCACCGACACCCCCCTGCTGAGATGAGGGCAGCGCAGGGCGACCTCTCTCACCGGCGAGGCTGGAGCGAATCTACTGGCGCCCTGCCGGAGCTTCCGGAGCAGCCAGAAGTGCTCCCTGGCTGAGTGGCAAAGGCGGGGGCGCCCCCCAGGGCAAGCCTTCCGTGTCCGAAATCACCCTGGCCCTGCCCAGTTCTTAGAGAGATGCTGCTGGAAGGCATGGCTGTCCTCCCTCGTCTCCCTCCTCCTAACTGAACTCACGTTCAGAGCAACCCAGCGTGCGGCCATCGCGTGGGGGGGGGGGCTCAATGCATGTCCTGCGCGGGAGCTTTCGGGGCTTCCAGGATATAGGGTTGGTGTTGAAAATGGCTCCTGGGACTGAGCGTGGCAGCTCTGAAGAAGCCTTGGACTCCCCCCCCCCCTTCAGAGGCAGCTCCCCAAGGCCCTTCTGGAGGAAACCCTTCCTGGGTCTCATCAGCCCAAGCCCTTGATGTTCTGGACCGAGCGCTTCCTTGCCTGCCCTGCATCGTTTTGCCTTCCCTGCTCGTGGCTTCCCAGGATCTCTGCCTCATCTCCCCTCCACGTAGCCCAGGAACCCTCTTCTCAATCCAGCATGCAGTGAGCCCCCAGGACAGGGCGGCGAGGGGTGCTCCTTTAGCAAGAGTAGTGCTCTGCCGCAAGGGCCGCCCCTGCCCCGGAAGGGCTGCCCCGGCCAAGTCTGGCTCAAGGCTCCGGAGCCATTGGACGGTGGTCGCCTGGGCAGCGGACAGGCCGGCCAGCTGCAGGGCCCCAGCTGTGCGCCGGGCTCGTGCTTTGCCTGTGCTTAAACTGGACTAGTTGTTCCTACACCTGAACCCGTGCCTACACATAAGCACAGGCAAATCGTCTGAAAAGATGGAACTGCATCCCCTCCTTTGGGATGATTCGCCAGTGGCGCCCACTGAACCCATAAAGGCAGCCACGAAGAGCTGAGCAAGACTGTCATGGAGGGGACATTTTGGGCGGCTTTCCCTCCTGGGTTTGCCTGAAGTTGGAGATGACTGGGTGGCTCCCGAACACAGCGAGTGGCCATCACAGTGGCCACCACGGCTCACGAACACAGCCGAGCCGACCGTTCAAGCGGCATTCTGTCCTCCCTCTTGAGGGCCCTGAGATTTGTGCAGGTTGCTCCACCGTTAAAAAAAAATCTGTTGGTAGCACACTGACATTTTCCTTCAGGCAATGTAACTCACTTTTCCTCTTATCCTTCCTTGTGGAGGAAGCAGGTAAGTTTCCTCTCCATCTCCTTTATGGCCAGTTTGAGGCCAGTTATGTTACCTTTTAATTTCTCTTCCTCCAGGCTAAAGTTATACGCTCTTGACATATTATCAGCATTTAATGCTCGTTTCTCGGTCCTCTTCCTCCCCGGCCTTGGTGCTCACTCTCATTTGCTCTCAAGGCCTCTAACAGGTGTGTTCCTTTGGCTTTTGTCTCTGCAGGCCACTCTGGGCCCTGCAGGAGTAAAGGTGAGTCGGACACCACCGCGACTGGCCACAGGTGCTCACTTGGAGTGGGACCCCCGTGGGCTTCACAATTCCTGCTGCTACAGTACCACGTAGAATAACCTGTCCAGGTTGCTGTCACTGGCACAGCTAAAGATGGGTGCCACTGTTCATATTTCTTTGCAAAATTTACAGCATCTAAGTCATATTGTCCAGAGCGTTCCCCACACTGTCTGTGCATGCATATAAATTCCAGAAATTAATAATGACTGGCATGTGCATAAACGGTGCTCTCCTTTCCACACTTTAAAAAAAAACCCATTAATTTTGCTCTTATTGCAAAATCCCTTGTGATGTTAGCTGTAGATCCTGTGGGCACATGATCAGACTTCTGTAATTTCACAAATGTTTTATGTGTGCATGTTTGCCATCTTATAAAGATGGCACTGGTGAGTTTGTGCTGCTTGTGCTGGAGACCAAGCACCTTGAAAGAGCAGCTGCTAAGTCTGCCACTAAATTTTCGAACTAGAGATCTGAAGGCAAAGCTTGAGCTTGCATGCACCTCAGCTAACACACTGAGAGGAAACCTCCTCCCCCCGTGCAGTCTGTGTCACTCCCTCCTTCTCTTCCCCACATGAAGATCCCCCTAAGCCCTCGCCATCGATCCCTCTGAACGCCCACCTGTCTTCCTTAATCGGGTGAAGGGCAAGTGTGGCACCTGTTGAGGATTGATAAGCCTGTTCACACGCAGACATGCAGGGGATGACTGTGTTACCTGGATCCAACTCGCACGGGCCCCTGAGTGCACAATGAGGGCGCTGAAGCTGCTGATTTTTCAGTGGCACAAAGACAATCAGAGACCAATTTCTCTTTCATGCAGGGTGAGAAGGGTGACCGCGGAATATCAGGAGCCCACGGATCCAAAGGGGAGAAAGGCGATCGTGTAAGTAGGCCTTTCCTTCACCTCCGCTGTGTGAATTCTGCCACCTTTGCAACTTCTTGGACACGTTCCGGGGAATGGTGAGCTGCCAAGCTCTTTGCTTGCAAAAGATGTTGAGTAGATCACCTCCGTAACAGCAGGTTCCTCTAGTTTTGAAGTGTGGACTTGCTAGTTTTCAAAGTCCTCCACGTTTTCCATGCTTTTCCAACACTCTAGGTGCTTGGGAAAGGGGGGAAATGCATCCCCCCCTTTTTAGTCATTAAGTCATGCCCGACCCAACAACATTCCTCCAGGCTCTCCTGTCCTCCATCATCCTCTGGAGTCCACCCAACAACCCCACACACCCCACCCCAGTGACCCCATCCAGCCACCTCAACCTCTGCCGTCCCCTTCTCCCTTTGCCATTAATCGTTCCCAGCATTAGGCTCTTCTCCAGGGAGTCCTTCCTTCTCATTAGGTAGCCAAAGTATTTGAGTTTCATCTTCAGTACCTTCTAAGGAGCAGTCAGGGTTGATTTCCTTTAAGATTGTCTGATTTGATTTCTTTGCAGTCTAAGAGACTTGCAGGAGTCTCTTCCAGCACCACAATTCAAAGGCATCAATTCTTCAGCACTCAGTTTTCCTTATGGTCCAACTCTCACAGCTATCTAAAGAAAGGGTTTCTTCTGAGATAGAATTTTTCATAGGACTAAACATGGGGTGGAAGTGAAATATAAAAGCAGTGAGTGTAGAGGTAAGATGAGCAAGGGCATTCCGGCGCACCTCTTACACCTTGAGCTGTTGTACCACACTTGCTCTCTGTTACCCTGTGGCAGAACGACCACATTTAAATCCTGACAAAACCCCTCTTGACAGTGTCCTAAAGGCGCTGCTTCGTCTCGTCCTCTAGGGTGCTGACTGCGTCCGGATTTCACCTGAATCCCCGTTGCAGGTGAGCTGCCTCCCACCCCGTGAGCAAGATCATGCTCGGCCACTTCCTTGTCCAGGGCTGCTGTCCCAGCTCCCAACTGTTTGCTCTTCTCTTTTCTGAAGTGTGCTGAAGGCCCAAGGGGAGAGAAAGGAGAACGGGGAGAACAGGTAAGCATGGCCCTCGAAGAACGTCATCTTGCAATGCATGTGCACCTTGCTCACGCCGTCTTCGTTCCGCTTCTCACAGCTGGGCACTAAGTGTATCAGGTATTTCGCACTCATTCATTGCATTTTAAAATGCAAGAAATTGCTTCTTAAAACACAGGAAAAATGACCCTATCCAAGTATCTAAAATCTTTTTCATATGGCAAAACTAAGGATAAAATGAAATCAACAGAAAAAGAGGGAGACAGAAATTCAGCCCAGTGGAACAGCTTGTCAGGGTCGGAGATGCCGTAATGCTTAAGAAAGAGGTGCCACGCTACCTCCTCTGGGGTGGGAGTTCACAGAATCATGGAACCAAGCCTTCCTATAACTGAAGCCCATTAGTTCGTATCCTGTGGTCATGGGTAAGAGAGAAGAAGTTTTGGCCCTCTTTTTCTGACAACCATTAGGCTGCCTTATCCCCTTTCAGTCTCCTCCTTTCAAGGCTGAATGTACAGGCTTGCTTCAGCCTTTCCTCGTTCCACGTCATTTCAAGTCCACTGAGAATCCTTGCTGCCCCTTTCTGGAAATGCTTCAGTTTATCCCAGCCCTTCTTAAAGAGTGGTACCCAGAGCTGAACGCCCAGGTGCCCAGGGGAAGTCTCTCCAGCACAGACTGGAACAGCGCCTTCCTGTGGCTTGAAACGCTGCTTCTGTTGACTGTATTTGCCTTTTCTGAGCCACGTGTCCTGCTGACTCACATTCACCTTGGCTGTTCAGGGGGCCACTGTCTGAATTACTGTCCAGCTTCCTGCTCTTCATTCAATACACATATTATTTCAGACATTGATTGATTGATTGATTTATATCCTGCCTTTTTCCTACAAAGGGCTCAAGGCAGCTTACATCTCCTCTTCCATCTTATCCCCACAACAACAACCCTGTGAGGTAGGTTGGACTGACAGTCCGTGACTGGCCCAAAGTCACCCCGTTGGCTCCATGGCTGAGCGGGGACTTGAACCCAGATCGCCTGAGTCCCAGTCCTGTGCTCTTAACCTCTACACCACACTGGCTCTTTTCATGGGATTTCTACTGATGCAGACGTATGGGATGTGCATCACAGTTAAGGTCTGGCTCAAACCCAGTTTCAGTGCTTTAGGAATTGGGCCAAAATGACTCAGATTACTTGAGACATGACCTCTTGCCCTCGTGCAAAGCCAAGCCTCTCTTTAGCCATCCAAAGCATCGTTTGTCTCCCCATTGACTATTATGCAGAAATGAACACATGGCTATAACCTTGTTTATAGTTTTGCAGAATTAGATTAAATTAGATTTTTGGGCCTAATAGTCTCTTCTACACTGATGAAGTCTGCCAAGTTTCAGACAAATGGGGTTACGAAGTTTCTGTGCTAGATGCATTTATATTTTGAGGAATTAAAAAGGAGGAATCTATACCTGCTTCGATTTCTGAGCAGAATAGATACAATTTACTTCTTCCGTATGGATTGATGCTGTGCCGCTGGGAGCAGATAGAGATTTATTTCAGGTCTATAGGAGGAGAGGCATTTGCTTCCCCCACATTTAGGAAGGCGCAATTTGAATGGAGGAGGCATGTATCTTAAAAGCGCCCCTTGCCTGGCTCACATTCTTTTCGGCATTACCCTTTCCCACCAGCCGTATTCCCTCACTTGCACATGTCAACATTTCAGAAGGATAGGTGCCGGGGTTCGGGCAAAGGTGCAGGGGCTCCGTTTGACCTAAGGTTCTCCTTTCCCCCAGCCACCAATTACTTGGTGGTTTCTTGGTTTAATGCAGATTTCTCCCATTCTAGAAGGCTGGGTTGCCTCTTCCTGGACTTGGTCAGTAACAGAAAGGGCCGCAAACTCAAATTTGCTAGCCCCTTTGTACCTTGAGCCTGCCCCTTTTGCCTTTGGCCATGCCCACCGCTGGAATACGGCGCCCAGGAGCTTCTCCGCACTGGAATGTGGCCCATGGGTGGAAAGAGGTTCTGCACCCCCCGGGGGTGAGAGCTACGATGCATGAACAGGGCACGGAGGCCTGTTTTGTGATCTTCTCAGTCGACAAAACCATCGCTTCTCTTTCGCCTTCCTGGCTCAGTCTGGCCTTCAGAGGCAACGTCCATCAAGGGCTTGGCAGGTGAATGCAGAAGTTGCTTCTGCACTGAAGAGCCTCCCACGACCTGAGTGACCCCACTTGCTTTTGCTGTCCAGCCTTTCCCAGCTCTGCCATTTCCCCTGTGCTCCTCTGCAGAGCTTTCTACTTAAAGGCACCAATTTTAACAATGGCTGGTGAGACAGTTCCCTGTGCAGGGCCAAAGTTTATATTGCGAATGCTAAATATTTGGTTACAGCCTCCTGCAGCCAGGCCTGCAAAGACACTCTGTGTGCCTGCCGGTGTGTCTGGCCAGCTGCCTCCTGCAGCGTTTGCACACTGTTCACGCAACCCAGAAGTGCAGGTGGCTCTTGCGTCTTTGCCGAGAGCAAAAGCGGTTGGCTGCCCATCCCAAACCGATATGAGAACTGCAGACTTCCTTCTGAGGCAAGCGGTTCTCTCCCATGCTGTCCCTCTCCCCTCGCTTCCTCTTCAGGAACGTTTCCACACCCAGCCGCTTGTCTCCACGGCTGCTTCTTCACCCGTTTTTCCCCAGACCGTCGGCTTGCACTCTTTGTCTCTGGGACTGGGGCAGCTGGGTGTGGGTCTTTGCCTTTTGCGACAGGCAGGGAGCTTAGCCGATCTGTGCTGGAGTCTTCATCACCAGCACTGCCACTGCCCCCCAGATCCTCCATGTGTGGCCGAGCTTCCTCTAGAAGATGAGCACCACGAGAAAAGAGCGTGCCCCCCATGCCCTGCCAGTCCCACCCAGGCTTTTCTTGGTTGGGTGGAAGATCTAAAGGGGGAGCCTGTGCAAGTTCAAGGCAGCAGGTCCACGTGGTGGTGGCTGGGACTCAGGCGATCCGGGTTCAAGCCTCTGCTCAGCCACAGCGCCCACTGGGGGGCTTCAGGCCAGCCACAGACTTTCAGCCCAACCTACCTTACAGGGTTGTTGTGGTGAGGAGAAGATTGAGAGGAGGAACAGAATAATGTGGGCCAACTTGAGTTCCTAAAAAGGAAAAGGGTGGGACATAAATATCATGGAGAAGGGGGAGGCGAGGATGGCAACCGCGCTGAGGGCAGCCCCGGCTCTTGCAGCTCAGTGCCTCCTTCTGCTGGACATGTGGACCTCAGCTTCTTCATGTGCACATTTAATTCCATCTAAATTCAGTCCATGAAATAGACTGTAACAACCAGCAGAAATCATAGAATGGCAGCATAATAGAAGGGGCCAGAGGGCCACCAGGTCCAACCCCCTCCTCAGTGCAAGTCTCCCAGTTAAATCACCCCTCTCAGATGGGGGTCCAGCTGCATCTTGAATGCCTCCAGTGTGGGAGAACCCACCACCTCCCATTGTTACATACCTCGAATGGCCAGAAAGGTGTTTCTGACGTCCTGCTGGAATCTGGCTTCCTGCAACTGGAGCCCGTTATTCCATGTCCTGCACTCTGGAACGATGGAGGAGAGATCCTGTGCCGCCTTTGTGCGGCAACCTCTCAAAGGCTTGACATCTGCTGCCCTGTCCCCGCTCGCTGTTCTCTTCTTGAGGCTGAACATGCCCAGCGCCTCCCAGGATGTCCCCAGTCCCAGAGCATCCCCGTTGTCCTCCTGTGAACATTTTCCAGCTTGTCTGCCTGTCTCTTGGATGCGTGAAGGGCAGTGCCCAGAAAGCGGTGGGAGCCACGCTCCAGATCAGGTCCAGCCAGTGCTGGTTTTCCATATACTGTGTGTACCTCTTGGACCCAGGCCTGATCCTTTGGGGTAATTTGGGGTACATAAATATACACCAGTATTTAATAAACAATTATATTGCTCACAGGGACCTCCAGGGTCAGCTGGAACTCTTGGGGAAAAGGTAAGTTTTCCAGCTTTAACTTACCTTTGAATTTGGGGAATTCTTTTGGGGGAATAAGTACTGGTAATCCAAAGGATGATGACCCGGCAAAGGTTGTTTTCCTCATTCCCAGGCAGGTGGATACACTACAAGAAGTTTCCAGCCTTACTTTGTGGGATCTGATTGGTATCCCAAAAAAATCTGAAATGAGTGGAGATGATACAAAATTTGTTCAGTTTGTGTCAGTATCCAGACAAACATATAAACTGAAACAGTTAACGCAGTTATGCTTTGGTATTTAGACTTCTCCAAATTTTGCAAAGTAGCTCTCTGATTTAAAAAGGGCATATAAAATGCATATATTGGAGAAAACTACACATACAAAATTGTATATTAGTGGGGAAAAACATACACATTAAGGAAACGTTGCTTGCAAAGTGTGCATCTTAGGTAAAAATATGTATTTTAGGACATACAATGATTTTCTGAGTATGTATACATTTTTCTGTGAACTGTTTTAAAAGAAATTTGCAAACTGTTGTGGAAACAGGGCATGAGAAATGGAAGCTGACACAGATCTCTTTCCCCAGATTAGGAGCTGGAAGAGCTAAGAATCCCTGGGCACAGGCAGGGATTGGAGGGTTCTTGGGTGGTGGCAGGTTGTGGATGCCCGTCTGCAGAGATTCCACGGACCCATCCTAGGACAAGGCCAAAGGGGGGAGGGTGGCGCTTGCTAAGGTGTCTCTCTCTCTCTCTCCCTCTCCCTCTCCCTCTTCGCTGCAGGGGCAGAAAGGCGATAAGGGCGACTTCGGCATCCAGGGCAAACCAGGCACGCCGGGGCGCGATGTGAGTTGGCTTCCTCTTTCCTCCTAGGGCTCTTCCTGCCCTGAACAGCATGGTCCTGCTCTGGGACGGGGTACTCCGGAGCCAGTTCTCTGCCCCCGTGGCGGTGCGAGTGCACCCGAGCGTGCCTCTCATTGCTCACAGTGCTGGCTGACAAAGTCACCTTCCATTTTTAAACTTGATTGCACCACTGCCTGTTCGTTAGTTGGGCTCTTTGTTGGGATGCACGTGGCCATGTGTCCTCTTTTACAGAGGAGGTTCTGTATTTGCCAGACTGCTGAATCCTACATTGGAAGGTGTCCTTTGTTTGAAGGGCTGTGCTGCTCAAAGATAAAAAACAGGAACTGCTGCCCATCAGTAATTGTGCATCTGTACATAAAATTAGCATATGTAAATGTTACACAAATTGGTGTCCTAGTTTGTCCCCCCCCCCCCCCCGCAGCTTGTGTCCTCATTTGTTGGCAACCCATAAGCAAGAAGCACAGCAACCAGTAAGTCTCGCTCTTTCACTTCTGTCCAGGGCCGGCCAGGGGAGATCTGCGTGATGGGACCCAAAGGCCAGAAGGTAGCGTGCTGCTTGGAGGCCAGAAGTGGCCCAGTGGAGCTGGCCGTTCTTGCAAAGGCTGCACCTCCTGCAATGGCTCTCCTGTGTTTCAGGGTGACCCAGGCTTTGTCGGTCCTGAGGGGCTGGCGGGGGAACCAGGACCCCCAGGGCTGCCTGGCCCACCCGGGCTTGGCCTTCCAGGAAAACCGGTAAGTGCAGTGCTTGGCCTGGCTGCCTCTGCCCCGCCCTCCCGTCAGCCCAGGCCTTGCTCACTAACGCCCCACAGGTGTGGTGTGGATCAGAGGCCCGCTGGCTTGACCCGATGGGAAGTTTGTGGACGGGAGGATGCGCTTGCCTTACTTCCATCCAGCTGCTGGGAGGGAGGCGATCCGAGCGGGGCTGTTCCCTGGAGCAAAGAGGCTTTCCCCGTGCCGTTTTCCTGAGCTGAATTCCCCTCTTCCCGCAAGTGCTGTTCGCCCTGGTGGAGGGGTGGAATTGACTCGTGTTTCCCCAGGAGGGCAAGTAACAGATTCTTCTGGATTATGAAGAAAAGCAAACCTGCAAGAGGGCGGATTAGCGGTCTCCTGCTCAGCCCTGTGGCTCTGATCCAACCCCACCCCTTGCGCTCCCCACCCCATGGGTACTTCCAGTGGAAAACGGGTGTCGGGGGCGTCATGTCCGCTGCACTCCTGCAGCACCCAGACCTGGCCCTGAGCCTCGTGGAACATCCGTGTGTCCCCGAGGTGTCGGCACATGTGGCTTGTGCTTGACAACCATCCTGAGGGGAAGCATATACGCATGGCTGTCTCTAGCGTCCCACGTGCCACACTTCTGAATCTTGGTCCCCTCTAGAAAACAATGACACCAGAAAGTGTCTTGTTCTTCCACCTGCAGAGGTAAGTCCAAAAGCATGTTAGCTGTGATTTCAGAGGCTGGCATCAGGTGGATGAGCCGAGTGGGGCTCCCAGGGGTTCTGCCTACCTCCTTCTCAGTAAGGCTGGGAATTGCATCGCTCTGCAGAATGCAGGGATGTCCTGCCCCAAGGAGCTTACAGACATTTTGGCAGCAGTGCAGAGTGGCAGAATGAGCGGCAAATGGGGCAGAAAAAGGACAAGAGGCAGAGCTGAGGGTCGGGGCAGTTCATGCGGCTACACCAAAACAAAGTGCCTGGTTTACGACGTAAATGAAGAAAAATGCATGCATGCTGCTACCTTGCATAATAGGGCAGAATTTGGAGGGTTTTTAAAAAACCTTATGCTGCTGGGATATGCTGAAATATGGAGGGCGAACAGAGCCCCAGTCCCCCTCCCTTTTTAATGCTATTAAACTGTTGACCCGGCCACAGTGCTGAAGCATAAAAATCATTCCTACAAAGCTGGGTCTGTGCCAGTGCTGCATCTTACAGCCAGGAGAAATATTGAGCCATCGCCAGCGGGTGTTGCTTCGTGAAGCCCGAGCGGCTCTGGAAGTGCTGATAGATTTGCAAGATGAGACGTTTCAGAAAGTGCTTTTCAGGAACCTGAACCGGAGGTCTTGGAGGAGCCTGGAGGCACCTCTGCCTCGCCCCCGGCCAGCGCCAGCCCCCACGCCCTCTGCCACACTCCCAGGCGCCTGCATTTGCTCCGTGTTCCACAGCCGGTGGGAAGACCATTGCGGAGCCTGCGTCCTGCCCTCCAACGCGCTGCTTTGTGGGAGCCATTTTGAATTGCTACCCCATTTTCTCTGTCAGGACCAAAGGGGGAGCAAGCAGGGCAATGGAGGAAAAGACGTGGGGGATGCGCAGAAAGGGGGGTAGTGAAACAGCAGGGGAAGGAGCGATCCTCGTCTCTCACAGAATTTGCACATCCCAGTGAGGAGGGTCCTTGAGTGTCCACCAAGGAGGAGGCGTTTGCTGGTGCAGCTCCAAACGCATCTTCTGCATTATCAACAGAGGTTTCCCAACCTTCCTCCGTGCATGTGAGCAGCACTCTTGTGTTGTGAGCCGGCCAGAGGTGCTGTGGCACAATTGGGTGGCCCTCAAATGTTTTAAATAAATAAGTAAATAAATGGGCCCCAACAATCAGGCACAGCCACACGGTTGAACTCCTGGAGTTAACCAAGCAAAAGAGATTCAGTTAAGAAGTAGTATATAAGTTAGCCTAGTAGAAGAAGCATAACCGCCTGCTTAAAACTCAGACTTTCTCATGATAAGTACTGTATACTGAACTGGACGGTCTTGCCTAAATACTGTTCTATTTTCCCAGCTTGACAGCAGTTGCTTTCTAGGTAAGGAAAAGAAGTCCATTCCAGCTGGATGAGAAGTTCATTCCAGTTGGTTTTTGACTGGGATTTATCTGGGTCACACGTTCCAGGCCAAATGTGAACTCAAATACCACGTGCAGTCAAAGCTTATACATTCTCGATGTGGAGAAAGTGGAAACGGGGGTAATTTTCCCCCCTTGCATAATACTTGAACCCGGGGTCACCCCATGAAGCTGATTGGTGGGAGGTTTAGGACAAATAAAAGGCAGTCCTTTTTTCACACACCATACAATTAAGCTGGAATTTAATTTCACGGGAGGTGGTGATGGCCACCAGTCTGGGTGGCCTTCGCAGAGGGGTGGGCCAATTCGGGGGGGGGGGGGGAGGCAGTGCGGGGCTGCTGGGCTCACTGGCTGTGCGCTGCCCCCGCCACCAGGTGCGGCCTGCCTGCCTGCCTGCGGAACTCTGGGGGATTCCATGGGGCTGTTTTTTTACTTAGAGGTCTGTTGACAAATGCTGCAAACACGACTTCACAAAACAAATCTCTTATTCATGATTATATAACAAGCAGCATGTGATTATGACAGCAGCAAAGTCTGGCCACAGCCCTGATGCAGAAGTTGCCTTCAGAATTTGCAAAGTTCAAGTCTCCTTTTGAATTCAAATGCAAACAAAACTCCAAGATGTCTTCCTCCACTGGGCTGAGTGCCCAGAACTCAGACGAGTCAGCTCACCATGCAGAATCCTCAACACCCTGGAATAGCTCGGTTGCGTGTACATGGATTCACTATGCAGATTCACTCCAATCAAACCTATGGGAATTATACCTAGACCAAGTCAGCAGGCCCGCAGCACAGAAACAGAGTGAGCCAGAAGGGGTCTCCTGGGCCATCTAGTCTGACCCCAGCTCTAGTCAACTCTCCTCATGACATGCCTGCCATGTGCATGTCCAGCCTATCCTTAAATAGCCCCTCACCGTTGGGGCCTCAACCATCTCCTGTGGAAGCCCATTCCACATCCTTAGGGTCCTAGCCGTCCGGAAGTACTTCTTGGCATCCACCCTAAATCTTGGTTTCCTGAGCTTTGCTGCATTGGAGCATGTCCTGCCCTCATCCAGGTGTCTGGGCCCACCTCTGCACGGCACCAGCAGCTCCGGCCTCTTCAGCTTTCCCGCCCTTCTCATTCAAATTTCTTGCTTGCAGCCCGGCTGTTTCTTAGTCCCACCCCTTTGGGCTGATATCTCATTGGGTGACATGTATACCAGTTGTCAAGGAGCTCGGCAGGTGGGGGCCTTGCACCCCTCCTGCTGCAGGGATCCCGTAGGCAGCCAGTCTCCCCCCGTGTGTACAGAGTGCGGGACGAAGTGGGCCCTCTTACGTTCCTATGAGTTGCAGCTGAAAAGAGTGTTCAGCATCACGTATACATTTGAAGAACGTGCATGAAACACGAGGAAACTCTTTGAAAAGGTTTACACAAACACTATTAATGGAATACAAATACATACGTTTCAGCGACTGGCAAAACTAATTAACATTTGGGAAAATATCACAGACACAATTTTCTTGTGTGAAACAGGGAAAATCGAGGTTTGTTGTTTGGTACAGACGTGAGATGAAATAAAGTTCAAGGTGGAACCTGGAGAACCTTCAGAAGCTCTGACGTGCTGCTCCCACTCTTCTCTGCTATGAGTCTGTGCTCAAGTTGTGCTTGTACAGTCATCCTTAGCTTCGTCCTCTCAAGCAGCCCGTGAGCAGCCTGGGTCAGGAGTGCCTCCTTTCTTTCCAAGAGAAGGGTTCCTCTGGAGGTGGGGCGCTATTCCGCCCCTGGTGGAAGTACCATCCCCAGATCCCTTTGAAATCCCCGCTGCCACCTGATTCCATGATGAAAAGCTTCAAGAGTGGGATTTGCCTGGGAAAGGAAAATTGCATATTTTATATCTTGTTAGCATAATTAGACAGCATTGGCACAGTTACTAGCCCCCGTGTCTCTGATGGGAGGAAAGGTCAGACTCGGTGCAGATTAAATGTGGAGTAATATAATGCAAATACATAAAGTGGGACAAAGGGCAGGGGAGTTTGGAAGATGGCGCGTGCTCCTCTTTCATACCCGTGGGGGCAGGAGTGCCACCGAGTAGTGGGCAAACCTGATGGGCACGGCAGAGAGCGCTTGCAGAGCCGTCTACTGTGGGTCCTGCTTCAGGGGGCAGCGTTCGTCTTCTGAACAACTTTTCACAGTCCTGCTTTCCTTTCAGGGCGACCCTGGTGGCCCCCCAGGTCCAAAAGGAGAGAAGGTAAGGCAAAGCCGCGCGCAGAGCTCCCAAACGCCGCCCTTCCAGTCTGGGCGATTTCCTTTGCTCTGCCTTTCGCGGCATCGCAGCTGCTCGGCCAGGCCCACTCACACGCGTCGCATGCTCTGCACTCTCTTTCCAGGGGGGGTCTGGACCTCCAGGACTCGGCGGCTCAGCGGGAAAGCCGGTAAGTGCCTCCTCTCGGCAGCAGACAGCCAAAGGTGTGTGTGGGGGGGATGTCCAGACGCATTAGACTGCAACTTCCATCATCCCCAGCCAACATGGGGCTGCAGCAGATCCCAGAAGATCCATGGGAGGGAAGAGCTGCCATACCCCATGGGACGCTGTAGTCCCCAGTCGGCCACGGTGGCCACAGCGTGACTTCGGGCCACTCATGGATGCTCGGCCTAAGCACCCTCACCGGGTGGCTGTGGGGATGAAGTGGAGACTAGAAGGGCCGTGCAGAAGGGCTTGGGCGCTGCATGAGCTGAGCCGGCTGGAGCGGGAGTCGGACGGATGGCCCCAGGCCCCTTCTGACGTGCTGTGTCACTCTGCGAGTCACCTGGGTTCCTTCCAAGGGGAAGAAAGAGGGAGGACAGTGTGATCAGAAAAGACGGGGTGGGCGTGCAGAGCCAGCCCTGCTTTCGAGGGATGGCCCCCACCCTGCATGCCCCACAGGGAGGGGTGCTGGCACAACTGGGCAGAGAAACTGAAGGGGGGGTGACTGTGTTTGGGAGGGGGCATTGCTCCTGGAGGAGTGAGGGCCTTGTTAACAGTGAGCCTTCCAATTCCCTTTCCCCATTGTGCTCCGGGCTGTGCTCCTGTGCCCATCAGCTTGGACCGAGGCTCTGCAGAACTGAGTGAGGCTGGCGTCCAAATAAGCCAGGCATAGGTTCGGGGCACAGAAATCTGTGTACGCTGCATGCAGGTGTTGCAGGTGTTGCAAGATAAAATTAAACCTCCCTCTTTCTCTGCAGGGGAAGCCAGGAGTCCCAGGCCTGAAAGGAGACAAGGTGGGCAGAAGGAAGTCTGAGTCACAGCAGCGCTTCCCTTTGAGGTCTTACTGCGCCCATTGAGTTCAAACTCTGGTGCTGAGTGCCAGTTGGGCTGGAGTCAAAGCAGGGTCACTGAGAAACAAAAGTGAGAGAGAGAGAGAGAGAGAGAGAGAGAGAGAGAGAGAGAGAGAGAGAGGCCAGCATGCTCCAGACAACCATAAGGCTTGCAGAAGGTTCAAAGCATCTAAGGGGTCAGCTCTGCTGCTCAAAACAGCCCGTGGAACCCGGCAGGTGTTCAGTAGCCATGCTGCAGAGTATTTGTTGTTTCCACGTGTATAGACTGCTGAATAGCCCAGTGGGGCTCTCTGCGGGGCTAACAACACTAAACTACAGGCCAACATTACAATTACAAGCACCGGGGAGGCAGGGGAGGAACTTGCTGGCAGGAGAGTGAGCACTTGACTGCTGGCGAAAGAGGACACCTTTCAACTGGTGCCAGAATGAAAGTAGTGGCGGTGCCAGGTAGACCTCTTTAGAAAGCTCTTTAGAATGCTGAACGTCCGTTGGAGAAGAAAACTAGGACCCCGAGATGGGTGTGTGCAATGGAGTATCTTGGAGCAGGGCATGGCTGGCTGGCTGGAACCTTTTCTTAGAACATAAGGAAGCACTTCACAGTTTTGTTGCTGGTCCTGCTTCTTTCCTCTAACGGTGAAGGTGCATCATTTGATGGCAAGACAGGGACACCCAAAAATAAGATTGTGGGTACTGCATACTTGAAGGACATCATGGTACAGAGAAGCACGCATGTTTCTGAGGGAAAAGAAAAAGACTGTAAGGCACACGCACAGCCCGAAAAAGCAGGCTGGTGGGCTTCAGCAAGCAAAAATTATACTGCAGAAACAAGGCCGGGTCATGTGGATCTGTGAGAGGAGAGGAATTTGATCAGGAGGATTTTGGATGCCTCCCTAAAAAGGACTAATCTGGATTCCTAGCAAATAATTACTCTGTGCCTGATGCATTGCTGGAAATTAGGGTGACAGGAGTCCAAGCTTCAGGGGAGGATGGGTTCTGCTATGTCATGATTGTTGCAGCTGCTTTGCATCTGGGAGGTTCCAGGTGCAGCCACTGCATTCCTGGCCCCCAGACCTGGAGAGTGGCTGTCCCCCATTGGACCAGATGCCACTGCTCTTGTTCCCATGCTCTGCCCATCTAAATGCGACATTAATGAGAACTGCCTCCTTTTCCTACAAATGAGGCCTCTCTTCATACAAATGAGACCAAGGCATGCTGGAGACCCTTAAACGCACATCTGAGCTCTGACATCTGAACCCCATTTTGCCAATTCCCCACTTCGTGATGTAGAGGAAAACAACCCATGGGTTCTGCGAGGGATATTTGACCCTCACATAAAAGCCAGTGTGGTGTCGTGGTTAAGAGCACGGGACTGGGACTCGGGAGATCCGGGTTCGAGTCCCCGCTCAGCCATGGAGCCCACTGGGTGGGTTTGGGCCAGTCTCAGCCCAACCGACCTTGCAGGGTGGTTGTTGCAGGGACAAGACTAAGAGCAGCAGGAGGAGAATAATATAAGCTGCTTTGAGTTCTTTTGGGATATACCTCTAATAAATATAAATCCAGTGGTGAGGATAAGATGGAGAGGAGGGGAGAAATTATGTGAGCCACACTGAGTTCCTCGAAAGGAAAAAAGTGGGGGAGGAGGAGCGGAAGAAGTGGTCACCACCATCCACATCAAGTCTGCGTAGTGACGAATCGCTCTGGGCTGGATTTTTGAAATGCTGGTGGCTGGTACACCCCCCAACCCACCACGATGGACTGTAGCAGCTGGTCAAATCTTGTTCTCTGAAGGGATCCATTTTAATGCCTCTTTTAAAATCCCTTGGTTTTCTGTTTAGGCAAGGTTGCCACTGGGGCCTTTTTCCTTTGCAACAATTGCCTTTGCTTTGCTTGTTTATTTTTCCCCAAAGCCTCTTATTTTATTTTTCAACAGGGAGATCCATGTGAAGTTTGCCCCACTCTCCCCAAAGGAATAATGGATGCAGTCAGCATTCCTGGGAAGCCAGGGCCCAAGGGAGAACCTGGACCTCCGGGGAAACCTGGCAAATCGGTGAGTCCCAGGTCAATGGAGGAACATTTTGTCCCTGGGGCATTGCAGATGTCCCCATAAAGCCTTCTCCAGCTGCTCCCTCCAGTTGTTTCAGACTTCCGCCCCAGGCAGTAATATTCCAGAGTCCTGGGAGCTGCAGTCTAAACCTGCTTGGAAGAGACTTCCCTGAAAGGGCTTGGCTGGTGAGTCACTGCTGGGGCTGATTGACCCTGGAGCTCCAGACATTACTTTTCCTTTTCTCCTTCTGCCTCTTTTTCAGAACAAGCCTGGCCTTCCGGGAGCCAAAGGCGACAGGGTAGGTGTCCGTTCCACCGGCTGGGTGGATTGAATTTCTTTTCGATATTTTTAGACTGCTTCCCAGGGCAAGAGTCCTTCCAAGGCAGCTTACCCAATGCAAGTGCATGCCGTAAAAATCATTACAATCATTACAAAAATATCATTACAATCACTAAAGATGGGCAATGGAATCGATGTGGGTCCCCTTACTGTAGCAGCATGTATAGCAGTGACCTCCGGGTGCTAATTTCCACACATTTGCATGGATTGGCCACTGGGCTGGCCTTTCATAGGATGCAAACAGGTGCTGGAAGGCCTGCCTGGATGCGTTTATCTCGGAGCTGCTGCCTTTGGAGCCAAACATGCTGCCGGGGCCGCTCTTTGCACTGGCGTCCTCTCCCCTCCAGCCTCCCCAGCCTCCCCAGCTGTGAAGGGCAACCTTGACTTTCTTAGGACCTTCACTGGGATTTTCTACTCCTCTCTCTTTTGTTCTTTTTATTTTTCAGGGTGACCCCGGGATCAATGGGATTAAAGGGGAGAAGGTATGTGGGCATTTCTTGCAACCAGCCCCTTTAAGCACTCCTGCTTCAGTTCCAAGTCCCCTTTGCGTCACCGTTCACCTACCGACTTCGTATCCTCTTCAGCGGTGTGTGTGCAAGGGTGCCCATTCTGTATCGCAAAACCAGAGGAAGGCACCCGGGCGTGCAGTCCTCCTTTTTGCCTTGCCTTGGTTGCAGTGGGAGGCTGTCAGTGAAGAAGGGTCGTCTGAAACCCTTCAAGATGGGTTCCGTCCTGGAGAGATCACTCTGGGGGAAGCAGCTTTTCCCACACCTGCCTCATCTGTGACCTGGACAGCGCCTTATTGTTGCATGTCGGTATCCTGCCTTCTCCCCACCCCCTGCTTTTTCCCTCACGCTAACTTTGTGAGGCAGATCAGGAGGAGGTCTTGTCGGTCTCCTCATGGCTCTGTGTGGGAAAAGTTTCCCCAAGGCTGCTTTTTGTTTGATGCAGCGGGAGAGTCGCACAGGTAACTGGCAGGAGGATGAGGCTCTTCTGTGCTGCAGGAGAAACGTGATGCCGCTCCTCTCATTTGGTCCACTATATTTATTTCTGCATCCAGTGAAAATGCTTGGCTTACACCTTATAAATCCACCATGGCCTTGTTCCTCTTCACAGTCCTGGCCTCGTGTCCCGATACATTTCCCGGAACCTCCAAGCCCACCACCCCAACCTTCCCCAAAGTCTCCAGCTTCCTTAGGACTTCGCCTGCTCTCCTGCTCTGCCCCAAATGCTTAGAACTCCACCCCAGTGGAGGTGAAGTCTAAAGTCCCATGGGATTTCCCCTCCCCCCCCCGGCCCTTTAAGAAGCTCCTTGAGGCAGGGACTTGTCTTTCTACAGAGCATCACGTGCTGTGTGAATAGAGGCACGAAGAGGCACGGCAAGGGGGAGGCCATGACTGGGAGATCAGTCCACCCCTGTGCCACTTCCACAGGCCTTCCCAGTTTCCCCTGCATCCAACCTCCTCTAGAGCCCTTTTAGCTCAGGATGGATATCATGAAACGAGCTGCTCCCACCTAACGGCCGGTTCTCTGCACTTCCTCCCAGGGTGAGCCGTGTCAGTCCTGCAGCCCGGCAGCCCTCATGTCTTCGATGCCGTTTCCTGGGAAAGAAGGCCCCAAAGGGGAGCCGGGATCTACTGGGTTTCCTGTGAGTTTGGCTCCAGCGCGTGCTTTCTCTATGCCATGCATGCAGGCTGCTGCAAAGACTTGACAGCATAGGAAATGGGGAGCGGTGCCAGGCCAGAATTTCTAGTCCTCGTGGTCACAGTGGAATCATCTGCAGTCTCCTGGATGGGTGCTGTGCACAGGCTGCCTTCCCTGTGGCCTCCGACCCCCGTCGGCCCAGGCCAGCATGGCATCGCCCATAGTAAGCGGTCATGGGAGCTGTGGGCCCAGGCATCTGCCCAAGTTATTTATTTATTATTTAGTTAGTTAGTTATTTCTGTGCTATTTGGGTGGTTCCCAAAGCACATTTTTAAAACTCAATAAAAGATGCACTGTATTAAAAGCACATTAAAACATCATTAAAAGTTTACAAAATAAAATTTAGTACCGTATATTAAATAGGCACTTGCACATACACACATATATAATTTATTATAATGTAATCATTATAATTATATTGCATAATATAAATTAATAACACAGACACATAAAGAAAAGTCGGCCAGCCCCTGCTTGGTTTCCGACTTCTTTTGCTCTCGTGGCTCCGACTTGTGGAATGGAAGCTCTGTGAGGCAGGCGGCGATCCTTAAGAAAGGATTCTTGTCGAACTCACGGGTTTGCTGGGGTCGCTCGCACTTAGCTTTCCCTCCAGCCTGTTTAACCCTGGCCATTGGCAAGAGTAGCTGGTCTGGGCATCCTGACTTGGGGGGACCCTCTGGTTGAGAGCCACATCCGCAGTGCTGGTCAGACTTTCCTGCCAGTTCCCGCACAGAATCAGCTCTGCTTTGTTCCATCGCAGGGCACGGCTGGGCCCCCAGGACTGGCTGGACTCAAAGGAGAAAAGGTAAGAGTGGCTTTCCAGAGGACAATCTGGCGATGGATCCACCTTCTGGACTCAGCTGTGCCACGCCCCGTCAGTATCAATTAACGGGAGCTTTAAATGAATCTGGCAGTTATCATCACTGGGCCTTCCGCTGTGCGTGGCTGAGCATGCCCAGGCCACTAATTCACCTGCCCTCTTTCCCCCTAATTTCCCCCTCCACTCTTTTCCCGTTTCTATTTTCCTAATCTGGGAGTTATTCAGAGCTGAGGATCTCCTTGACTGTGGATCTCAGGTGATAATCCCAGCCCAGCCGTTGCTGTTTCTCAGCAGGCGAGGAACCTGAGGGGGTGTTTGTTCATCCTCAGTAAGGCTAGCTAGCTGCCCCGTGGGCCTAAACTGCCCTTTCCTGGCCTCTGCATGATTTCCTGCAGTGGATTCTGGAAGGCATCCTTTTATGAGGGACCTCGGGATTTGCACTCTCCTTCACCAAGTGACCACATTTAGGGATCCTTGCACAGGGGGAATTCCAGAAGTCCAACCAGGTTTAGACTGCTACGCCTGCAGTGCAAGCCCATGATGCTTAATGTCCCGTGAGCGTGACTTCCAGCCGCATAGGCGGAGCCGAAGTTTACACCCTCACTTATCCTGAGATAAGTGAGGCCTCTTGAACCATCAACCGAGTGCCAGTCTCCTCTTAGGAGGGTGGATCCTTCAGCATCACGTCGGCCCGTTCCCTTCCTGCAGCAGCTGCATCTTCTGCTTTGTTCCTTAGGGAGATCCGGGAGCTGAGGGATCCACAGGCAAACCTGTGAGTATGAGGATGTGGAGGAAGAGCGTTGGGTGCCCTCGTGGGCTGCAGTGGAGCCACGTGAGATCGGAGCAGTACTGGAGGTGCCGTGAGCCTAAGAGCCCTTCCACACACCCAGTAATGGAATATGTGATGTTGGGAAGGGTAGCAGCCCCAAGTCTTTGAGTCGGGCTCCACCCAGGGAACACCCCTAAGTAATAATCCTCCGGAAAGTCAGGTGTGATGGTGCTTGCTTTGTGTGTTGCTTTGCTTGTTGGACAGCCTGGTCACTTGTGCCCCATCACAGTCCTGCATGTTTCGAGACTCCAGAATGGCATCGCACCAGGTGCACAGGCAGTCTTCCACGCTCCAAAGAATAACCACACATGGCAGTCCAGAACTGATACTGGGAAATTTTCTTCAGGGTTTATTGCCAGAAAGGCACCCTGACTTTCCCCATTCCTCCTTAATTTCACTACGCTTTATAGACGACACTCAGTTGTGTCTCACTTCTGGTCTTCCTTTACTTCTAGGGGACTCGAGGGGAAAAAGGAGAGGCGGGTGCTTCAGGAGCCAAGGGTGAGAAGGTGAGATCGAATCAGGCCAGTGTAGCTATGAGAGCTGCAAAGCTGGCTCAGGAGCCTTCCTGCTGCCGGCTGCGCTGCCACCTCCTCTCCCCTCACCGTCTGCCTTCGGTCCCTTCCAGGGAGCACCATGCCTGCAGTGCCTCGACTCTCCGGACGGCGGGAAGACCGTGGTGGCTGTCCCAGGGCCCCCAGGCGAGAAGGGCGAGCCAGGCCTTCCCGGTGCAGGCCTTCCCGGAAAGCCTGTGAGTGTGGAAGCTTTTCGATATGCCTGATCGGGAAACGGCGAGGGGCAAAGAGTGCGCCAGTGGAGCTGGGGGGGGGGGGTCTCTGTGTGCTAACCGGTAGCTTCCCCGGGCAAAAGGAGACTCAGAGAAATTGGTGCATATGCGAAAAACAGGATGTGAGCAGCATAAAAGGAAAGACAGAAACAGCAATCGACAACTCCTGGTCCTCTCTTGTTAAGTTGCCAGCAAGAAGGGATCCATACACACCGGTCTGCGTTGAAAGGCTTTTGTTTCACACTGCTTATTCTCCTTTTCAGGGAAAACCTGGGGAACCTGGAATGAAAGGGCAAAAGGTGAGGAAAAGCTATAGGCTGGGGCAGATTGCAAGAGCATAATCCAAGGGAGGGGAGGGGGCTGGCACCAGGGACAGATGAGGAGGTCCAGCAATCGCACAGCCCCTGGGACTAAATTTGGAGGCCAAGGAAATCCAGCCCTAAGATATTGATATGCGAGGGAGCAGAGCTATTCTCATTGTACTGACTCTGTATAATTGGAAAAGCAAACTACAATGTGATTAACAAGTTACAAAAGGCAGAGGGAAAACACTTAAATACAAAGACCAAATATACACACGACGCATTACAAGAAATGATCAAAACCTGCAATCCAACTCAGATGCTCAAGGCCAACAGTGCAGATAAGATCTCTGCAGATACTCCGCCAAAGTCCTACCTGGGTAATTGCTCATGGAGGACAATCCATGAATCCCTTCCAGTTCTCCTTACTCAGCTCCACCTGGAAAAGGCTGGCAGGGTTGCCTGCCGTGCTGTGCACGGGCAAAGGGCACACTGCTGCACCTGCGTGGCCCTGCCCCCTTGGCACAGGAGAGCCCCAGAAGGCCAATGGGCACATTTCACCAAGAGCAGGGGGGTGCCGCTGGGGCTGCGTGGGGTTGCCCAAAGGTATCTTCTAAGGCTTGCATTGAAGTGGTTTCAGGAAATGCCCCGTGCCACTCAGGGCCGATCTTCAGATTTCCTTTTACTCACCTCTGAATGTGGTACCCAAGGCCAGCAGGCAGTAGCTGGTGTTGCCTGACAACGGCCACTACAGGAGGAAAGTATCACTGCATGTTGCCTAGCAACCACCAGGCGATGGACACCTTTCCAAGAAGAACATTTTTAGGGGCTGCCAGCTCACCGCTTCCAAGTTGCCCGACAACCTAGTGCTTGGATTCTTCAGGTCTTCATGCTCCAGCAGGGATAAAGAAGCTTCAGTATAGTCTTGGCAGAAAGACTTGTTAGAGCGGAGGTGGAGTGTTGCGACTTTCTGTCGTCTCCCAAGCACCAGCAGAAAGTCTCCTGCCGTTCCACTCCACTCCATTCGTGCAGGCAGGTGCTTCCATCCAGCTGGCAGGGACTAACCCTGGCTGCCTTAACCCTTGTTAAGAGAGAGGCCCCATGCTGCCGATCGGTGCTCTATTCTCTTTAGGGTGATGCTGGAAGCAAGGGTGATCCGGGCACTCCGGGCAGAGAAGGGTTGCCAGGCCTTCCTGGGGAGCCTGGAGTCCGAGGTCCAGCAGGGGCCAGAGGGGAAAAGGTGAGTGCCCAACTGCCCTGTCACCACTAGGAACTCTGAATAATAGTTTTGTGGAACAGTGCGCTCTGTGTGTGTGTGTGGGGGGGGGAGAGAGAGAGAGAGACTGTACAGCTGACAAAATGGTTCCAGTCTAAGTGGTGTTGTGCTCATCGGCAACATCCTCCCATCAGTAACTTTAGCAAAGCCGCAGGTGTGCATGAATTGTTATCTGGAAACAGCATTGGGAGGAAGGGAGTAGTTGTTGCCACTCCCCACCCCCAGAATCCCTTGTTGAAGCCACACTTCTCTGCCTCATAGTGCCCTATATTTTCCAGGGCACCAACTGCACGCAAGTTTGTGTGCATTTTGGAGGGTGCTCATAGGTCCTGTGCAAATAAGACCTTGAACGTATGGAATTCCCCGGCAGAGGCAGTGGGCAGAAGCACCCTCTGCCCGCATTCACACAACGGGTGATTTTCTGCACAGGCTTCCAGGGAAAGCCCTTTGCAGGGATGAGAGACAGTGCCCCAAACTGTTGTGTCAGACTTTGTCGACTCTTTGCTGATGCTCTCTGCCTTCTGCTCCAAAGGGCGATTCGTGTGTCTCCTGCCCCATCCTCAACGGAGATCTTTCCAATAAAGCTGGGATCCCAGGAAAACCTGGCCCAAAGGGGGACCGTGGGCTGCCTGGCGTGGGACAGCCCGGCAAACCAGTAAGTAGCTTTCCACATGCTCAGGTTCATGCATGGGGAAATTCATCAAACCGGAAGCCAAATTCAACGTTTTGGCCCAGCCACTGACACGAGTTTTGGTTATTTGCATAATCAAATGGAGCACTTCGGATGGCAACCTAGAAAGCAATGCATATTTGTGCGTGTGTATGTGTAGTGAAGGGGTCCAGGGGCTCAGAGCTGGGAGCCGATCCCCTTTCACTGGCCCACCCCCTCTTCCCAGCCATGCTTGCTTTCCTGCCTTGTGCACCCGTTTCCCCACATTCTGAAAGTCGAGGTGCCTCTCCTAAGGGCTTTCTTGCCAGCCGGGAGCACTTAAAGCTTTAAAGTCTGGCCTTTTTCAATGTGTGTGGCTCCACTCCTGGCGCATGTGGCCACACCCACCGTGGAGAACTTCTCCAAAACTGAATTTGGCCTTCGGGCTGCAGGCGGCGCACCCCTTGGAGAAATATCCCTGTGCCACCACAGAGTGTGATTTGAGAGAGGCCTTGATGGCTGGCCTGATGTGCATGGCTCTCCCTCGCATGCTCACATGCTCACGGACTCCCACAGCATCGGGCCCTCAGCACACCGGCTGTGTGCACCGAGGTGCTGCATCACTATCCTCCCTAGTAGCTCTTGATAGATCTCTTCTTCTCCGTGAATTTGTCTAATCCTTTAAGATATCAAAAGCAATCATCACAGCTTTCAGTAACAACTTTCGTGTTAATTATGCATTGTGGGAAGAAGTGCTCCCTTTCATCTGCCAGGCACCTGCTGCCATTCAGTTTTATTTGATGGCGTGGCGTTAACTGCCTGGTTTTAATGCCTTTAATTAACTGATGTGATTTACATATCGCGCCACCTCCATAAAGGATCTCTGGAAAGGATCTCCTTTGAGTAAAGGTGACCGTGTCTGTTAAGTATGTCAAATAATCATAACTTTAAAAGCTCCCATTCCTTAGTCGGAGAAAGTGAAACTATCTTTGTTGTTTCCATCAAAGCTGCAAAGTAAGCTCTCTTAAAATCCTATTAATTTTGTCACTCTTAATGGGTGCTTGGTGACAATGAAAGCGCAGGGTTCTGTTCTCTTTTCACAATTGAATACTGTTCTTCAGCCTCAGCAGAGGCAAGAAAGGTGAAATACACATTAGATAGGTACCTGTAAAATTTCAAGCAAGAACAGAAAATATATCAAATTTGCCACTAGGACTCAGAATTCAGCTCTTGTAAGATCTGTGTTCATTTTATTTTAAATGAAGAAACATGTTTATGGCCTTTATGATTGTAAAGAGGATCATGAAATGGTGCAAATGATGTCTGGTAAGTTCTAGAAGCTGGAAAACAAGTTGGCTGTATTTTTCATTGATCCAAGAATAAAATATAAAATAGAAATTTTATTTTATGTATTGTTCCTTCCTTCAACAAAGGAAATCAGACTAGATTATGTAAACTAAGAAAATCTATATATCTATATCTACATTCATATCTAGCTCATCTACAGGCATACCTTGATTTATTGTGCTTTGTGGATAATGTGTTCTTTGCAAGTTGAAGGTTTGTGGCAGCCCTACATCCAACAAGTCTGTTGGCACCATTTTTCCAATGACATGGCTCACCTAATGACTCCATGCACATTTTGTTAATTCTTGCAATATTTTAAACTTTTTGAAATATTTGATGATTATTATATTTGTTATGGCAACCTATGATCCTTGATCTTAGGTGTTACTATTGTAATTGTTCTGAGATGCCACACATCACGCCCATATAAGATGGCTGCAATCTCATGATAAAACTTTGGGAGTTGCTTCTTGTGGATGGGCAAAGAAAGTGGTTTCTTGTGATGGAATCTACTGCTGGAGAGGATGCTGTGAGGATTGTTGAAATGACAGCAAAGGGTTTAGAATATCGCATAAACTTAGCTGAAAAGCAGCAGCGGGCTTTGAGAGGAGTGGTTCCGATTTTGAAAGGCATGTCGTAGGCAGAATCACAGGGTGCTACCAAGCAGCATCACACGCTTCAGAGAAGAGGCAAGTGATGCATCAGACTTCACGGTTGCCTCATTTTAAGAACTGGCCACAGTCCCCCTCCCGCCCCCAGTCTTCAGCAGCCCTCCCCATCAGTCAGCAGCAAGGCCCTCCCCCCGCAAAAAGATTACGACTCGCTGAGGGCTTTGATGACGGTTAGGACTTTTTAGCAATGAAGTATTTTTAAATTAAGGTATGTATATTGCATTTTTAGACATAATGTTATTGCACACTTCATAGACCACAGTATAGTGCAAAAATAGCTTTTATATGTGCTGGGAAATTAAAAAATGTGTGTGCCTCGCTTTATTGTGATATTCCCTTTATTGCGGTGGTCTGGAACTGAGCCCGCAGTATCTCTGCGACTTGCCTGTGTGTCTAGATCTAGCTCTAGATCTCTTGTTGTTGTTGCTAGTAGAGAAGTCGGGTCCGACCCATCGCAACCCCAGGGACAACACTCCTTCAGGCCTTCCTGTCCTCCACCATCCCCCGGAGTCCACCTAAGCTCACACCGACTGCTTCAGTGACTCCATCCAGCCACCTCATCCTCTGCCGTCCCCTTCTTCTTTTGCCCTCAATTGTTCCCAGCATTAGGCTCTTCTCCAGGGAGTCCTTCCTTCTCATTAGGTGGCCAAAGTATTTGAGTTTCATCTTCAGGATCTGGCCTTCTAAAGAGCAGTCAGGGTTGATCTCCTCTAGGACTGACTGGTTTGATCGCCTTGCGGTCCAAGGGACTCGCAGGAGTTTCTTCCAGCACCACAATTCAAAGGCCTCAATTATTCAGCGCTCAGCCTTCCTTATGGTCCAACTTTCACAGCCATACATTGCAACTGGGAAAACAATAGCCTTGACTATACGCACTTTTGTCGGCAGGGTGATGTCTCTGCTTTTTAGTATGCTGCCTAGATTTGCCAAAGCTCTCCTCCCCAGGAGCAAACATCTTTTAATTTCTTGGCTGCAGTCCCCATCTGTGGTGATCTTGGAGCCCAGGAAAATAAAATCTGTTACTACCTCTATTTCGTCCCCATCTATTTGCCAGGAAGTGAGAGGACCGGATGCCATGATCTTTGTTTTCTTAATGCTGAGTTTCAAGCCAACTTTTGTGCTCTCCTCTTTCACCTGCATCAAGAGGCTCTTTAGTTCCTCTTCACTTTCTGCCATTAGAGTGGTATCATCTGCATATCTGAGGTTGTTGATATTTCTCCTGGCAATCTTAATTCCATTTGCTCTATCTCTAAGCAAATGTCCATGATTTCTGTGGGTTACACAATCCTATTTTTCCTGACACAGAACTTGAACAATCCTGATACTGAAAGTGGGCATCTTTTGGTGGTCATCCCAGAAGGCACATGAGCTGCTTAACACAAAAGTATTTATCGAGTGTATTTTTCTACCACCCAACAGCTGACAGGTCACCACTGTGGCTGGGGCATGACCCCAGGTTTCATTGTCCCAGCCAAAGCACAAAGCTTTGGGGCACAGAATGTTAAAGCAAATAAACCAGTTTCACAAAACATCAACCTCCCGATTAACACCATGTCCCGAAAGTCCTTCCGAAAGGGTGTTGGTGCCCTCCGGGTCTCCTGCACTCCTGGAACGTGCTGGGAATGCCAGTCCAGCACCTCTGAAGGGCACCGGATTGTGATTCATCATGAACCTAAATGAGTAATCAAACCAAGTGAAGTTTCTAGGCTCACTTTGAAATGGAATGCTCTGACGGCAACTGGCAGCAAGGCCTCAGAGATTTCAGCTTCCATATGCAGGTTTAGTCCCCAGCCCAAATCCAGCTCAGAACCTGGCATGAACTGAAAACCTGCTGCAAACCCAGAGAGGGGAGAACAAGTGCTATTTGGACATGGTGTAAAAGTGAATCCTGTAACTGCTGCCGAGTGTCTTCCGGGGGCGGGGTGGGGGGGTAAATCATTTGGGCTAACTCTTCTCCCTGTCTCTCCTCCATGCAGGGAAAACCAGGACTCCCGGGAATTCAGGGACCCCCTGGCTTGAAGGGGCTGCAGGTAAGTCAGAGTCAGCACTGCACGGGGATCAAAGCCTTGATCGAGGCCTGCCGGGAAGGCTGGGCTGCAGCTGCGGAGCACCAGACCAATGTGCCACAGCAGCTGCCCAGTGCCTGGGGAATGTTTCAGCTGCGAAGGGTGCAGCACCTGTGACTGAGCTGTGGTGTGGGGCCCTCGGTGCCCCCACGGCAGCCCCCGGGGTGTCCTGACCCCACCAGGGCTGCTGCCACACATTCCCATCTATACTTTCCACTCCCTCCCCAAGATGCTAATGACATGGAAGTCTCTTTTCTGGCTGCTGCTGGAAAGACTGTATAATCAATGGGAAGTGTCTCCCCCCCCCCCCCCCGTGTGAGAGAGAGAAAGGGAGGTGGGGGAGGAGAGAAAGGGAGAGAAACATAGAAGCAAAGTGAGTCAGAAGGGTCCTCCTGGGCCATCTAGTCTGACCCCCAGATCCAGCCGGCTCCGCTCACGACATGCCCACCATGTGCATGCCCAGCCTGTCCTTGAACACCTTCAGCGATGGGGCCTCAGCCACCTCCCGTGGAAGCCCATTCCACGCCCTCGGGGTCCTGACTGTCAGGAAGTGCTTCCTGGCATCCAAATGGAACCGTGGCTCCCTGAGCTTTGCTCCGTTGGAGCGTGTCCTGCCTTCCTCTGCAGGGGAGAACAGGTCTCTACCCACCTCTGTGAGGCACACCCCCATGCACCATACAGAGAGAGAGCACCTGCTTGTATATTTGGGTGTGCATCTGCACACAGACCCCAACCCCTGAGCCAGCATCGCATGTGCCCACTCTTGGACTAAGGGACTGCATGGAGGATGAGGGGCATAAAGCCCGCAGCGAGAAGAAGCACTAATCCATAAGGTGGTTCTGTGGAGATTGCCTAAATCGCTCTGGCTGAGGTGGATTTCATTCCTGGGCTGCATTTGAGGCTTCCCTGTTTCCCTAACCTGCCTCTTGCATTCTTCCAGGGGGAGCCAGGGCCCCCCGGGGTAGGCAGCCAAGGTCCGGAGGTAAGTATCGCACTTTCTGTGCCTGGCACCGTTTCCTCCAGCTACGCATTGCAAAATTAGACTGACCACTCAGGCACTTCTCTCCTGTTCCTCAGGGAGAACCTGGGCAGAAGGGCTCACCTGGCAATCCTGTAAGTACCTGCATATATGTGGTGCATTTTACATGCATACATACATACAATACTTGTCAGACCATGCACACCCAAGGCAACGCAGACCCCAATTCAGTGGATACCCTATCTGTGGGACTGGCTATCTGTGGGACTGGCTTGCAAGTCCAGGTTGGCCAGTCCTGCTGTCCTGGCAGTTCCTTCCGACAGGAGGGGAGAGGCCCCAAACCCAGGAGTCTGCAGCCCAGGGGGTTTCCTGAGCAGGTGTGTTGTCACAGATCAGCCTTGTGGGAAACCTCAGCATGGATCCCATTAATTGGCGCAGTCAGGTCACTTTAGGTCCTGGTCCTGGTAATGGTCTGAGGGTGGGGGGGCATGTGTATCACTTCAGTTGTGAAGCCCAGACTCCATGCGCAGCAGCCACTTCTACATCCCTAATGTGTCAGCATGCTTGCCAACCCTTCAAAGCAAAACTCAGAACATGTGCTCAGAACTCAGTTTTGCATTTCAGGTGTGCTTAAATTATATGCCGACTAGAACTGCACTAATAAAGTGGAGCTTGTTTTCCCTACCCTGATGCCCTCAACATCTGGTGCTTTCTGGGTGGTTGGGGGAGTGACTGTCTATGCTCCTGGGACCCCGGGGAACAGGGCTCTTTGGCCCTGGGTGGTCCCCAGAATCCTTTTGGCCCTTTTCACTTGAGTTTCACTGGCAGCCCAGGTTCACCACAATATGGAGATTGCCTTCAACTGGGCAGGTTGCCCCAGATGTTGACACACAGGTCATAGGTATGCCACCAACATGTTTTCCAGTCTTCTGAAATTACTTCACCTGCAAGATCACCTTTTCTAAAGGCCTTGCAGACTTGCAGTGTGGTAGGCCAAAGTTTGACAAGACCTTTTCTGCCGCTGAATTCCAACAGCCAGGCATGTTCACTCTGGCCCTTTGATCTGTGCTGCACTTTTCTGCTCCACAGGGACCGCCAGGACCTCAAGGCCCCTCAGGAAAAGTTGGGGAAAAGGGGGAAAAGGTGAGCATTTGGACGGGGACTATATAATATACTTTCGGGCAGCAAATGAATATGGAGCATCCAGCAGCCTCCACGAACGTAGATGAATTCAAAATTAATTTCTTTTCCAATTCCTGTGAATTGTACCAGGTAAATGCTGACTTTGTTAGAGTCTCACATCTCGCTCTTCAGACACCCGTTGTTTTCTCCTAGGCTGACTTCAGTAGTGAAGTTCCTCACTTCCATAATGTTGACGTTTCCAGGCTGTTCACATTTTCACACTTCAGTCAGTGGGGAGAAATGTGCATTTTTGCATTCAAAACACACACCGTGCCTGTTCAAATGAAAAGGGCAAACAGCTCGCAAACAGGAATGAGAGCGAGGCAGCCTGAGGTTCAACGAGGAATTTGGAAAATCACACAAGCCCCTTGCCTCCTTGCCTCGTCCGTACCTACAGCAGCACGGAGCCCATGCTTCCAGGATCCTGGGAAACGCTCCTTTGCCCGTGACATTTCATGCCTAAGAGGCAGTTGTTCAGAATTCCTGCGTGGGCCACACTGAGTCGTAGCTCTTGTTTCTCTGTGATACTTGGAACCACCAAGGCATCTTCTGCCACGAACAACATTCGGCCGCGCCTTTCCCGTAAGCCACTGCTGTGGAACGCCCTGTGCACATGGGCTTGCCTGGCACCTCCTTTGGCGGCAGTCCAGCACCAGGCAAAGACTCCTTGCATTAAGCTGTTTCCCCTCCATGCAACTCCATGTAATTTGTTTTCTTATGCTACACATTTTGCTTATACATTTATTAGCACAGTGCCAATTTTCTGGAGCTATTTACTTTCACCGTATTTTCACCTGGGAACGGGTGAAAACAAACCCAACGTGAAAATGGTGCGAAGGGGTGAAAATTTCAGAGACACCAGTGTGCAGAGTTCTGTAAGTGCACCTGGGAGCTTCAGTGCATCTGCAAGAAAGCCAAAACAGCCACGGAGGCTGAGAGGACAGAAACTGAAAACGTCGCAAAATAAAGAGCAAACATGCCACCGCTTCCATTCTTGGTCTCCTCCTTCCAGTAAAGCACTGATGCCTCTATCCTGAGCATCAGTTTCTCTGGGATTCTTAGCCCCTTTGAAATGCAGGCAGAAAAACGCCTCCCTCTTTCACGGGACAGTGAAGAGGTTGCAAAAATGTCGGCAGAGTTTCGGCATACTTTAAATGGCTTTATTTCTTTCATGCTGTTAGAACACCCTCCGCCTGGGTATAACGTTGTCATTCTTGTTGTTTCTGCTTTGTCTAGGGCTCTCTGGGTCTTAAAGGAGCCATAGGCCCTCCTGGACCTCCAGGTGCCAGCATCACTGGCCCACCAGTAAGTGTGCGGCCCCTTGGCCACTGCTTCCGGGCTCTTGGGAGGCTTCCAGGCACTACCACCTTCCCGTCTTGCGTGCATTTCTGAGCCGCTTGTTCTCTTCCCCTTCCCCTCCAGGGTCAAGAAGGCCAGCAAGGCCTCCCAGGGGTTCCTGGCTCTGATGGTGCAATGGTAGGTAAGCTGCATGGAAGCATTTGTGCTTGCTTGGGGGGAAATTTTCCTTGAAAAGGAAGGGGGTCTTGCCCAATTACCTGTGAGCTGAGCTCCTTGATCAAATACGTAGCTATGACAGCAAGCAAGGTGCAGTGACTCAGAGCACAGCTCTGGCACTCAGGAGATCCAGGTGCTGGTCCCTGCTCTGCCGTGGAGCCCACTGGGTGACTTTGGGCCAGGAACTCGATCCCAGCCCAACCTACCTCACAGGGCGCTTGTTGTGAAGATAAACTGGGGAGGAGGCGGAGAATGATTGAGGCCACCTTGAGTTCCTTGAAAGGAGAAAAGGAAGAATAGGAATGCAGTAAAAAAGCTAGCTTAGGCCATCCCGTTGCTGGCAAATTGAAGCCCTGGTCTTCAAAGTGGGAGGAACTGGCTCAAAATGAGCGGCAGTGCCTCACAGCAGTGGTTTCTCAGTGGAGACTTTCTCTGGGAGAAGCTCCTCCACCACCCACCTCCTTAAAATCCAGAGAGGCCCCTAACCTAGAGAAAAGGTACCCTGGCACTTTCTCCCATGCAGGAAGGCTTTGAGGTCTTCCAAAGAGGCCCTTTGGCCAGTTCCGCTATCATGGGAAGCCCATTTGGTGGGGAGGCAAGAGAAGGTCTTTTCTCTTGGTTCCACCTTCCGGCTTGGCATGCCCCACTGAGGGAGAGCCAGGCCGCCGTCCTGCCAGCAGGCAGAGGCATGCTTCCTCGGGCCCCGAGCGCATGAGCTGGTCTGGTGCTAAGGTCGGTCCTGTTGGGTTGGTGTTATTTTTATCATTGTATTGCTTCACCTTTAAATTGTGATTTTAATGTATTTGTCTCTGTGACTGTCTTAACTAGGGTTATTTTAATGTTACTTTTATTGCTGTTAGCCACCTTCAAGGCCATGTTTTGTACAATTACAGGGTATATATCAAATTGTTGTTCTGGTTGTTGCTATTGTTAAAAAAACTGAGCTGCTTTTTGAGGGCATCCTTGGTTCACCTGCACCTCCTGCCCCCAGCCTGGCATAGGTTGCGGTGCAGGTGAGCCAAGGATGCACACGCTGCCTCTGATCTTTGGAGGTGCCCTGGGCAAGGTGCTGTGCCAGGCCCTGCCCATCTCGGGGCTCAGGACATGCGCGGCTATGCTGCCTTCAGACGCGTGAAACTCCGCATCTCGTGCTACTGTGACCAGTGGCGTGCAGGCAAATTTCTGAGGCGGTGGGAAGCGTCCTTCCTGATAGTCAGAGCCGCAGCAAAGCCATGCCCCTCAAGCCACCACCCCATTGCCAAATTGTGTGGCCTGTGATTATGCGGTGAAGATGATCCTTGTCGCTTTGTTTGAGTTTCTGTTGAGTAATGGATGCAAGATGAGGGTTCCTCTTTCTGAGGTGAAAAGGGAGAGTACGCCTGGCTTTGGGGATTCAGTGACCCCCTGAGGGCCCCCCAAAATAAGTGGGGGTGCTCCAACCTTATGAGGGCCCCCTCGCCTCACCTTTGAAGATGACCAAGGTGTGGCTGTTGACGTGAGCCTCTTGTCTCCCCCACCCCGCCGCTGCCAAAAAAACAAAAAGAAAGCAGAATTAAAATGATTCAGGGGTGCAGAGTCGAATATGGGGAACGCAGGGAACAGAGCTTGTTTTTCTCCAGCTGTGCGATTGCTCAGTGCCGTTCTGATGACAAGCGGGGTCTCAAAGGCCAAGTTGCAACACCAGAAAGCAAATTGGATTTGGGGCATGTTCCCTCGCTGAATAGCCTCAGATGTGATTAGGCACTGAGATAAAGGGATTATTAATTATGCGCTCCCCGCTCATGGGAAGACCTCTGAGCGCCGAAGTTGAAACCGTCCCGCGTGCCGCCCTGTGCGGTCCCTTTTGTGGCCCGCAGCCTTTTCGTGTGGCTCCAGCTGATCTTTGCCTGTCGGGCTGCATCGTTTCATCCCCCAGGTGGGTGGCGGATGGGCTGCCGCGCTGTGGCATGCCAGTGGGAGACTGTGCCTTGCATTTGGGACCCGGCCCAGCAGATGCATCCCCGAAGCATCTCAGACAGGGAGCCTGAGGGAGGGCAGGCACTGAGACGCACCCTTGGGCGATACTTCCAAATCAGCCCGAGAAGGAGATGCATCACCCAAAAGGGGAGACACTGGAATGCAACTCCCAAATGCTCGTGCAGGGATAGACGTGAATTTTAGACGGCGCGATGATGCAGGCAGGAATTGCTTGCTGGAGTGGGAGAGCCCTGTGCCCGCCTCCAGGGGAAGCCGTTGATGGGCAGCAGGTCTGATGGGCTCTGGCTTCAAACCAGAGCCAGGCAGGGCAACCTTTCAAACACAGGACACCCTCAAAGGGGGGTAGGTCTGTGGCAGTCCTTACAGTAGAGGACTGCTCTCTGTAAAAGGGGACATACAGCTGCCCTAGATAAATAAATCGAACGAAGGCTAAAATAGTGTGTAGCACAATATGGAAGTTGGTGGGATACCACACACACACACACACACACACACACACACACACACAGAGTGCTGGGCACGGGAACCACCTTCACCTTCAAGGGCTTTGCTGCCTTGGGAATGAGCCGACCGAGGCAGCTGCCAGTGGTGGATCGGGGCCAGGGCCCCAGCCGAGCGGTGCTGCCCCATTTCTCTCTCGTTCCCTCTTCCTGCCAGTCCATGTCACATTCACCTTGGGTTGTCCCAAAACGGAAGCGAGGTTCATGGCCTCGTGCGCAAATATCACTGAGTGAAGTGATACAAATTACCCACGGAAGGGAGGGAGGAAGGAAATAAGTCCAGCTGTTTTCTGGGTCCAATAGACATTTTTCCTTGAGAAGCAATATTTATATAAAACATTGGATGTTTAGTCTTTACATAAACTTATTTACCTTCAAATAGTAAACTGTGTTTCCTTGATAGCAAGAGATGGAATGAAAGCATAGAACATGGACAGAAATACAACGTGGTGGTTCAGATGTGAAAAATGGATTTCAAAATGTTTTTAGAGAATTATTTCTGGAGCATGCCTTCCTTTAAAAATAATGGAATGTCTTATTTGTAAGAAATTTCTGAGCTGTCCCAAAAGGAGAAGAGAAACCAGCATAAGGAACACTGTTTCTATCCTAAAATCTCTCAGTTCTGCCCTTTAATATCTGTATGTTTCTAATGAGCTGCTACATGATTGTTAATGAAGAGTGCAAGCTTGGTGGTCATTAAAAATGGACTATTAATTTTGCCAAAGTTCCCAGCTGTGACTATAAGAAAATGCATTTTGGTTCTTTGGTCAGCACTTTTAAACAACATTTTTTCTTTAAGTTTGAAAACAAGATTCCTGCCTGGAGGTCAGAGCTTCTTTGGAGTCCTGTTGTGCTTGGCTGTGTTAACTGTGGACTGTTTTAATCAATTAATTACTATACCAAAGCTGAAGCTATCTGGGCAGTTTACAACACCACATAAAAATATAAGATAGACAAACATCATTAAAAACTTCATAAAAAGATTAGCATGCAAAAATTTAAACCCAAATTTAAAACATACATAAAAAGTTACAATAGAGCATACAAATTAAATCATAAGACCCGTTTAAGCAGCTAACAACATCCCAATAAATAGTAAACTAATGAGAAGTCCTGCAGGAGACAGTCTTCACCTGGCCCGAAAAGATATCCATTTGGTGCCAGGTGGGCCTCAGTGGGGAGCTTGTTCCATCCCTGGGGCAGCACCACTAAAAAGGTGAAAAGTGAATCTAAGGAGGACAAGACCGTGAGCGCGAGTCAGTCCTTTCCATAATATTCATGCAGCCTGTCTCCTTCCCGCCCCCAGTGCTATTTTTTCTTGCTTTCCTCCCCTCTCCCTTTGTCCATCATTCCCTCCTTCTCCCATGAGAAGGGGCCTGGGACAGGGACAGACCCTCTTGCAACATGGGTGTGAGAGTGGCCCAGCATGAGCTCGGCAGTGGCTGGTGGCCAGTTGCCGCCCTGCCGGAATGCCCCTCCTGGGAAGCCGATGCACAGGGCACATAACGGACTGGACTGGACTGGACTGGACTGGACTGGACTGGGCAGGGCCGGGCCGGGCCGGGCCGGGCCGGGCCGGGCCGGGCAGGCAGGGAAGGCCAGGGCTGGACTCTCTTTCCTGAAACTTTCTGGAAAGCCGAGCGCTCCAAGCAGAATCGCTAAATGTGGGCTGGTAGGAACCAGAGTCGGACTCCTGGAAGAGGCATCAGCTGGGTTTCCAAGGGAACGGAGGGGGCTGCTCAAGGTGGGAGTCCGCTTGCAGAGGAAAGGCTTGCCACGCGGCAGAGTGCCAGGCGGCCTGGAGGCGGGAGGGGGGAGCCGGCCGGTCCAAAGGGCCCTGCTGGTAGCTGGGCTCGGCCGCTTGCCCGGCCCCGTTGTCACCTGCCTTCTTTTTTCTCCAGGGTGAAAAAGGAGTCAAAGGCGAGAAGGTGGGTCAGCCGCGTCCCCCTCCTCCCCGCTCTGCGGACACTTGCTGCTCCCGGCCCAGGCTGCGGGCATCCCACACCACCAGAACCCTGCTGAATAAACGCACGGGGCTGGCTGTGCCCTGCACACAGCCCTTGGCCGTTCTGGGGGCAGGGCTCACCCTCGAGGGGTGCCAGCATGCGGCCCGAGATCCGGGGTGGGGGCCGGAGGAGCCAAGAGCGCTTGTTCATGTGGACGGGGGTGCTGCGTTGAAGAGCGTGGCCGGCGGAGCCCTTGCCCTCCGCCGTGCGTCTCCTGTGCTCTCAGCCCGGCCCTCGCCTTTGTCTCCGCAGGGAGATGCCGGCGAATGCGCCTGCCAGCCCGGCTCGCGCGTGGACCCGAACTTCGTGGGCCTGCCGGTAAGTGCCGCTCCCCGCTCCCCACTCCTGCTTCCCCAAGGCCGGGGGCTTCGCTGCCAGGCTGGATGGAGGTTCAGGCCACCCGCGCCCCCTTCTCCGCTCAGCCGCTCAACGCCTGTGCTGCCCTGGAGGCTGGAACCCCCGTGCCCCGCTTGGCCTTTGCTAAACGCTCTCCCCTTTTGGACCTGCAGGGCGCCCCAGGACTGTGGATCGGGACCTCCTGGCAGCCTCAGCCAGGCCCTCAGGTGTGTGTGCGTGCATGCGTGCGTGCGTGCGTGCGTGCGTGCGGGCTTGCTCTTCTCTGCGTGGCCACCCCGGCTCCTCGGCGCCCGTCCCTCAGCCCCGTGCACACATAACTGCATCTCCTCTCTTCTCCTCTCCCTCAGGGACCACCAGGTGCTCCAGGCCCACCCGGCCCACCAGGAGCTCCTGGAAGGCAGGTAAGCAGTGGGGGAATGGTGCACCCCGGTATCTGATGGGCTGGTCTAGCATACAGGCATGCTTATCACTGCAGCCCCAGAATGCTGGTCCCCACAGGCAAGACAGAGCCCTAAAGGCCTCCCTCAACCTGGAAGATGCCGGCTTTCGGGCCCTGGGTTCGGTCTTGCATTGTTGGTTGCTCGGAGCAAAACGAAACTGGCAGCTCTGCTTGGGCCGTTACTCCGGGCCGACTCGGAGCTGTGCGAAGTGCTCAGCCAGCCGGCTGTGGCTGGGAGGCGGCCCAGGGGCTCCAGAACATGCCCGCCCCCATCCCTGCCGCGACCGCACGGAGGGGCACGGCAGGGCCAGAGTGTTCTGCAGCCACGGCCTTCTTAGCTCTGGACAGCCTCTGCCAATGGTGATCCAAACCAGGAGACGGGGCTGCCCACCAGCCCTTGGTGAGGAGGAGCCTGGAGCACCTCCCGGGGCCTTCCTGGACGGCAATTTCTCCCACCGGGGCCACCCTACGCTTCGGAAAAACAAGCACTGATCTAGGCCTCTGGTTCTCCCTTCTGGCCCAAAGTAATCAGGGAGGGCAAGATCCAGCAAGTGAGTTGGCTCTAAGAAAGAGAACTTTGGCCACTGCCTCTGTGCACATGCAGTGGCTGGATCCCCATCTTCCACTGATGCTAAAGTAGCACCTGTCTCTCCACCGTGCCCCCCTCTGCCTGCCGCAAGACCACCAGGTTTGCCTTCTGGAGGTGCTGCAGCTTGCAAGCACATGCCATACGCGGTGAGGCCCAAGCGCTCCTCTGGCTCGGCTTCTGATCCAAGCTGCAGAGCGATTCTTCTCCCACTGCGCTCCCGCCCCTGCAGCCCCCTCCATCAGTCTCCCGAGCGCTCTCCCTACTTGCCCGCCCCCCTCCCCACTGCTCTAGCGCTGGTGCCTTGAGGCAGGGCCTGTCGGCCTCTGGGTCAGGTCAGCACTCCGTATACAAGGGGGCAAAGCAGCTGCCAGCAGGGCCCCTCCAGCAGGACGGCTGCAGGGCCTCCTCTTGCCCAGCACCTCAGCGACTGGTGTATGCTGGCGTGCCACCCCTGGCGAAGGAGGCAGCCCGTGGCCAGCGGGGCTGGTAGCCACAGAGAGCTTCCTCCTCCTCCGTGAGTCTGTCCAGTCGCCTTTTAAAGCTCTCCAGACTGGCGGCCCTCATTGCTTCCCATGGCAGTGAATTCCATCTGTGTGAAAGACTTCCTTTGATCGGTCCCAAGCCTCCCAGCAGTCAGTTTTATGGGATGACACTGGGTTTGAGTGTTCGGGGAAAAGAAGAAAACGTCTCCCTTGCCACTTTCTGCGCACCATGTAACACTCCATCAGGCCTGCCCTCACTCACCTCTTTTCCAAGCCTGGAGCACCAGAGCTTGTTAATGCCGAACAAGACGAAATCTCTGAATTTCTGTTTTGTTTCTTAAGATTCCTAAGCTAGGGGGCTGGCTTGCTGCAACGAGGAGGGCCGCCTCCCAGCGCCATCTTGCTTTGGGTTCAACAAAGAGTTTGGGGGCCGTCTGGGAGCCTTACCCTTCGACTCTTCGGCAGGCTGCTTTTCTTTCACCCTTGTCTGTCTGTCTCCTGGGGAGTGGGACTGTCGTGACCGGCTGGCCTCCTCCTGGCACCCACTCCACGGGGGGGGGGGCACCCCCCTGCGGCAGCCATCTGGGGCCTACAGCCCTCACTCAGCATCCCAAATTAGTGCACAACCCAATGTGTTGGGACCCCACTGCGTTGGCGGCAGCAGCTGGGGAAGGGAAAGGGGGAAGCCTTCCCGTCTTTTCTCCTCCAGTGTTTGGCGGTTGGAATGCAGCTGGGGCGCAATTGCCCCCTCGAAAATTCAGGCATTTGCAGTAGCTCTTGGAAAAACTTCCTTGCCCAGGGACTGCATGAGCCCGGCATACTAGGTGAGGTTGCCAGGGATGCTGGGAGAGAGGTGTGGAGAGAGGCCTCCTTCCATCTTGCTTGCTACTAGAGACAGAGAAACACGAAAATGAGTGAGGCAGAAGGGGTCTCCCGGGTCATCTAGTCTGACCCGGCTGCAGCTAGCTCCGCTCATGACGTGCCGTTCCATCTTGCATGCTACTGCTGCAGCCACAGCAAATGCAAAGCGAGTGGGGTGAAGGAAAGTGGGGAAAGAATCGGGAAGAGGGAGAAAAGCTGAGGCTGGGTGGTAGGGAAGGGGCAAGTGAGGTGGGGGAGGGAAGGGAGAGGGGATTTGCAAGAGTGGGGGGAGGAAGGGCTGTGGGGTGGTGAGGGAGGGGGCCTAGAGGCTGCCGGCGGGGTAGCATCCCCCTAAATTCCAACTGGCTCAGAAACGATGTCCTAGTTCCCACATCTGGGTGAACTATCTCAGCTTCTTTCGAAGCAGTCTGGTTTGAGGCTGGGAGTGGGGGACCCCCCCACCCCAGAGCCTTCCGCTTTCTGTTCCCAGTTAATACACCCCAACCAGTTTTTAATAACATTAGGTATGTCCAGTTACCGGGGTTGTTACTTTCTGATGGGCTGAAGAAACCCCAGATGCCCCCCCGGTGGTGTGGGGGTAGCAGTTTCGTAAGTCTGTAATGCTCGCCTGTTCCTTTTGGCACCAGTGGGCCGGAGTGTCCCCGCTTTCGGCAGCCAGCTCCTTCTAGCCCTGGTTGATGGCCTCAGAGGAAATGTGCCAGTCTTCATAGTCACACCCGACAAGGAGATCACTCAAATCCAGAATGTTTTAAGCACCTCTTCCTCCCGTGAAGAGCCAGGGCAGACGGGAGCCTGGGAGAAGGTCGCTGCGAAGAGTTCCTCAGCACGCCGGCTTTAGGGCCCACACAGTTTCCACAGTGCAGTAAACAGATGATCGAGTTGCGTCTGAGAAGCAGTGCGCAGAGCAGGCTGGGGGGGATGCAGGAAAGTGCAGCAGGAGAACTCGCAAGTCCGGAGGGAGAAGGGGCAGCAGGGAGGCCCCGATTTGGCTGCCGCAGCCCCTGGGCCGCCAGGAGACTGTCCTGTATTGACCACCGCCAAGGGCGGAAAGGGATGTGGGGCTGCCGGCCAATGCATCAGGTTGGCCAGGCGCAGAAGAGGGCAGGGCCCCTGCCTGGTCCGCACCCCTACTGAAAGTACAGGAGCCTCTCCCTCCCCTTCAGCTTTGGGCTGGCCGATAATCAGGCGGTCAGGCGAGGAGAAGCAGGTGAAGGCGCTGGGGAGGTGCAGGCGGAGGGGCCTGTTCTGGATCCTTCCGCATGGCCAGCAATAGGGAAAGAACCCTTTCGGAAAAAAAAGAAACAAACAAGGACGATTTGGGAAAGGACAGCTGGGAAGGATGCACGTTTTCAAAGTTTCTCCTTGCCTTTAGGGCATCCCAGGACACAATGGCATGCCGGGACTGCCTGGGCCGGCGGGAGACTTGGTAGGTACGGGACTGGAGTGTCCGCCTTTCCTTGCCCTCGCTCGGGCCTGTGCTTAGTGCGGCTCCCCTTTGCTCAGTCTTCCCAAGGCCCCTCTGTCACCTCACCAGAAGTGCAGCAAAGGTCCGGCCACACCAAGAGTCTGTTCCTCACAGGAGCAGCCGCCAGGGCTGCTTGAGGGAGCCCATCCGGAGTCACACTGCTTTGCAAGCGACCGTCCACCGTGCTTTTAAGGACGAGATGGATTGCTTTGCCATGCGCCTTTATTTCTTTCCCCCTCTCCCTTTCTCCACTGCAGGGGCCACTGGCTGCTGAAAGTATCAACGTGCTTAAGGTGAGGACAAAAGGAGATGTGGTTGTAATGCAAAGTGCAGAATCTGAGACCCTGGGACTGAACTGATGAAAAATATTCGTCCAAAGAACAGGTTGGATGGATGGATGTCTGTCTGTCTGTCAAGGGCAGTTTAGGGACAGGTCGTCTGCATTAGAATGCTGGGGTGGACTGCGGCAGTTCCAGAAAGGGTGACAAAAAATGGTAGGAGAACGTGCTGAGAGCATTTGCCGCCACAAATGGAGACAAATGCCAAATTAAAACCGGAGCATGTGGTTTATCTATTTTGACTGCTCATAAGGTCTTTCCTGTCTTCAGAAAAGTATGGGTTCCCACTGATTGATGAAAGGCTTGGCTGGATGGAATTAATCGGGTGAGGGAAATGGCCTGGGAGATGTGGTCGGGTTGAGGAGGTGAAATAAAAGGCGAATGGCTTTATAAGGATGTTTAGCACACACTGAATCCATATGCATTCTTAGGTATAATTACTCTGAGCAGAGTAAAGGAAGCGATCAGAAAGAAAATTATGTATATTTATTGTATGATAATAAGCTATTTGTAGGTCGCTGATTTTTATGGAAATACGTTTTATGTATAGCATGGTAAAATTACTGTATTATTGCATTTTTAACTAATTGAAATAAAACTTATTGAATAGCAGCAAAACCAAAGAGCCCCACCCATGCAATTAAACTCGGCTTCATCTGAATTTCACCTATACTAAAAGAGAGCTGTGTGGTGGGGCATTTGTGGTGAAAATGTGAGGAAGCATTTTCAAACGAAAGCCAGGTTTGCTCATGCTTTGCCCGATGGAGATGTTGTGAGTGGCAAAAGCTGCTTCAGCGCCAGGGCCGTGGCCCCCACCCTCTCTGTCCTAAGCCCAGGATTCGCACTTGGCTACCTTTGCGCCGGCCACAGTGGTGGCGACTCCCCCGGGGAAGGCGTGGCCAGTGCAGAATGCCATGCATCCCTGCTCTTTTCTCCTCTTCCATGCCAGACCATTTGCGGAGACTGCGCTCACCTACCGGCCTTCCAGGTCCCCAGCGGAGTCAAGGGGGAAAAGGGGGATCAGGGCATGCCTGGAGCTCCCGGCATAGAAAATTGCGCTCGGGTGAGTAGCCCCTCCCGCGCACTCCGGCATCCTGCAGCGGGGCTGGAAAACGCTGCAAATCAGGTGGTGGAAGTGGTGCTGAAGCATCACATCAGCGTGGCTTATAACGTGTGGCCCCTCCACGGCGCTGGCAGGTCCGTGCCTCTCAGCACATTGCAGTGAATGTTGGAAGCGCATTGCATGCCAACATTATCATTTAAAAGTTAAGTTTAAATGCATCTGTTGTATCGTTAAGCCCATTGCAAAGGCATAAAACTCAGATAAATCCAATGCAAGCATTTTGTCTGTTCATATAGACAAATAACATCCACCCAGCTATCTCTTGGCCTCATCATTCTTCCTAATCTTTCACAACAAACCATTGCAAGATCATATCTATCCATCCAAAGATTACACTTCTGCCATTTCTTTCCCAGTGATCAACAGAAGCAACAAAAACTGGCCATTTGCAAGTTCTTGTCACCCTTGATTTCCTGTTGGGTTTCTGTTTTGCTCTGCGGCGCTTCTCCTCTGCGCCCGTTCCGAGAGGAAACGCTCTTCCCAGCTTGCGCTTGTTTGCCTGGCATCTGCATCTCCCTGCCTTCCCAGGTGTTCGGTTAGCCATGCCGGCAGAGCTGCAGTGCCGTGGATTTGCCACTTTTCAGGAGGCCTTCATGCTGTCATGAAAAGGCCCTGCAGACTTCTGTGAGTGAGGGATTATGAGTGCACAATCCGTGCTGCCTGTACAGAAGCCCTTCATCTGCAAAGCAGCATATTCTGTATGCCACTCAGCGCTTGTTTTCCCACAGTCTAACAGCTGGGCCCCTGCTCTTTTTCTACCTGTCCACAATTCTGAGTATTTGAGGAGGTAAATTAGATGTGTTAGAAGGTGTTTACTATAAGAGATCCCAAAATTGAGGCATGACCCTTTTCCCCCCTCGGTGAACAGCCTGTCTTGTCCCCTTCACTTCTTCCCATGGTTACCTGAAATGGTGAAAACAGGATGTGAAAGGGCCCTGCTTTAAGCCGGCAGAAGCAACTCATTTCCAAGCGCCAAGTGCCAAGAGGGCAATCACAGTCCTGGACAGGAGTTTGTTTTCACATGGAGTAGGCAGCTGGGATGGTGTGGCCTGCTCTGCCTCACCCTGTGCTCTCCCACTACCCATTTTTATTTTATTTCTCCCATTCTCCATGCTTTTCACATAATGTATGAGCCCACAGGAGCATTACGATCCACATCAGAGGCACTGCTCTTTGGTTTCTCCTGAAGAGCCATTAGGCCAGTGAGAACAAGGGCAGGGATTTCCCAGTGGTGGCCCCAGCAAATAACTCCAGCGTTCCTTGAATTGTCACAGATGATGACAGCAAGCATCTCTTGGAGCAGTATGCAGCCACACATGGTTTAAACAGTTGCAACCAATGCAGCCTTCCAGGGGGTTCTGGGGTGCCCTTGTAGGATGCCCACAGTGACGCTGGCTCCACCAAGAATACTTCTGTTCCCAAATGTGGGTTAGCCCAGCATGTGTAACCAAGCACTTGAGCAAATGCTGAGTTTTACTGGTAAACCATGTCACAGTTACTGGATTAGGAATTAAACTATCTACATCTCTGTTACTTTCAGTGCTTTGCCCAGTTCCCCAGAGCAGAAGAGCCTCAGGTGAGTAGAACTTTTGGGCTGTGTCTATGCAGAAGGTGGTACGGGAAAGAAAGGTGTAGCCAAGGTCCATAGAACTGCCTTGCTTCCACCAAAGTGCACGCCAAGGGACACGAAACGTGCTGGGGATCAGCAGCAGTGGGGGAGGGGCAATCTTGGGCTGTCATGCTGAACATGGTCCCCCGGTAGCACATCCTGTCCTCGTACATGATCCAAGGCAACCCACTCAGGTTGCTGGTGCTGCAGTTCCATCAATGCTTTGTAGAATTGCAAGGGCTTTGTGAGTTATACATACTTTGAATTTTTCCTTGCGCTCTGAAGGGAGCTTGAGCAGGTGATGAGCCATGTTTGGCCAAGAAGGGGAAGCGGGGAGGGAGCTGTCAGTGGATGAATATCTGCAAAAGTGCCTCGTATTCTTTTAGTTGTTGTGGGGGCTGCTCCACGCATGCAGCAGAATAGGGGATAACAGTTAATCTGTGCAGCAGGAAGCATGAAAGGCAACGCCATCCTGTCTGTTGTTTGAGCAGGGACCCCTCACTTACCTGCGTCAAAGCTGATGGGCAGTTTATGGAATACAATGCAGTACTGCAATCAGTGGAAGAAGGCTTCTGCTCCTCTTCCTGGTGGCCTTCCTCATTCCCTGAATGGGCCTGTGCAAAAGCGCTGCATTGAAATGAGATGATGCCAGGAATGAGTACAATGGCGAGGGAGAAGCACGCTTACGGTTTGTTAGAGTGGCAAGAGATGGAACTCCTGTGGATTTTTTAAATGGCCAGAGCTGCCTGGCTGACAGTGCTGTGGAGCGGCTGTCTTTCCCCTCACGTGAGGCCAACGGCAGCTGGGAGGCAGTTTGTGCTGGGGCAATGGAGTAGTGGAAAAGAAATGAACTCCCTTCCCCCAAGCCCAGGATCTTTATGACCTCAAATCCCTTTGCAAATGCATTTGCCATTTATAAAAAAATGTGGGAGCTCCAGTAATTCATTTCCTGCTTTTCCATCTAGCTTGGCCTTTAGCATTATAAGTATAGAAATATTATGTCTGTAGTCAACAGCGCATGTAAATACATAGTTTAAAACAGCTGTGACAAATGCACTGATTCAGTTCGTGATGGGTTCTGGAAAATGTAAGGTCCTGGCCTAGTTCCAGACCACCGATCTAATCTGTTATGGGTTTTGGCATGCCATTCTCCTCTAGTTCCAAGGGAGTTCTGCCCCCAAACCCTGCATTGGCCGCTCTTCAGTCATGGAATCCACTCTTGGGTAATCAGCAGTTTTACTTACATGGCACAAGTGCTCAGTTTGCTGAGATTCCCCTCCACTGGCTCTTTCCTTGAAAGAAGATTAGCCAGACATTCACAGGTGGTGGGGTGGTGCAAAAGACCAGGAGCATGGGCAGAACCAGCAAATGTGAAAACAGGCCGATATCCATTCCCAGGATTGCCTTCCCAAATTATGATTCCTCCTGGCTGCTTAAAGACCTGCAGCCTTCATTGCCACTGGAATCACATGGGCAAGAATCGAATTAGGTGGCCAAGGGAAGGATGCTGAAGGTGCCGGCCCACGAGATCTAGACCGGCGTGTGGAAATCGCCGGCCCTCTTGACCTCTTGAAAAGGCTCAGTGCATCTTGTCTCCCCATCCAGGATGAGAGTGACAACGAGCAAGACTGTGTTGGCCAGCCTGGAATCCCCGGCCTATCCGGAGAAAGGGGCGAGCAGGTAATACTGCCTGGAGACAGCGGGAGCCAAGTGCTACCTGCCACACGTGGCGGAGCTTACAGGTGACCTTGTTTCTCTCGGCTTGCCTCCTGCACAGGGCCCGCCTGGCCTGCGAGGCCCCCCAGGCCCCCCTGGACCAGCTGTGAGTACCGCCCTGTGGTTGGGCCGCCTTCACTTTGGCCTTCTCCCTCCAGCCTGCCTCCCTTCGCAGCATCCTTGCTACTGTGACTTGCTTCCTGTCTAAGAAGCCAGGAAAGAAACAGCTGCTCAGGGCAAACCTCCCCACTCGTGTCCTGCTCTCCAAGAAGCGTTACGGCTACATCAGGAGAGCGCAGGGGTGGGCAGGTCCCCCCCCACAAGCAGCCTTGCTTTCAGAGCAGTGGCGGTGGCTGATTCAGAGGGATGCGCCCACCCTGCTGCTCCCTTCCCAAGAAGCGGCACAGTTCTGCCAGCAGTGTCGGGAAAGGCTGGTCCTTTCAGGCTGAGCCTCCCTCCCTTCTCACCTCCCTCTTTGCCCACCTTTCCAGTCTAGCCAATGTGATTGCCAAGGTGTGACTTCACTGTTTCTTCCCTCAGGGCCCCCCAGGTTTTCCTGGAACACCTGGTGCACCTGGATTACCTGTAAGAAACCCCTACAGCACGCGCTCTGTGCAGTCCTTTGTTGTTGCCGCTTGTTTGGCTTCTCACTCCTCCCCCCTCCTCTTCGAAGCTCTGTACCTGATAACACAGACGCCCACCCCCCCAACGCACACTCCCCGACCCATCACACGCCCCTGCTGCCGCTACCTAGACCTCAGGCACCTGCCGCAGGGCCCCTGGGCAGGCAATCGCACGGCACCTGGTGCGGCTCAGCCCCACTGGAAGGCACTGCGGCCTTCGTGCAGGACAGGGTTTGCTCCGCCTGGGATTTCTCCTTGTCTTCATGGCAACGAGCTCCTTATCCTTTTTGCCATACAAACAGAAACTGGATCTGAGTGAAGGCTGAAGGGCATTTTGTATTAAGCACTGCTGGTCTGCCAGGTGGTGAGAAGCTTCAACAGGCTCAGCCTCTGGAACCGTGGAGATTTTCTCCTGCAGAGCCAGAGGCCTGGTCCATCTGCCACGGCTTGCTGATGGCTTTCGGGCATTTAAGGCAGGTGATGCGGGGCCGTGCCAAGTCGTGGCCCCAGCACTGAGCCGCTGCACCTCCCCCCCTGACATTTCAGCGCAGAGAAAGTTCAGTGGTGGCCACCCATGTCTTGTCAGGGCTTAGCTTGTCCAGCAGCCACGGGCCACGGGCCTCGCACGGCCCAGTGAAGGCACACAGGAACAGAATGGAATGGAAGGGAGCCGCTCCCCCCCCCAGACTTGAGTGAGCCGCTCCACCACACATCTGCCTATGGCTCCCCAAGCGAGAATCCCGCCCTCCCGTGACCATCACCACGATGAATGCCTTAATCTCATCCCCATCCCACTAATGACACTGCAACTCCCAGTCTGTGTGATTAATTGCTACGCCACGTGGCCCCGTTGCTGGAGTCACCCGTGTGTCCAACATCACCTCCACTCCACCCCACCACCACCACCGCCACGTAACCCAAACTAACCCTACATCGCAGCACCACAAGAGTGCCTCTCCACCCTTGTGGGTCACATGGCGACTAAGGGGGGAGTTTTCCTCGTGTTCTGTGTCATGCAGCTCCATCTGGCAGGCATCGTGCAGTCGCGGGCTGCCTGGGACATGTCTGGTGCCCTCCAGGTGAAAAACAGCTCCTGGAGTGCAGCGTCAATCAGTTTCCATGCGGCCCTGCATGTCTATTTAAATCGAGAACAATATTCCGCTTCCCTCACTAGCAGTGATGGAAAACGAACGGAAGTCTGAGTTTTGAGGAGAGATCGGTCTACATGTTGGAATTTACATGAGGAAGTGGTACCCCTTTGTCTATGAGGCTTCCCAGACTACAAAGGGGGAGTGATGGATCTTAGCCCGAACCTTCAGTACCCAGTGGTTTATTAGGGAAAGAGCTTTTCTGGAAGAGCTCACATCCCTCTGCCACTTTGCTGCTCAAAAGGGAGAAGAGTCCCCAGCTCCTTCTCAACTGGCCACCATGAGCAAGGCCATCTGGAGATAGTCCTTTGTGGAAATGGTACCTGTTGCAACTGCAGTGCAGAAAATACGCCATCTTTTAATGTGAGACAAAGAGAGAAAGCTCATAAAATGCACCCACCAATTATGAACGGAAGATCTACCACTAGGAGAAGGTAACAGGTATCTATTCTAATGTCATTCTAAGAGGCACCTTCAGGAAAACAAAGACCCTCTGGAAGTTCTGGGGAGTTCTGAGACAACAGCTTGGCAGAATGCCAAAGCCCCGCTCTGCCACAGCCATGCGCCCGGCTCTTTTTGCAGAGTGCACTGGTGTGTCCAGCCGCAGGAATCGCTCTGGAAGGATTTGCCCAGTATCTGGGAAAACGATGTAGCACAAGAAAAAGGGGATATTTCTTCCCAGAATTACTACAGTAATCGTCATCACAGAATTGCTAAGAAGCATTTTTACTACCATTGATGCAGGTCGCAAATGAGACATACTTTTTAAGAATAACTATTTGCCAAAGGGGGCTTGCTTGTTCCAAGTGGACATGAGATCTGATATTTCCTAGTTTAAAATAAAAATAGTTCACCCCATTCTGGATTTTTCCTCTTTTTCTTGTGCTTGTTCTGCTGGTGCCTCCTGCCTGTCGGTTTGCTTCTTAATTTAAGACTGCAAAAAGGAGCCAGCCCTGCAGCCTGTTTTTCAGTCCATTTCCTGGTTACGGAGCGAGCGGGATTGCCTCATGCTTGTCTTGCGCTTCAGTGCGGTGACGGTGACGGTTGCCACACTGCTAGTGGTGGAGGGAGCTGAGTAAGATGCCCAGCAGCTGAACGTAGGAGAGATTCCAACATGAGAAGAAATGCGCTTGTTATGCAACACAGGTATAAGAGTCCAAGGAAGGGCAAACAGGCCCCTCAACGCAAATTGGTTCCACCATGTTCGGTAGGATTCAGACATACGTAACTTTGGCTGGTAAACCATAGTCCCAGAGCGGGCCTTGATCTGATCAGGCTTGGTGGGTTTTGCATGAGTAGTTGAAAAGGAAAAGGACAAGCACGAAGGACGTGGGGGTCAGGTGCCGACATGTGGACTTCTCTCGAACTTCTGAGATGCCAGTGCTGGACGTGTGACAGGGCCAAGCAAACCGCACCTCTCGCAGCCTCCTTCCCAGGACAGTTCCAAGGTGAACTCAGACAGGCATGTCCCATGCCAAGGCTGTTCATTTTCTCTAGCCAGATTCCTCTGCACCACACGCTACTATGCGCAGTCACAAAATTGTCCACGGTGCCTTCTTGCAGCACGCGGGAGGAAATCTGATCAGTCTTGGCCCTTCTGCTGTGATATCATGTATGGAAGAACCTTGTGTGTGGGTGGGGTCAGGGCATATGCCATTCCTCATCCATTCCTTTGAAAGCGTACCAAGGTAAGCCCCTTTCCTAGACCTGAAGGTAGGTGCGTGCACCTGTGTGTGCGTGTACGTGTGTGTGAGTGTGGCGTGTGGCGAACACAAATCATGACTTAATGCAATATTTGACTGCACCTTCTAAAGTTGTGGCAAGACACATTGCTGTGACCTCTTCCCTTTTAAAACTTAGCTCTGTTCCACGGTTAATTGGATGCCTGATCAATAAAACCTTGAATGAATCATAATGGAATGCAAGTCTTCAAGTGCTCTCTTTTTAAAGCCAACTGCGGAGAACTTTGTTCCAAATATGTCAGTGACGGGGAAAGCTTTCTAAGCAACACGGTCCAAGTAAAGGCTTGCCGCTGCCCACTCAACACCTGTGCTGCACTCTCCTTTCTGTAGTGCTTTCTCTCGTACTCTCCTGTTACCGAGACAAAGCCCGCCTTGCCCCCAGGTGCAATCCAGTGCACAGAGGACTGAAGCCATCAAACACTCTCCCTTATGTCCTTCTTTTCAAAGGGTCTCCAGGGCGAGCGTGGAGCAGCTGGAATTCCCGGATCCAAGGGAGAGCAGGTGCGTGGTGGATCCTGGTGCTGTGCTCCAGAGGAGCCCCCCGAAGCTCCCCTTTTGCCTGCGGAACTCCGACGGAAGCTCGTGTGGGTGGATGATTGCTAGTGTGTTCTGAGTGCCTCGGACAGGTTGCTCCCTGGGGCAGGTAGTTCAAGCAGGCAACTGGGTTGCCCAGAGACATTTTCACGCCTGCAAAAGACAATCCCAAAAGTCCCTTCCAAGCAGCAAATCATAAATTGCTGTTTGTTTTCTCCCTGTCTATTGGGCCAGCGACCTGAGCTGATGGCTTCCCTGTGCCTTACGTTGCTTTGGGGCAGGCCAGGGAGGCGAGGCGAGGCAGGCCAGGCCAGGCCAGGCCATCCCATCCCATCCCACCCAGACCAGGATAGGGGAAGGCCTCTGGTTTGCCCGGATCGGAAGAGAGCTGTGCAGGCTCCCACGCACTGCAGCAATGGCCTGTCCCAACAACCACCCCCTCGTTGCACAGGCAAGGCTGCCAACTTGAGTTAGGCCCCTCACTTTACCTGCAGTCCGGAAGGAACGAAGAAGGCCGTCCACCTTCTGCCTGGGAGTGTGACCGATGGTAACAAGCCATTCTGAGCTCACTAATCTGTGTTCTCTGTACGGGAGTGTGTGTCCATACTCTGGCACACTGTGCAGCGGGTCCGAGAGGGTGAGCAGAGGGCAGGGGGAGTGCAGCTTTATGGCAGCCACCCCCGTGAAGTTTCCATGGAGCTGAGCAGCAAGACGGAGCTCAAGGCTGGAGCAAAGCAAAGAGAGAGGAGGCCCAGATTTGCACAGGGCCGCCCGAGACGCAAGCCTCACACGCGGTGATGCTTTCCTGCTTTCCCTTTCCGCAGGGCCCCCCAGGCCAGCCTGGCTACCCTGGCTCAGTGGGCCCCCCCGGGCTCCCCGTGAGTATGCGTGCGAGGGGCGGGGTGGGGCGGGGCGGGGTGGAAAGGCGGACTGCGGGGGCGGAGCGCCGGCCCTGGTTGCACACGGACTGCAGCACATGCCGCGTGTCACCACCGGAGGACGCTCTGGCCTTGCGGCCCCGGAGGACACAGTTCCTCACCAGCAGGAGCTGTGCGGCGATGCGGCCAGTGGGCCGTCGCAAGCCAGCTGCTCGCGGAAGAGCCAAAAGGCCGCAAGGAAAAGCGCAAGCCGATCCTCTCCTAAGTTCGCAGTGATACTCTGCTTTGCATTTGACTCTTTGTACAGTATACCTTGTTGAGGGCCCAGTTGGGTTTCTGAAGGTGGGGGGAGCTGTGAAGTATCTAATGTGCCTAACTAAATATTTGGGGGAGGGGATGCTGTATTTTTGAGCACATCAAAATCTGAAAATTCAGACGGCCAGGCTTTACATTTCTGCCAGCACTGTTCATCTGTACCTCAAAAGTTCCACAAGGGAGGGAGTGAAAGAACAAGAGAGAATATTAATGGGGGGGGGGGTGTTGCTAAATATGATGACCAAGCAGCATCTTCAGCAAGGGCCTCTTTGGCTGATCTGGTATCACGTGGTAATTAATGCTTCCCCTTCTTCTGCCTGCCTACCTACTCCCAGGGTGCCAAAGGGGAGCGAGGACACACCGGGCCACCTGGCGAGAAAGGAGAATCGGTAAGGACCCCGGGGGTGGGCGCCTTCTCCTCAGCGGAGCTGCCCATTCCGCCTTCGGTGGCCTTGCCCCCTTAGCTCCGGGAGGGGGTGACTGGAGGGAAGAGGGCCTTTTCGATCGTGGCCCCCACCCGCTTTGGAAGCTTTCAGGAGGGATGCTGCAGTGGGGTGGCGCTGCTATTCTGTCTTTTCCCCGCCAGTTTGCCTCGGCCCCTGCCAAGTGCCACCTGAACGGGCCTCACTCGCTTGGTGCTGCACAAGCATCGCTTCTACTTCTCAAAGAATCCTGTTGGCCGTGATAAGAGCGAGAAGCGCTGTCTGAATGCAACCGGGAGTGAGCCGGCCGTGTGCACCGCCCAGCCCTGGTCTCCACGGGCTCCCCTGGCCTCAGGCCTCTTTCGTTCTTCCCTTCGTGCCTGCATCCAGCAGGGGCCCTCAGGTTTCCGGCAGAGGAAGCAGAGTGGGCGCAGCTGCAAGCAGGCGCTCTGCCCAGCCCGGCCCACCCAGGCAGACTGTGGCGATCCAGGGGCTCAGGCAGGTCCCCTCCCCAGCCCTGCCCAAAGATGCTGGGGATCACTAGATACCTCCCACCTGCAGAGGGTGGGCTCCCCGCTGGTCTGCAGCCCTCCCGCTAAAGCCGCATTCACCAGATGGTGCCCCCAAAGCTTTGGAATTCAGCGCTCGGCATTCCTGGCCATCGGACTTGCTCTCTGAGGCTCATGGGGGGAAAAGTCCCAAACTCCTGGAGGGCATCAGCTTGGGGAAAGCTGCCCTCACCAGAGTGCAAATTATTTTGAGAGAGAGAGAGAGAGAGCCATAGAGAGAGGAAGGCACCACAGTGCCTCCCAGAGCAGTCCCTTTCCTATTCTGTGGCCTGTCTTGCCATGACAGTTCACCAGAAACTCTTTCCTGGGGCATGTGACCCACTCACAGGAAAGATAACCAAGCATACGGCACCCCGCTGCCCCCTCCCTTTCCGGAATCCCACCATACAATGCTCCCCTTTCTTTTCTCTTCCTTTTCTCTTATTATTTTCTGTAAAAAATACAATATAAAAAAGAGAAAGAGGAAGAATACCAAGGAAACTTGCACAAATATTACTTATAAGATCAAGTTCACAAAATTTCACAGAAATTTAGTACTTGTTATCTCTTCTACACTCAGTTAAATTAATTAGTACTTAATTGAAATTAATAGAGCAATTGTTGCAATTCATAATTCTTGATGCTAACTTATTTTCTATTCCTTTTGAATTAATTTTAAATCACAACAAAGCATTTGCATTAAAATTATAACTCACTAATGATATTTTACAAGCTCTATTTTCATTATTAAGTAAATTGTATATAATAAGCTTTCCATTTATCATTAAATTCTTTCTTTAGCCAGTCTTCTATTTATGCAACTAGTTAGTTTTGCCATTACTGCATATTCAGCCAGCTTATTTTTCCAATCTTCTCTCGCTGGGCAGTCTTCTGCTTTCCATTTTAATGCAATTATAACTCTAGCTGCTGTTATCATACATTTAATAACTCTACCATATTCCCTGGCAGAGTTTCTGGCAGCATAGTCTTGGTGTTTGTAGGAAAGTTCATTTTCTGAATGGTCTCCTTTCTCCTCCTTCTGTCCCTCCAGGGTCCTCCAGGCATGGATGGCCCCACAGGTCCCATTGGGCCACAGGTAAGCACACAGGCTATCGCTCCTCAGCTGTAGCGGCAGGCTTCCGGGCTCATCTCTGCTGAGTCAGGCCTTTGCTCAGCTGGGGCCACTGTTACTTACATGGCACTCGTCCCTGCCCCGAAACCTGGCCACCTTGAGGCGGGTGCAGCTGGCCACTTCTGCTGCGCTCCAGCACTAGCACTGATGACGCTGCACTGCGGAGGTGAATCCTCGTGCAAGGCTGGTGCCGCATCGTGAGCACCATCCCTGGGACGCAGCCAGGCGCTCCCCGGAGGCAGCACGTCCTGATCGTATTGGTGCCCATTTCTCACTGAGGTGGAACTCCGAGGGCTGAGTTCTACCACTTCTGGTGTCTTGCAAACTCTTCTATGCACGAAGATTCTCGCACAGGGAAGACTAGCATGATGGGGAACTCATTCTTGCCTGGACTTCTCCCCGAGATGCTGGTTTTGTGTATGCTAAGGATGCAGGAGCACTCCGTCCCTCTTGAGTCATCTGTGGAGGGAGCAGGATGACCTGCTTCACCAGAAGGAGGAATCAGGAGCCTCTACCTATATTCAGAGAAGATGTGGCCAGACACAGGTTAACTAACACAGTGGGAACTATGCCTGTATTAAGCTTGTCAAGGGAAATAATTCAGCCGAGTCACCTTCCATCTCTCCTTGCACCAGGGTCCAAGAGGAGAACGAGGGGAGCCAGGCAGCGCTGGAGAAAAAGGTGATCAGGTGAGAAGCGCTCCTGTTGTAGGGTTCTTCCACTTTGCCACTTAAGAGCATAAAAATCTGCCTCACTCGTAAAAAGGTGGGGTGTACATCTTAGAAATAAACCAATTATACTGCATCAGGCAGGGCAGTGCAGGCCAGCGTTGTCCACCTTGCCTGGCAGGGCCCTTCCCTGGGCCACCCCGTGGTGCCCGGACCTTCCCGCTGCAGTGCGTGTGCTCGGCCACTGAGCGGTGGGGCTGCCTGTTGGTGGCAGCGAACACGCTCCGCAAGCACGGCAGGCCATGCCCGGCGCAGCAGGTGAGGCATTGCCGCGTGCTGGGCTCTGCTGCTGATCGTCTCTGGTCAGCTTGGTGGTGCAGGCCTGGCCCCTGCTGCCTTCACGCGCAACAGTACACCCAGGAGCGGGTGAGGACTTTGGTCTAGGGGTGAGAATCCACTGGACCTCTTCGGCTTAGCTCACCAGACTCCAGACTCCCCTTTCTTCCCTAAGCCTGCCTCGTGCTGAGTGGTGGACATTTGCACTCCAGCAAGAAGCAAGTTCCAGCAGAGTTCTCCTTCCACTACGTGACTCGTGGGCTTTGCGTAGTTTCTGCAAAGAATTGCATAATGCGCACATTTTCTGCAAAGAAATTACGTAATACTTTGCACAAAGAGGCTGCTGGCATCCCTGAGTGTCTGCAGACCTTGATCTCAGCTCGGTTCACTTCTTGGCCAGGGTCAAGTGTAGGAAACAAGCTGGCAAGTGAAGCTGTGGCTTATATTATCCCAAAGTAAGTCGTGGTTTATATTAACCATATTTTGTAGTTTTAGACATGAGCGGTCTTGCATACAAACAAACGACCCACAGCTTTGTGACTTGTTTCTCTGCCACCCATTTTGCCAGCCTTCATTTTCAGGATGTTCTTACCAGGTTCCTGCTCCAGGATGGGCAGCAACACAAAAAAGCCAGAGATAAGCCATAGTTCTGGGTTTAATTGTCATGACAAGCCATGGTTTAAACAAGCCAGATATCATATGCCAACAACAAACCATGGCTTCCATTTGTGGTTTCTAGCTGGTTACCAAAGCATGGGTGGTTTGTGGGATGGGTTCAGACAAAGCAACAACCCAGATTTCCACAAACCACACACTGTGGCTTAGTGTCATGTGCAAATGGGGCTATGTCACAACCAGGCCATTAAGTCCACCTTCCTCTCCTCCAAGAGAGCAATCGCTTGATGTCACTGGTGCTGCGCTGCCTGCCTGCATTTTATTCCTCCTACGTGTCCCAGGAGTATGTGCACTGTGTATCCACAGTGCTCGCACACCAGAGAGACTCCCTACTTCATCGCGGCCCTGATTCCGTTCCCTGTCCTGGCTCCTTTCCATGCAGCCTCCTGGATTCCTCAGTCTCTCCCAGTATGGAGAGGAACCAAAATGCCCTATATCGGCCAGGCTGCCTGTTCTCTCTCTGCATGAGTAATGGTCGTGCAGGTGCCTCTTGCAATCCAGGTGCTTCCCTGATCATAGAGTGACCATGGAGGACGGTGCCTCTGAGCACAGGATGCGCCACAGATGCTTAAGGGGCCTCCACTCGCCGGGCAAATCCGCCTGCTCCCTCAGGCCATCCAGGGCATCCCTGCAAATTGCCCCACTGCCCGACAAGGGGGCTGCTTTGCAGCGTCAAAAAAGAGCAAAGGAAATGCCAAAACTGAGGACGAAAGAAGGAACAGCTTTGCACGAAAAGTGCATGTGCTGATTTATATGTAGAGGTGCAAATTTAGAAATAATCATAGTCGTTTAAATAGAAAGAGAATACATCCCACAGTGGCTGCAGAGAACTGAAAGCAGGTGGTGCAGCCAGGTGCTCAGACAGCTGTGGCTGTCCAGGTAGGCATGAAGGGCAGTTCAGGGCCCCAGCTGCTCTCCGTGCTTGGCACTTCTCACCTGCACTGGGCTGGACGGCCCTCCACGTGGCAGGCGTCTCCAAGTGAAGGACGGCCAGCTGCGGTTTGCCTGACGGAAACACTTGACAGGGCCGTCTCTGTCGACCTGCTTTGCCCCAGAAGGTGCGCTTCCTCCCCAGAACTTGGCAGATCTGGGTGCCAGACCCATGACGCTCTTTGGGCCAGGTACTGGCTCTCAGCCTAACCAACCTCACGGGCTTTTGGGGAGGACAACTTAGAGAAGGGAAGCCATTGTAAGCTGCCTGGGCTCCTTGTAAGAAGACAGAAGACAGGAGGGAAATCAGCCAGTTGGCCAAGGAGGAGAAGCGCAGCTTGGTCCCAAGGCATCCCTGCAAGTGTCTGGCAGGAGAGGTGGTGTTGGTCAGCCTTGTGTGGCAACTCCCATCTGCCCCAGTCAGCTGGGCCGTCATCCCTGCACTGGCTGGCATCAGGGCTGGTGCCAAGGGGAGGCATGCTCGGGCGCTCGCCAGGGTCCCTGCCAATCAGAGTTCCCCGGAGATGCCACCCCTCCCCCCATCCTGTTGCTGGCTCACCTGCCCCACACTCCAGCCCAGGTAATGGAGCAGGTGCAAGGGAGGTGCTGCCCACAGCCCTCAGCAGGCAGCAGGGAGCCAGCCTGAGCACGGATGAGAAGCAGGACTAGCTGGCGACAAAGGCAGCAAGAGGGAAATGCTCAGAGGGAGGGGGCCCACAGAAGGTGTCGTGCGCCCCACTTCTCAGAAACCTGCTGGGGAACATGGGAGTTGTAACAACACATCTGGCTCCTTTTCCACCTCTGGCACGAGAACGATTTTGTCTCCTCCCCCGTGGCTTTATTAGTGGTGCATCTGTATGTCCTTTCTTTCCAGGGATTTCAAGGCCCGCCTGGTTTCCCAGGACCTCCTGTAAGTATTCTGAGTCCAAAAGAGGCTGCTGCAGCTAGGGGCACGGGCCCACATGTCTCTCTGGGCACAAAGAGAAGACATGGGGCAGCCCCCTCCTCCCCTGGGGTGTGCATGAGATTTGGGGCTGCTTGATGTTTGAGCAGAATCCTGTAAGAAATCAGTTTAAGAGGAAAGGATCTCTGGTCCCTCTCCAGGAAGGCAGTAGAGGTGCATGGAAAACAAATAATCCAACCTTTTGTCTGATTATTACAGAAGGATTTTGTGGGGCTGGAAGGTTTGAGGAAGAGATGAAAAGCTTAGAACAGGAGGCAGCTGAGAGCAGTTTTGAATGGCGTGCACAAAATGATTCAAAAGCGGCTTGCTTTATGCCACCTTGTAAGATGGGAATTGAAGAGATACACCAGCAACTGACATAATGCAGTGGGCTTTACCCAAAGCAGAGGCATCAGCTCCTTTTCGACAGCAATCTCCCAAGTCAAAGGCTGGTTGTTTGTGCACTGCAGTCCAGCACAAGTGCAGAAAGTGCTCAGTAGTGTGGTACTGGAATTCAGCTTCCCAAGTATCTCTGCTTATACATACAAGTTTCTAGTCCTTATGTTTGCAAAGAAATCATGTGAGCAATGCCTGCTGAAATCTCAGAAGCCAGAGAGATGGCTGAATAAGGGGGCTTTGTAGGACTCCTGTCCACCTCCACATGACTAGCAGAATAAATTATGCAGCATAAGAGAAATTATTCAATTTGCTCTCTGTGTAATTTAGGCATGCTGTGAAATTCAGATTTTTAAATGCAGGGCTTTGAGTCCTTTTATTTCTTTTTTCCACTGCCTGGCTGGCTGGAACTTTTTCTCAAATGCAGCTTGCTTGTAGATCCAAAAGCCAAGTGACTTCATTCTAGGCGGTGAATGCACAAAAGCATCTATTGGTTGCGTGTGCTTGTGTTTTATAGGGTCCTCCGGGCTTCCCAGGAAAAGCAGGATCACCTGGACCTCCAGGACCCCCAGCAGAAAAAGTGAGTGAACCAAAGTTGGATGCTGTGGAAGGGAGGAGCTCATTCCTGCCTTGGACAGGGAAGGACAGATCCATCAGGGTTGGATCCTGTGCAAACCATGGGGACAGGGGGAATCGGGGGGCTCCCAGTGCTAGTTAGTGATGGAGTGTGGATTCCAAGAGTTTGAAAGAAGAGCTCTCTGGGCGCCTGCTCTCATGATGGCTCTGCTGTTGTGTGTGGCCTGCCTCATTTGCAGGGTCTTCCAGGAAGTCCAGACATTAATGTCCTCTGCATGTGTTTTCCCACTGCCTGATGCAGCTTTTTTCCTAGCCACAGAAATCCATTCAGGAGGGAAAGATGGAATACTTTAACCAGAAGTACTATAAGCCCTCCACCGGGAAGCCCCATAGGATCGGGTCCAGTGGCCTCATTTCTGGATCCCCTGCTCCCTCCACGGTCCGGCCAGCGCTGCCTTCTTTCCCTCTGTGTGGCCCCCTCCCCTCCCCTCCCCTCCCCTCCCCTCCCCTCCTACACTGTCCTGAAGGCAGGATGCATCTCCTGCCCTTGCTCCATCAGGGGATCGAGGTCACGGAGGCAGCACTGGCCCAGACATGGGCGGCGCTCGAGAAGCACAGGGGGCCTGGAGGGCTCCGCTCCCCAACGCCGCTTGCAGTGCGGGCGCTGATGCTGCGGTTCCCCCAGAGGAGCAAGTGGGATGGGCAGGAAGAGCGGAAGGGAGTTGCCAGTGGTCAAGTGCCAGAAGGTGCAGGGGAGACGGAGGCATTTTCGGGGATTGGAGAGGAGCACTGAAGGGCGGCTGGGCGGAGGTGGCACAGCTCATCACTCGCTTCTTGCTCTCTTTCCTTGGCGCTCTCGACAAGACTAGAGCATTGGTGCAGCGCTGCTTTCGCACACTAGGAAAAATCGCCAAAAGCAAGTGGGACTGAGGGCAGCCGCGGGAGTGCCAGCCACTGCTACTCGAGCATAACGCTTTGAATCTGGCCAGAGGGCCTTTGCGGTTGCAGAGGGGGCTGGGGAAGCGGGGGGGGGGGGGGGGGTTGGCCCATTTGCTCAGCCACCAAGGCCCAATCTTGCAGATAAGGCTTCTCCTCTTTCCTCCCTTCCCAACTGTTTTCTTGAATAAACCCTGGCCAGGGAGAAGTGATAGTATATCTTGTCAAGAAGCTTCTCTGATGACACGTACGATAATTCCAGGAAGAAAATAACCACTGAGCTGCAGCAGGAAAGAGATGCAACTGGGCGATTAGGGAGGGATGGGGAGCAAGGCTTCCCTGCTCCCAAGCCTCTGCTGACATCTGCTGCTCGCGGCCAGGACCGCATCCCCGAGATCCGGCCTGATTGCCGGAAGGCGAGATGCCTCCACGAGTGGGCAGCTTGGGAGGCGCAGGACAAAAATGCCAGCAGGGGGCTTCCGGTGCAGGCAAGGAGCGGCACCCCGGCGGTCAGTCCAAGTGGCCTCGGCCTCCATGGCCCCTCTGGGGCAGCCTGCCCAGAACACCCTTGGGGCAGCCGCGCCAGCCGACATGCCCAAGTGCTCTCCAGAAGTTCTCCGAATGCCGCCCCAGCTTGCTTTCTTCCAGGGTGGACTGACACTGGAGCATCTTCCTTTTTCCTGCTGTGGTCTTTGTGCAACACACATTCTTTCCATTGGAGCACATGCTAATGAATGCAGCCGCTTCCACTGTTGCGAAAGAGTGATCCTGTGTCATGCACAGACGCAATTGTGGAAGGACTAGAAGTTCAAGAGATGATGTGTGCAGGGAAAATGTTGTTTTCCTCGATGCAGAGATGTGGAGTGGGGAGCATTAAAAAAAGAGGGAAAAGGGCAGTGCCTTCCACCCCCTCACGAAGAATCATGGGGAAGGGGTGGTGTGGCTGGAGTCCCCCATGGGTTGGGCCCAGCAGGATCGGTACCCCCATCCTGCTCCAGGCAAAAGCAGTTCCCAAAAGCGAGCGCTGCCCCTCTCCTGTGCTGACTTTCCTAAGAGCAAAGGTCATTGAAATCAACGTGATTTACTTCTGCGTAGGAGCAATGAGGACAGCGTGATTTACATCTGACAAGATGTGCACTCAGCTCTTTTTCAGCTGGTTGTTTCTTGCAGCAAGAAGACAACGGGGCAGGCCAAACTTTATTCTCTAAGAGGGGAGGGGAGGGCAGCACAGCACAGAATTAACTCTTCAGCTGCATTAACTATTTGGTTCAGTTGGCAGAAGAGTGAGAAAGAAGCCACAGGGGACAGTGAGGAAGGTGCGGGATCTATTGAAAGTTCTCCCCCTCAGAACCTGTGCTGCTGTTTTGCCCGTGCCCTGAGGGGACAGATCCTGCTCCCTCCCAGCTCACCGGAGCTGCTCCTCCTGGCCCCTGAGGAGTACCGCAAGTTCAGCACACCCTGAAAGAGAGATTGAGAGAGAGGGAGAAGCGCAATATATCAAAGGGCCCTAACACACCAAGTCTGGAGGAATCTAGGACGCATGGGCAGAATAGCCCGAAGGAGCAGGGCATGTGATATTTCTCGGAATCAGGCGCTGCGATGCAAGCTAAAATGTCGAGCGTCGATTCAACCTCTTCTCTGCTCCCCACTGGAATTCCTCAAGGAAAGGATGACCAGGGAGGGCGGGCGGAGGGACTGTCAGTGCGTCTTTCCCTCCTGCCCCTCCCGCATCCAGCCTCCTTCCTGGTTTGTCCTGGGGCCGCTGCTCTTTGCTCTACATATTGGTCTTGCGCATTCACCCCCTGCTTCTTCCAAGGCATGCCGCGCAGCCACAGGTTGGTGATGAGGTGTGTGGCCTCTTTGCAGGGATCCGAGGGCATGCGTGGTCCCCCTGGGATGACCGGCTCACCGGGGCCTCCGGGGCCTCCTGGGGTACAGGTAAGCCTGCTGGCGGAGACACGGACGTGAGCGGCCATGGGCCGAAGCAGCCGGGCATGGAGGGGAGCGTCAGGAGCCTCCTGCAGGAAAAGCCCAGCTGGGGCAGTGGCCCTTTCTGAGGGTGGCGAGCCCACTTGCTCCGACTCCGCAGCATCCCTGCTGCTCAGGATACGCCTCCCCTCCTCCCTCATAAAACCGGGAAACAAGTCGTAGTGGAACAGAAACCACGCATGCGCAGCTTGTCCTGGAGGAGCCCCTCCTTACACAACCCACAGGGTTCAGATAACCCTCCTGACTCACAGCGCATCTCGGCACAAGGAGGTCTCGGGCCGTCCGTCTTCTCCCATGGCCAAACGGGGCACGGCATTAACTGCACCTCGGAATTGTGTGTGCAGGTCTTTAGAATGCCAGTAGCAGCCTCTTGTGTGTGGCTGGGCTGATAATACACAGAATAAGAGCCAGCGTGGAGGATGCAGAGCATTTTCTTCCTTTGCTGCATTCCTGTATTGTCCTAAAATTAAACTGGGATTTTTCTCAGGGCCGCAGTGGAAGGAAGGGATACATTTCCCCGTGATACTTGCTCGGGTGCCAAGAAACACCTGCACATTAAACACAGAGGCAATTTACCTTGGCTTGCCATTTGGCCTCAGTGTGTGGCAGGTTGCGACTGTGTGTCCACACTTCCTCAAGTGAAGCTGAAGGCACACCTCCCTTCCATGCTGCAAAAGACGCATGCTGCCATGTCCTTGGTGGGGCAGGTGCTCCCTCCTGCAGCCACTCAGGTGGCCCACACCAGAGCTGCCCTCTCCAGCACCCTGCCTGGCTTTCTTTGGCTCCAGCGCTCCGGCACGGGCGGGACCTCGCTTCCCAGGCCGTGCCGATGCGTCTGGCTTTCTGATGCCCTCGGCGAGCACCCGTGTGCCTTCGTGGCTTCACTCCGGAGGGCATCGAGACCCATTGATGGGGAGGAGGGAGGGAGGGGAACCGGGGGCCATGGGGGTGTCCTCTTCAGGGGTGCATCCAACACAGTGACATCGTTGCTCGGGACACAACTCAGACCTTCCAGCAGGACTCCAAAATACCCTGACACACTGTGAATCCTGAGATTATTCAGAGAACAGCTGAGTACAGACATGCACTAGCCACGGTTCATGAGTAACACCAGTTCGGTTGAGACTTAGATGTGGAAGTAGAGATCCCCTCATACCCAATTCCTAGAAGAATCGATTCTCGTCAGTTTGTCAGTCCTGATTGCTAAGAGGAGGTTGAGGAGTTCCTCTGCTTCCTTTCCCACACAATCGTGGCTGAAGTCACTGGGATGGGGGAAGATGTGTGTGCCTGTGTGTGTGTGTGGGGGGGGTATGTGTGTGCATGTGCATGCAAACAGGTGCAGCCCATAGAAGCTTTGGAGGGAATGGAATTGCCCTCCGGGGGCCCCAGCGCAGCCCCCTCCAAGTCTGAAGCCTGAGCCGTGGGTCGCACATTCAGCAGCCAAACCGTGACGTGGAGCTGCTTCTCTGCTTGTTTTCCATCTTGGCTCAGATGGAGCTGCTTGACCCGGGAGGAGCAGTTGCTCTTGGTGCTCATTCCCAGGACACACTGATCTGGACTTGGAGGAGGAGGAGTGTGTGTGTGGAGGGTGGGGTGGATTGTGGGCCCATTCCAGATGTTGAGACGAGAAGCAGAGCTACTTATAGCAAGGCCAGCCTCCCCAGATGTTCCCACAGCCTCTGAGAATAACCTGGATGTGCAGGGGAGTTTCTCAGAGACAGACAAGGTGGGTACAGCTCTCAACCCCAAATGTTGGCAGAGGAGGGCGGCCCAATTAGAGGATCAGCGTGTAGAGAGGAGGCGTGCCCCTCCCAAAAGGATGACGCCCAAACATACTCGTAAGGAGAATTCCTAGAAGTAATACTAGATTGATTGAATGAACCACTTTGTGCATGCTCAGAGATCCATTCTGGGTGAGTGTGCTTCTGGAAAACATGTTGGTGGATAAAGAACTTTATGGAAATGAAGGTCGGTGCCTCTGAATCTGTGAAGGGAAACTTAACTGAAGCATTCATTACACTAAACCAACCTTAGGAAAAGCCGTTGTTTGGGAGCCGACTTCAGATCATGGTTGCCAGCTGGTTGCGGGCCATGATTTGTCAGCTCGGGCAACATGCTCATGTCAAGCTTCATTAACCGTCATTTGGTATGATGCATGAACTGAGCTGCAGAGCCTTTATTTATTTATTTTATTTTATTCATTTAGAACATTTCTATGCCGCCCCGTTCGCCGAAGCCTCGGGGCAGCTCACAACATAAACCAATTAAAATACTATAAATTAACAATATAAAATAAGTCGCCCCGAGGCTTCTGGGCTCTTGTGGTACATCTTGGCCACACGATCGGGATTTTTCACAAGGTAAGAAAGAGAATGAATGCACGTTTCTTGCGTTTCTTTCCAGGGTCCACCTGGCTTGGACGGACTAGATGGGAAGGATGGAAAGCCAGGGTTGCGGGTAAGAATTTCCAGGACAGGACACTTGCTGCTCCAGAATGTCTTTTCCATGTCTTCAAGAGAACTGTGCTGGATCAGACCCAAGGTCCATCCAGTCGAGCACTCAATTCCCATAGTGGCAAACCAGCTGCCCACAGGATCCCTCCAGCAGGATGGCTGCAAGACCTCCTTCTGCCCAAGATCCTCAGCAATTGGTGTATACTGGTGTGCCATGTCTGGTAAAGGAGGAAGCCCATGGCCGGCAAGGCTAGTAGCCACTGATAGCCACCTCCTCCATGAATCTGCCCAGCCCCCTTTTAAGGCCATCCAAATTGGTGGCCATCAACGTCTCCTGTGGTCGGGAATTCCATAGTTTAACTGTATGCTGTACAAAGAAGTACTTCCTTTTATCTGTCTCAAACCTCCCACCGATCAGCATCATAAACCCAGGTTCTGGTATTGTGGGAAAGGGAGAAAAATGCTTTTTTCCCCACTTTCTCTTGGCCCCATAGAAAGACCATTGTGGATTATATTGTGTCCATAATTGCGGTTGGGTTCAGTATTGCCTTTGATTTGGAACTCTTCTGCACAAGACTTCTGATTCACTTCATCTCAGTTTTGTCACAGAACAGATCTGAACACCAGATGAAGTGTTTCCTGCTTTTCTACTATGTGACCGCTAGGTGGCATTGTGGGATACCAAAATAGTGCAAATAGAGAACTGAAAAAGGGTTCTCTTTTGCATTTATATTACATTTTCCCTGCTTTCAAAAACTTGCTCAAAGAGCTGTTTAATGAAACTGAAGACCATGTAGAAAACTCCCTTTAAGTAGCTATGAGTTATGTTATTTGTGAAGTCGCACCCCATGGACAACATTCCTCCAGGCTCTCCTATGCTCCCCTTCCCCCGGCGTCCGCCTAAGCTCACGCCGACTGCTTCAGTGACTCCATCCAGCCACCCCATCCTCTGCCGTCCCCGTCTTCTTTAGCAAACACATGGCATGCATCTCATGTGGAAAGGCCCTTCATTCTTATTAGGACAAATAGGAAATTGCCCTGATTGGGTCTTGTGAAGCTTGGGGCCGGGTCCCATGAGTCGTGTGAAGAGGCAATCAAGCTGGCTTTCTGCTTCAGCCTCCATTCTGGCTCCGCCTCTTCCTCTCCGTGCCACTAACCCTGTGCTTTCTCTAGGGTGACCCTGGACCTGCGGGACCACCAGGAAGGATGGGACCTCCAGTAAGTTGTAGGTCATCTAGGACATAGTCATACGCAGCGGCACAGGGATTATATGTTTCTGTCATTTTCTGAGAACCTCAGCCTCCCTTGTGCCCCCCCTTGAAGAGCTTGTCCTAACCAGGACAGTCAGACTGCCAACTTTTCAGTCAGCCCCAGCCGTTGTGCTTTTAGCAGTGGTTTGGTGTGTGTGTGAAGATTAACAGTTGGCAGCATTTATCAGTAGACTCTGGAAGCTTCGCCACTTGGTCCCCATTGGACAAGTGCCTGCTATGAAGGTACCAGAGCAAGCCAGGTTGTTCTGTGTTTGCTGGGCCAGGTTTCTAGTCAGTTGGGAGCTTCAGCACCCGCAGGAGTCTACCTAGCTCTGCAGATCAAATTTCTCTCCTTTCCTGCTTCCTTCTAGGGGTTCAAAGGGAAAACAGGCCACCCTGGACTTCCAGGCCAAAAGGTAAGCCATTCACTGATAATACTGGGAATTGACTAAATGTCCCTGGGGGATCTAAGCCTTTCATTCTATGTTGCTGGTTCTTGTATCATCTCATTCCCGTATCCATCTTGACACAAAAAGAGGCAGGAAAAGGAAATGAATTATCCTGATATAAATTGATTGTGGATGCTGTTGTCACAATGGGGAGCATAGAAGCCAAGATCGGAGAGCTGCACAGGACTCCTTGCCGTTACAGGCCCGTGATGCACCCCCCAGCTATTCCAAACCACTTCATAGAGGCCACCTTAAGGCCTGTTCGCACATCATGGCAGGACCAGCCTTCGATGCCTCCGCTGGCGGGTCCTGCTAGGCCAGGACGGCTCAGAGAGACAACGCCTCCAGTTCGGGTCTTTGGTGAAATGCTTCATGCCCTCCCTCTGACAATGCAACCATTTGTTTATTGCCCCCCAGGGTGACTGTGGCAAACCGGGACCACCTGGGAATCCTGGCCGTACTGGAGCGGATGTGAGTTACCCAGCTGGAAGCGGGTTGACATTCTGGGGCCATCCTCGGGGGGCACGCACAAGACCCTGCTCCTTGTTCTGGATTGCCAGCCACCAAATCCAGCCCATGATGCTCGGCCAAACTGGTTGCTCAGTATTACCTCCCTCTGCAACACTGCAGCAAATGCATAACCCAGGAGGCGGGTCGGGGCTCTGCAGATCAAGGCAGGCTCAATGCGTCCTGGTTTGGATTATGTTTTGTGTGGCAAAGGAAGCCGTCTGGAATTGGTGGTCTACACGGGGCAGGCGCCAAACAGGGAGGCGAGTTGCTCTCTTGCTCCGGTCGTCTCAAAGGCTATAAACCTTTTATTTCTCCAGAGTAAGACATGACTCCAGTGGGTGACTGGGGTGGGGGGGACACTTGGGGACTGTTGTTCTGGGGCAGCCGCTCCCCGCTTGCTGCCCTCCTGATGCTTTAAACCAGAATGCCTGGCCATTGGGAGTGCTGGCTGGGCTTCTTAGAAGTGGAGGGGGTCAGGGTGGGGAAGGGCAGCCCCCCCAGGCACTTTGAGTGCTGCCGACCATCACATGGCACAAGCCAAGAGTACCTGGTGCACAGAAGGGTGGTTTAAGTTTGGGGGCACAGCACACAGGTAAGCGAAAAACTTTGACGTCTCTAGTCAATCTCCCCCGGATCTACAAAAAAAAGTTGAAGTAGATTGACATATATTTAAAGGCCAGCAACTTAATGATATAAGAGTTTAGCAGGAGAGCTGAGTCTCTCTCTCTCTCTCTCTCCCACTCTCCCTCTCCCTCCCCTCCAGGGTGATCCTGGTCCTCTGGGACCCCAAGGCAGGCCTGGCCCACCTGGCCATGTTGTAAGTCAAACTACTTCTTGTTTTTTTCTGCACGGATTTTTGGTCATGTGGCTCAGATGGCACCCGAACCTCTGCTGAAACCATCTTGCTGTGCAAGAGGATCCTGGGCTCAGGGATTCTCGCTTCTCTGTTTGGTTCCCTTCCTCATGTTATTTGCTTAGTGTAGTGCTGTAATTTATTTTATTTTATTTTATTTTATTTTATTTTATTTTATTTATTTATTGAAAATTTTTTTAGACCGTCCCTTGTCGTGGTCTTGGGATGGTTTAACAATAAGTCAAAATAGAATAAAACGCAGCATCCTAGTCAAATTCCTAACCAATCAACAATAAAACCCATATTAAAACAGTCAAACATTAAAACATTGGGAAAATAAAAGGGTTTTAGCCTGGTGCCAGAAAGAATAAAGTGACCGTGCCAGGCGAACCTCTCTGGGGAGAGTATTCCATAGTCATGGTGCCACCACAGAGAAGACCCTTCTCCAGGTAGTCACCCTCCTAATCTCCTTCAAGGAGGGCTCCCGGAGAGGGGCCTCTGCCCCAGATCTTAAGGGGCGGGCAGGCACATATGGACACAGGCTAAATGGGAAAACAAAATAAAACAACCAGCGGCCCTTCAAGAAGAGTAACAGTGATGCTTAGCCCCAGTGCAAGGAAAGGGGGTTATCACCACGTCCCACTGAAAGCGGTGGGTCTGCTCCCGAGTCAGCGGGCGGGTGGCTCGGAGAGCTCTGTGCTGAGCTGAGATGCTGGGAGTGCACGAGAGAGCAGCATCTGGGCTGTCGCTCGGACTTTGGCCCCGGGTGGCATCGTGTGGCTGGGCCAGTCTCACCTCTGTCCCCTTCCTCTGTAACGTGGTACCAAGAGGCTCAGACTTTTAGGGTTGCTGGGAGGGTGAGCATAGCTGAACCTGCCATGGCTTTGCTGCTCGGGAGGGGACAGTCCCCGAATGGGGACAGAAGCGTTAGGGGAGGCATCCAAACACATTCTTAACAGCATGGCAGAATGATCCTTGGGCCATGGGCCGTTGGGAGGCACCTGCAAAACGGATAGTCTGGCTTCTACATTGCAAGGAGAATGCGAGAAGGTGATGTGAGAAGGTGAACCTGGCCGTGCTGGGCCGTGTCTTGTCCTGCTGCTTCAGACCCTCTTCTCCCCAGCTGTGCCCCAGTACCAAAAGTGAGCTGGGCTGGGTGAGAGGTGCCGTAGCTGACAGAGCAGAGCCTGGGGGCGACCACCTCCCATGTACACACACGTCCCTCTGCTGATACAAAACTCTCCTCTCCCTCATGTGTTCCATGCAATGATCAGGGGCAGCTGGTGAGCAAGAAGCCAGGCTCCCCTGTCTCCTCTGGTGTTGCAGGCCCCAATTCACTGAGCAATTTGACTGGGTGAACGAAAAGCATTCAGACTTGACAAAACTGCCCTAGAGGGGTATTTGGGCTCACAAAACAACACTGTTTTGGTGTTGTGATTTTATTTTTTTAACCTGCTGCTCTTGAATTACACTGTTGACTCATGAGCAGCTCTACTTTGCCATTGGTCTGGGATGCATTTTAAAGGTAGATTTTCAGCAGTTTTTATAATTTTCTGGGCTGCCTTGTGGGCCCCTGATGAACTAATATGCAGCAAAAACTCTAGGAAATGCCCACATAAAAGTCCCTAGTTGTGGAAAAACTTATTGTAACCGTCTGCTCTTCCCCCTTTCTTCCCCATGCCCTGCTTCTCTGCCGCACCAGGGCCCTCCTGGGAGCCCCGGACAGCCAGGCCCATCCGGACTCACTGGTGTTGTGAGTATCATTCGTGCCCCTCTCAGTGGGTGGCCTGGGTTGGCAGCAGCTCAGCTGGGACAGACTTGCCCTTGTCTTGGGATGTTGTTGCTATGGCATCAGGATGTTCAGCTGTCATTATGCATCAGTAGGTACCCATCCGGGATGGAAAAGTTGTCACATTCCTGGTATGAACACACAGGCTTTTGAGAAATGGAGGTGTGTCCATTCAGCTTCTGCATTTGTAAAAAGTATTTGATTTAAAAGCATGGAAACGCAGGAATGTAAAGAAAATGCAGTTTAAAACATTCCTCTGGGAGCATTGCTTTCAGGATGAAAGCATCTTATCCTAAAATATTTCTGAGTGGGCAGGAAAATGGCAAGCACAGAGAATACGAGAGCCCCATCCTTGTCCCTCTGAGACAGACAAAGCATCTGGGTTCTGTGCAGAAAGGTGGGATGTTCTTTTGTCCTCAGATATCACTCCTCCATAAAAACATTAAACTTACCAGAAAGGTACACACGGAAGACCAGGTAACTATTTGGCCCAAATATTTGCCAGATAGCCTATTGACGCAAGAGTCTCATAAGATGTAAAGGCTTCTAGAGAGAATATTTGTCACAAAGTAAATGCTGGATGAGTTTACAGGGGCTGAGCAGGGCTGTGAAGGACAGGACGGATTGGAGGGCATGCATGGATTGGGTCGCCATCAGCTGGAGAGGACTTGATGGCACATAACGGCATCAAAACGCTGAGTCTGCACTTCCCACAAATAAAGCTGCCATTATAATGCCTTTGCACAAATTGATGGTGCACTGAGCCTTGGAATACTGGACACCAATTTGGCCGCTGTGCCTCAAAAAAGATAGTGTGGTGTGGAGAAAGGAGTAAAATATTATTATTTATTGTTGTTATATATGTCATATTATACCGTCCATGGCCGAAGTTCTCTGGGCGACTTACAACACAGTAAAATGCGGTTCTAGGGTCTAGTTCTCTTACTCATGCGTGAGACGCAGTAGGTGACTTTGAGCCAGTTACACGCTCCCAGCCCAACTGACATCACAGGGTTGTTGTTTTGAGGATGAAATGGGGCTATGTAAGCAGACCTGGGTTCCTCACAAGAGGGGAAAAAAGCAGGATATAAATGCAGTGTTGTTGCTCTCGTCGCTGTCATCGTCGTCACCACCACCACCACCATCTCCATGGCAAGAGTGGGGAACTCATAATAGGACAGACTAGATGACCCAAAGACCACAGGGGCAAACTCCCCTGTGCTGGCTGGGGATAATGGGAGCTGTGGACCAACACATCTGGAGGACATCGAGGTTTGGGAAGGCTGACCGGGGGAAACTGGGTTTCCACCCAGCAGTGCCCAGCATGAAGGTGGTGTCACCGTCTCAGATGTCACCCTGCCACTCGCGATGTCTTATTCCAGCCCTGGGTGAAAATGGCCGTGACCATTTGCACAAGCAGCTTAGCGTGCGTCCAGCTGAACTCGGCACTCCCAAAGCATCTTTAAAAGGTTCCTTTGAAACAAGTTGAGCTGTGTTGCCATGCGAACACTATGGCGACAAAGACCGACGTCCACCTCATCTCGTGGCTCCATAGAAGCTGGACAGCTAACATCGCAACGGTGCAATTCTAGTCAAAGCACAGACCGGAGGCTCGGCGGGAGCGGCTCAGTGCACGCGATCATGAGAGCCGGCTTGCTTGGCACGGGGCACGCGCGAGGGTCACTGTACGCCTGAGGCACGGCGCAGAGTTCTCCTTCCAGGGTTACGTGCCACGGCCCCCTGCGGGATGGGGTTCCACACAGGGTGCTCATCGCCACTGGTGAGGAGGAGGGCACGGGCGAACAGTCCTCTCCTGCACGCCTCCCGCCCACACAGCGCGATTCCCGCTGCCGGAGCAGAGGCTGCCCCCGCCCTCCTCGGCACCAGTAGGAAGAGCCTTTGGGACGCAGAGTCACTTTGTGAGCACCGAGAAGGGGAGTGTGTGTGACGGGGGCCGAACAAGGTGCAGAGCTCTGCCTGGGTCCAGACATCCCGGCAAGCAACCCGGCGTGGTGACCGGGCTGCATGGTGCTTTACACCCATGTGCCCGGCAGACAGTCAGGCTCAGGGTGGCCTCTCGCCTCCCTCTGCCGCCTGCCTCTCTCCCCCTCAGTCCTCCAGGTGGTATGTCAGGGGGCCCAGGGAGAGGAACGAGGCTGCTCTCTTGCGGGCAGAGGGGATGAGGGAGTCTGCTTGAAGGGGGTGCCTGCCCATGCTCAAGCTAAAGGGGGGGAGGGGGTCTGTTGTCTGTTCAAGCTGGGGAACAGACAGCTCAGCAGACCAACCATGGGAAGAAACTAACCATGGCCTGTAGCGCCATGCAAACCCGCCCTGCGTGTGCATGTGTGCCTGCGTGTGTGCAGCCCCCATCCCACTCCTCTGTCATGGCACATGGTCCTCAAGGTCACAAAGATGGCCAATCCTTGGTCAAAACACATACACATATAAAACAGCATTTTGTGGAACAGAGAAAGCATTGGAAAGTTTCTTGGCATATGTGGAGAAAGATAAGCAGTCGCTGAGAAAGGAAGCCCTTTCCAAAATGCTCTGAGCATGGTAAAAGTTTTTTCAGAAACTTGAAGATATTGTCTCTGATATGGGCTGCAGAGACAAGAACCAGGCTGGTCCACCAGAGCTCATGTGGGGCTTGATTAATGTGGGGGGACCTTGAATGTGACCCTTTTAGGAATGAGCACTGATATTTTATTGGGCCAGGGCGGCTTATTTTATATTGTATATTTGTATCTTATTTTAATGTATATATTTTAAAATGTTATTTGTGATGTTTTAATTTATTGTTGTAAGCCGAGGCTTCGGCGAATGGGGTGGGATAAAATGTTTTAATAAATAAATACTTCTGGGGAGAGGTCTCCATTTCTGGGTCCTGCTGAGTCTTCGGCCTCTTCTCCGCTGCCCCCTGCGGTGCCTGACTGACGCCTGACCTTTCTCTCCTCCAGGGACTGAAGGGTGAGAGGGGTCCTCCTGGCGAAAGAGGCCTCGGTGGGATTCCAGGCCAGCCCGGCCCACCAGGTCACCCAGGCCCACCGGTGAGTGGGGCAACTCGAGAGCTGAATGCCTGTGAAGGAACTGTGCGAGCAGCCTGGCCTGGCCTGCTTGCCTGGCCTGCTTGCCTGGGGGGCTGGCTGTGGGACGGCAGACCCGGGAGATGGGAATGCGGATCCTTGCTTGGTGACGAAGGCACCAGGTTCTTGCAAGGGCCACGCAGTGAGACCACCGCTAACGATGGATGGAAAATAACCTTCTTTCTGTTCTGTCCCATCCTAGGGGGAACCAGGCATGGACGGACAGACAGGCAAAGAGGTAGGACAAGAGCTCTCTGTCCACTTAACAACACCTCCTCCCATGGCCTGGGCTGTGCCCAAGGAAGCCCGCAGGCCTCCGCCTCCAGTCCGTCCGTCCCCTCCCCAGCAGGTCTGTGGGGCCAGATTGGAAGCACCTCTTCCAAGTCGTGTGACCGCTAGTCCCCCTCTGCCCAGCGCTGGCCAAGCCCCGCCTGGAGTGCTGCATCCAGCTTTGGCCGCCACAGTTGCAGAAAGACGCAGACAAGCTGCAGAGGGCTTGGAGGAAGGCAGCAAGGGCGCTCCCGGGGCTGGAGAGACTGGAGGAAATGGGCATGTTTAGCCTCGAGAAGAGAAGCCTGCGGGGCGATGGGAGAGCACTGTACACACACTTGAAAGGCTGCCCCCAAGATGAAGGCCAGGATCTCTTCTCAGTCATCCCAGAGCGCAGGACGCCAGATTTCAGCTGGATTTCAGGAAAAATCCCCTGACTGCCAGAGCAGTAGACAATGGAGCCAATGGCCCAGGACAGGGTGCCTCAAACTTTTCCAGCAGGGGGCCAGTTGAAAGGTGCTGGCCGCGGGCCGGAAGGGTGGTGCTGGCGGTGCGCACGGGCCGGTGAGGGGGTGCTGTGTCCGGGCGTGTGCGCTGAGGTGGGGGTGGGGTGTGTGGGGAGGGGAGGGGAGGGGAGGGGAGGCAGTGGCTTGCTCACTTGGAGATTGTTTTCTCTGAGCAAGCAAACCGCTGCATCCCCGCATGCGGGGCGAGGTGAGCGGCGGCGTGCGGGCAGGCGGTGGGTCCAAATGGGCATGGCGGGCTGGATCCGGCCCCTGGGCCTTAGTTTGAGGACCCATGGCCTGGGAGTGGTGGGCTCTCTCCCCGCAGAGTCACCCAAGGTGTAACTGGCCGCCCTCTCAGAGGGCTGGCTCAACTTGGTGTCCGGGGCTGAGCAGAGGGTCACAAAGATGGCCAGTGGCCCCTTCCAAATCTTCTGTTCTAGGAGCCTCTTGATTTCCCAATACTTTTCGTGGCACATTTTCGTTCCAGCCGGCAATAGCACACACACCTGTTCAAAACTGCCGCAACTGATGCATTTCTAAAGGGGGAAGCACCGGTCCTGGTGGGCCCGTGTATCCCAGGCGGTCCCAGGGGCTGATGCTGAGAAGGCCTGCCCCCCCCCCCCCCCCCGGTGGTTCTCTGAGGGCCCCGTGGCTGCAGGGGCCTGGGCGTTGGCCTCCTCTAGCGAGACCATGGCTCCATTATGCAGTGAGGACAAGAGGACTCCGAAGCGCCGGGGCTCCCTGCCCAGTTGATGGGCTGATTCTCATGCGAACCACAGTTCCCAGTGTGGTGAAGCATGATGGGTGCACATCCAAGCGTCACTCCTTCCCCTTGCTCCTTCCTAGGGTCCATCTGGGAAACCAGGCCTTGCAGGACCATCTGGACAGAAGGTAAGCAGGACCTGGCTGGAAGTGCACAAACGCCCTTCCGCCCGGCGACACCGTGGACTTCCCTTGTTCCCTTTTCTTTCAGGGCGAGCGCGGCTCCAGTGGAGAGAGAGGGCAGCCTGGAGAGAAGGGCAGAGCTGGGATGCCTGGAGGGCCAGGGAAGAGTGGCGAGATGGGCCCCATGGGGCCACGCGGCCCCTCTGGGGAAAGAGGTCTGCCTGGCCTTCCCGGTCCCTCGGGTAGCCCAGGGAGCCCGGGGTTGCCTGGGACGATGGTAAGAGGCGGGGGAGTGCAGCGACCTTTGAGGGGGCAAAGGGAGGAGGGCGCCCGCTGGACGGCCACAGCTGGGGCCAGGATGGGCTGCCGGGATCATTCCACAGCAATGAGGGCCAGAGTGCAGAAGGCGACGCTGCGCAGTGGGGGCCCGGCCCCAGCCGTCTCCGGAGGCATGCTCCCAAGCCAGCAGTGCGGGGGGGTGCGGGAGCAGCGGGCGGGCAGCACCAAAGCTGTGGGGCTGCCGCTGGCCCCTTAACAAGGGGTGGCACAATCGCGGAACTGGTGCTGGGGTGGGGGGGGGGCTGGGGCTGCGTGCTGGACGTGGCCCCCCTGGCGAATTTAATGCTGAGCAGGAAGCCACCAACTCCTGCCGTCTCTCTGCTTTGCTTTCCCTGGTAGGGAGACGTTATCAATTACGATGAAATCCGGAGGTTCATCAGACAAGAGCTGAACAAAATGCTTGACGGTTGGTACCGGCTTTGCAGGAGCAGGCTGGGAGTGCCGGGGCTGGGCAGGGGGGCAGCGGGAGAAAAGCCCCCCTGCATGGTTGCCACAGGCCTTTTCCCAGCAAGCTACTAAATGAACGGTCCTTGCTGGAGTGGGGGCACCCCTCCCCACCACTGCCGGCAAGCCACCCATGCCCAGAGAAGGGCCACCCATCAACAAACAGCAGAGCAAACACGGTGGTCTCTTTGCCCCCCCCCCCCCCGCAGAGCGGATGGCCTATTACACCTCCCGGATGCAGTTCCCAGTGGAGCTGGCTGCCCAACCAGGAAGGCCAGGACCCCCTGGTAAAGACGGCCCCCCCGGACGGCCAGGATCGCCTGGATCCCCTGGAATGCCTGGACAGATTGGGAGGGAGGGCCGGCAAGGCGTGCCCGGAATGCGTGGTGAGTGTGTCCCTTCTCTCTGTTCTCCTTTCGCTTCTACGCGCGGGTGGCCAGTCGGCCTGCCTGTCCTGGGGGCAGCGGGCGGGGCGGGCGGCTCCCCTTGCCTCGAAGGCCTGGGGTCTCGTCGCGAGGCCATGCTCCATCTCATCAGCCAATGGAATAGGCCCCAGCATGGTGGGAGGCGCACGTCCTCCCGCCCGCCCTTCCAAGGAGGCCCGGGCCGACCCAGTCTCAGCAGCCTGCGGTGGGAGAGGGAAGCCGAGGAGATATGGAGACATGTCGCCCACAGGAGGAGGAGGCCAGCACGGCCTCCTCCTTCTCCTGGCACCAATCTGGAGCTGAGAAACAGGTTCTCTTCTCTTGGGGAGGCTGGGGCTGATGAGGCCTTGGGGGACCAGCAGGACCCCCAGCCTGGGACGACGTGGCAAGGGGGCTGCTGCAGGAGAGGTGAGGGCCAGGGCACGGCCACCCACCACCACCGGGAAGACACGGCGGCGGGTGATTGTTGTTGGGGAGTCCCTGCTGAGGGGCACTGAGCCAGCGGTGTGCCGCCCCAGCCTGGAGATGGAGGTTTGCTGACTGCCGGGCGCACGCATCCAGCACGTGAAGGACAGAGCGGAGCGTCTTGTTCGCTCCGGGGGTCACCAGCCAGTCCTGGTGATCCATGTGGGCACAAACGACGTGGCCAGGCAGGGTGTGGTTGGGATCACCAGGGACTTTGAGGCCTTGGGGAAGAAGCTCAGGGAGCTGAAGGCCCAAGTGGCCTTCTCGTCGATCCTACCAGTCCGGGGATTTGGGCCAGGAAGGGACAGGAGGGCCTCCAAGGTGAACGACTGGCTTAGGGTGCGGTGCCAGAAGGAACGCTTCGGGTTCCTTGACCACGGCACTCGGTTTCTTGCCAATGGACTTCTGGCAAGGGATGGGTTACACCTCACGAGGATGGGGAAAAGGCCCTTTGGAGATGCTCTAGCGAACTTCGTCCAGAAGACTTTAAACTGAGCTGGGGGGGTCAGGCGCCCCAGGAACGTGTCTGCACTGGACAAGTGTGGGGGGAGGATCAGGGTTCTGGGAGCAGGGTTTTAGAGATACTTCAGGGACTGACAGAACTCCTACAGAGAGGGGCCAGGTATCAGGCAGGGTGGGAGGAAGGAGGAGGCTGGGAACTCCAAGGAAAGGAAGCGGTGGGAAGGAGCTGAGGTGCATGTACACCAATGCCAGGAGCATGGGTAATAAGCAGGAAGAGCTTGAAGCTCTCCTGGGGATAGGAGAGTATGACCAGGTGGGGATCACGGAAACTTGATGGGATGAAAGACAAGACTGGATTGTAAACATAGAGGGGCACCACCTGTTTAGAAAGGACAGGAAGGGAATGAGGGGCGGGGGCGTAGATTTATATGTCATGGAAGGGACTGGATGCAGTGAGATAGAATGCAGCGCAGATGGGGATCTGGTAGAGGCAGTCTGGGTGAAACTTAGGGGTTTTGACAGGGAAAGAGACCTGACAGTGGGGGTATGTTATTGCCCTCCAGATCAACTTGAGACCCTGGATGATGTCCTGACAGACCAGATTCTAAGGATATCTTGGGGGAGAGACACAGTAATTATGGGAGATTTCAATCTCCTGGATAGTTGTTGGGAGACTCACTCGGCGGTGACAGCCAGGTCACGTCGCTTCCTAGAAGCTATAGAGGGAGGGTTTTTCACACAGAGGGTCCAAGAGGTGACAAGGGGGGGGAAACATCCTTGACTTGGTCTTGACCAATAGGGAGGAGCTGATAGATGAAGTACAGATTAGGGGAGCTCTGGATGCGAGTGTTCACTCCATCCTTTGCTTTGAGATCAGGGGACTGGGGACATGCAGCAGGTCGAGCACTAGAAGCTGGGACTCCAAGAGGGCCAACTTTGGCCAACTGAAGGCCACACTGGGGAAAGTCTCCTGGGAGAGGTTACTGGAGGGTAAGCGAGTTGAGGAGGGGTGGCTAGCACTCAAAAGGGAGGTTTTGGAGGTGCAAGCCTTGACGATACCTCTAGTCAGTAAGGTGGGGAGGCAGAGGAAAGTGGCGCCATGGATGCGAAAGGAGGTGGTTAGAAGGATTAGACAAAAGAGGAACCTCCATAGGAATTGGGTACTGGAGGAAATAGACAAAAGGGTGTACCAGGAGGAGGAGGCCTGTTGCAGAAGGGTTGTTCACAAGGCTACGGCTGATTACGAGCCGAGACTTGCCAAGAATATCAAGAGCAACAAAAAGGGCTTCTTTCAGCATGTAAATAGAAAGAGGAAGGGGAGACAAGTGGTGGGATCACTAAATAAGGAGGAAGGAGATCCAGTGACTGGTATGAGGGAACAGGCACAGATGCTAAATGCAAAATTTTGCCTCTGTGTTCTCCCCAAAGCAGGATGGGGGATATCTGCATAGGAGTTTAGATGAGGCTGGGGACTTAGGAGCACAGATTAGAGTCACCCCCCCTTGAAGTCGAGGGGCTCCTCAGGGCATTGGACATTACAAAGGTGCCAGGCCCTGACGGGTTACACCCAAGAGTACTTAGAGAGTTGGCAGGGGTTCTCTCCCGCCCTCTGGCCTCCATTTTTGAGACCTCATGGAGAACAGGTGAAGTTCCCGAGGACTGGTGGGTGGCATCAGTGGTCCCAATTTTCAAAAAGGGTAATCGAAGGGACATGCGGAATTACAGACCTGCTACCTTACATCCATTGTAGGAAAAACAATGGAAAGGCTCATAATAGAGAGAGATCTAGTGATGGGAGGCTGACAGCCGCACAACACGGTTTCCGCAAAAACAGGTCCTGCCAGACAAACCTTGTGGAATTCTATGACAAGGTTTCGAGGTGGCTGTATGGAGGGGATGCAGTGGATGTGGTATACCTGGATTTCAGCAAGGCCTTTGACAAAGTGCCCCATGATATCCTGGTGGAAAAACTGAGGAGTTTTGGGATACACCAAAGCACTGTCCAGTGGATTAGGGCATGGTTGACTGACCGAAAGCAGAGGGTAACCAGTAGTGGGGAATCATCAGGATGGTGGCCAGTGACAAGCGGGATCCCCCAGGGCTCTGTCCTGGGGCCGATCCTGTTTAATCTTTTCATTAACAACATGGAATAAGGGGTGAACAGTCTGCTGATCAAATTCGCAGGCGATACTAAAACTGGAGCAGTGGCCACAACTGAGGAGCAGGTACTCCAGATCCAAAAGGATCTGGACAGACTATGGAAGTGGACAGGAGACAACAGGATGGCGTTCAATGTGTATAAGTGCAAGGTCTTGCACTTGGGGCATAGGAATAGGTGTCATAAGTACAGGACTGGGGACAAGTGGCTGGAGAGCAGCACTTGTGAAAGGGACCTTGGGATACTTATTGACTGCAGGCTGAACATGAGCCAGCCGTGTGATGCGATGATCAAGAGGGCAAACGCCACCCTTGGTTGCATAGCCAGAAGTGCGGCTTCTAGATCGAGAGAGGTATTCCTACCACTCTACACGACTCTGGTGCGCCTGCAACTGGAGTATTGTGCTCAGTTTTGGGCCCCTCATTAACGAAAGAATATAGCCAGGTTGGAGTCAGTGCAGTGTAGGGCCACAAGGTTGGTGGCCGGTTTGCAGGGGATGGGGTATGAGGCGAGACTGAGGGAACTGGGTCTCTTCAGCCTGGAGAAGAGGAGACTCAGAGGGGAAATGCTGGCGACATACAGGTATGCGAGGGGATCTCACACAGAGGTGGGTAGAGACCTGTTCTCCCCTGCAGAGGAAGGCAGGATGCGCTCTAACGGAGCAAAGCTCAGGGAGCCAAGGTTCCATTTGGATGCCAGGAAGCACTTCCTGACAGTCAGGACCCCGAGGGTGTGGAATGGGCGTCCACGGAAGGTTGTTGTGGCCCCATCGGTGCGGGTGTTCAAAGATAGGCTGGACCTGCACATGATGGGCATGTTGTGAGCAGAGCCGGGTGGTGCCGGAGGGCAGACTAGATGGCCCGGAAGGACCCTTCTAACTCGCTCTATTTCTATGTTTCTGTGTTAAGCCCGATGCTTGCAGGCGACCCCGAATGCACTGTGGGTGGCTGGGCGTCCTGTAAGCTCTGAGCCCTTCTTTCTCTTGCTGCAGGAGAGCCTGGCGCCAAAGGAGAAAAAGGAGACAAGGGGATCGGGATCATGGGAGAGGCGGGGCCCCCAGGCCCACAAGGTAAAGGGCCTCTCCCCCGTGTGCGGGCTCCCTCTCGCAGGGGCCCACCTTCATGGGGCCTTGCTAACGTGTTGAAGCTTCCTGAAGATCAACATTGCTGGTCTGGTTCTTTTGCAGATTGGGGGTTATGGGTCCTACTTAGAGTAGACCCTTTGAAATCAATGGGAAGTCATGGCAAACTCAATTCCCCGATTTTAGTGGCCTTCTCCAGTATGAATAAGCCTGCATCCAGCTCCAGCACTGCGGTCCAGATTTACTCAGAGTAATCCCCGTTGGATTCAGGAGCTTGCTCCAGGGGATCCCATACCAGATTGGAGCCCTTGTGCTACCATTCCATTCTCTGCACATTTTAGCGCGGGTTTTTCTGAACCTTTTCACGCACGCTTCATGAAGCGAGCATTCCCATCTCGACTCGCGAGGGAGGGGCTGGTGGATTGTTCCGCGCGAGTCAATGCAGGGTGGCTCCCTTGTGCAGACGCTCGAGACGCATTCAAATGCGGTGGCGGCACCTCTGCGCAGCAAAGGGCAAAGGAGCCATGCTGGCTCCCCTCTGCAGGGAGGCGTCCCCTCTTGGGCCGCTGGCTCGCTCCCGGTGCACCCCTCTCGAGCTGCAGTGGATGGTCGGGCAGTGAAAGCCTCCTTTTCCCTGGCATGCGGCCGCAGGGCCAGGGCCAGCAGTTGGCGTCGCTGGGCACTGGCCTGAGCCTCGGGCCGGGGCCAGGGTCGGGGCCCGCCACAGTACTCTCCCACGCTGGAGGGGGCCTTTGGCACTTCACAGGCGGAGCACCTGCCTGCGTATCTGGTTCGATTTTTAGATTGGCAAATCAGCGAGTGCGACGCGTGAGCAGCATCACATACCTGTGAAGGAACAAGGGTCCCCAGCCTGGGCCTTCCTACCGTTGGCAGAAGTGGGGAGGGCAAACAGTGTGCAGAAAGGAGAGGGTGGGGGGAGAGAGATCCTTTGTGCTTTTGAATGGCATGAAATGCCCCGCTCCACCATGCTCTCCTTTCTCTCTGCAGGGATCCAGGGACCGCCCGGGTACGGCAAGCTCGGCCTTCCGGGGCCTATGGGACAGCAGGGAATTCCAGGCATCCCGGGCCCCCCAGGAATGACAGGGCCTCCTGGGAAAGAAGGTCGCTGCAACCCTTCGGATTGTTTCGGCATGATGCCCCTGGAGCAGCCCATGTACCAGCCCAAAAGCATGAAGGGGCCTTTAGGCTGAAGCACGCTCTCCTCCTTTCCAAACGGGACTCCACTGGGAATAGCCAAAGAGCTGGTCTTCGCGACTGGTCGAGGATGATTGTTTTTTCATTGTTGTTAATATTTGGACTATCGTTTTCTTCAGGGGGTTCAACCTCTCATGATGGCATTTTTAAAAACCTCCACCACCACCAGTCTGCATGTGTTTCTGTGCTTGCATGCCTTGTGTTCGAAAGGGGAGTCACTCTTGTCATTTCTGGACAGCAAAATACATCTCAGAAGGATGCTTCAGCCTTTCAGTTGCGATGGGCAGGCCTCATACATTATTTCCATAACTTTCCCATTGATTAGGTAGTAATGATTGTTCTTTCAATGGTACAGGCAGGCACGATCCACCAGGAAGTTCCAGGAAGAGCGCAAGGACGTGGAGGAGTGGCAGCTGTTGTTTCAGTGGAACTCATGTGGGAAGCATCCTAATAGAGTTTCTTTTTAGCATGAGTTTTAGTTGCTGTTGGGAAGCTTAGGGGGTAGATTTAGAGGGAGAAAGTTCCACAGTGGCATGAACAGCACAATTCCATGCATGTCTTCTCTGAAATACACTGTCTGAATTTAGCAGGCCTACTCCTGGGTAAATGTTGCAACCTCCCAGCACAATTCTGTGCAGGCGTACACAGAATGGGTCACATCTCGCCTGGTGAGGCAGAGTGCCCAGCCATTGTGCTTACACACTTACTTAAGAGTAAGTCCCATGAACTCAACAGGCATTACTTCTAAGCTGAGATGCTTAGGATTGCACTGTAAGGGATTCTTTTAAAGGGTTTCTCCTCACTATCAAGTAGTATACTATTCATGGATTTCTTTTTTTAAAAATGGTGGATGCTGAAAATACTGACAGGTTTGAAGTCTTAGAAATGTCTGTGCCTTAGCTATTCTGTCTTCTGCAGCTAAAAATCTAAGGAGCTCATAAAACTAAGCATCAGCAGAAAAATCTGTCGTACGAAGGTAGTGGTGGTGTTTTGGGGAGGTGGGATCATTTTGTGCATTTTGGTGTAATTACAGTTTTTTAAAATCTCCTAAATTCTATTTTCTTCCATATCTATTTTATGAAATGTGAAATGCATGGAAGGCAGGAGTGCTATACGTTGATTTTATTGCAAGCCGTCACTCTTCTTTAATATTACTGAAGCATCCATTGTGTATATATATATATATATGGGAGAGAGACCCAAAGAAACCTGAACAAAGCATTATGTCCTTCTAGCTGCTGGCACCAAAAGGCTTTAGAACTGAAAGACCCTGGCAAAACATCTCTTGGGGCGGAGAGGTACAGCTTTTGTTGTCCCCCCCCCCCAGCCCCTACTTGCCGCTTGGGGACACTGACACACGTGCAGATTAAAGCTTTTTTGCTTGAGAATGTCCTGTGGGGGGCGGGGGGCGGTCAGACCGTGTTCCCAAAGGGAGAAGCCTGCAGGCCCCCAGTCACTCTCCTTCCGCTGCAGTGCAAGCTGGGCAGGTTGCCCCCCCCCCCCCGGGCTTCTGGATGCAGAACTCTCCAGGAGGGAGGGGTGGTGAGTGTCTGGAGCATCAGTGGGAGCCATGAAGCAGGTCCAGCTGCAATCGTGGTCCAGGGGGTGTATGCAGTGGAGAACCTACCCCTTTCCCAGGGGCTAGCCGCCCTCCAAACTATTTAAATAAATGGTGCCTTTGTTTCCTAATCAGCCTTCAGCTCCTATTCCTTTCAGCCTTTGGCTCATAGGCCAGGATTCTGTTTGCCCAGGGACCGGCTGCCCTGATGCCTTTTTTCTGAGGAGCAAAGGGACTCTGCGATGACCAGCCTCCCGTTTTAAATAAAATGAGGCAAGGGCTGCAACTGGAGATGACGGCAACTGAACTGTCTAAACTTGAGACTCCCTTTCAAAAAGTGGGGGGCTGTGTATGTGTGTGTGAGAGAAGAGAGCTACCCAGTTCGGCCAGCCATTGCTGAACAGGAAATTAGATTGTGCAAGAGATGTCTGGCCTGGCAGCGAGGTGTGTGAAAAGGATCTTGGCGGTGCAGTCGGTCACGAGCTGCACGTGGGTGATCCAGGTGATGCAACTGCAAAGAGGGCAAATACGATTTGAGGCCGTGCCCACAGGAGCGTAGCTTCGAAATCGCAGGAAGCGGTTCTTCAGGGTCTCTTGCATCACATTCATGGGCCCTTTGCCCGCCATGTGACACCTCTAATTCTAATGACAGATGCAAAACTTCTCAAGTGGGGAGCCCACAACAGAACTTTAATCATTCAGGGCAGGCGGCCCGTTGCAGAGACGAAATGTCACTCCAACCGCCTTAAGTTATTAGGATGTGGAAAACACTGAGGGTGTTCAAGCCAACATTTCATGGATGAAATGTTGGTCAAATACTGACCGACAACGTTACTTGAATCAAAAGCAGGGCTCAGAATCAGTTCAGCTAACCAACTGCTCCCGCCAGTTGTTTGAGGAATCACTCTAGAGGAATCACATTTTCAGCTCTCCAGATTGCCGGCCAAAACATTACTTGCTGCATCAATGAATTGGTGGCATCTCATGAGTGGCAGCTTGACGGCAGCCTTTTCAGTTACTGAGTGGCAGTTCTTGGCAGCTTTTCCCTTACTGGGACAACTCCACGGTAGACCCGTTCACAGTGAAGAACAATGAGGCGGGCAGGGATTTCTGCGGCAAAGCAGGTGTGGCTCAAGCTGTCTGGGGATGTCATCTTTCTCCGCTGGGTGGGAGAATTTTTCTACCTGCTCCCCATTTCTGCTTCTCACCTTCAAAGATCCAGGTGGACTCCACAGCCTACAGCCTAACAGTCCCTGGATGGCCACAGCAGGCTTTGCTCACTCCCTTCCTTCAACTGTACCAAGAAGAATGTGTACAATTGCACAGATCCTGGACTTCCTGACTCTGGACTAAGGCAGCATCTGGCACCTGGACCTTTGGACATTGCAGCAGATCACATGGTGCCTTCATAGAATCATAGAACAAGAGAGCTGGAAGGGGCCATGGAGGCCATCGGGTGCAGCCCCCTGCTGCTGCAGGACGCCAAGCCACACCATCCCACTCAGGTGGCTGCCCAGTTTCTTCTTGAATGTCTCTAGCGTGGGAGAGCCCCCCACCTCTCTGGGCAGCTGGGCCCACTGCTGTACTGCTCTGGCAGTGAGGGGACTTTTCCTGATCTCTGACCTTAATCTGGGTTGTCGCAGCTTGAGTTGCAACCTGATTCCATGTCTTACACTTTGGTGTGGAGGATGTGAGTTCTTCAAGGTGGCTACCTGAAGAATTACCGTTACGGGAAAGTAATCTACCTTTCTTCACTGCTTGGTTGGAACTCGCTTCAAATACAAGGATTAGTTCTGCACTCCACATAGCAAAAAAATGGAACCTATTCAGAAGAGGGCAACCAAGATGATCAGGGGACCATGTACCAAGGCCAAGAAGGAAGAGAGAACAAACCGGATATGCGTATGAGATGAATTGGGGAACTGGAGTAGGTTCCTTGCCTCCCTTACGATGGTGTCCTCAACTACTCATGGGGCTCTTGTGATGAGATCCATACCCCGCAGAGTTCTGTCTGGAAGGAGATCCGGAGGGCTGTCGAACAGGGCCGGGAGGACCAAGCTGTGTCTGAGCACCTCTGGATTTGTCCGGAGATGAGCAAGACTTCTCGCCCAATGGAGGCAGCTGTGGCGAAGCAGCCCACCCCAACCACCCAACTCAAACCACAGTGGACCTCGCACAGCCTGCCAGTGCTCACTGGCCAGACAACTGCGGCCCTGAGTGCCCAGTGGGAATTCTGTCCTTGCCCTCGGCCTGGTTCCACTAGGGACGGGTTGGCAGGTAGCACCCCTTGGGGGTTTCTGTTTGGAGGCATTGGGGGAGTGTGGCATCTTAAGGCAGGCAGGGCAAGAGTTGGGGGTATAGCATGCCAAGCCGGGTTTGGACCAGAGCATGGCCCGGGGGCCCGGGGGCAGCCACCCTGCTGAAGCGGAGCAGGTGAGGGCTTGGTTCGTGCCCGGAAGGGGGCCCATAGTCATGACGGAAGCAAGGTAAGCTATCCATGCAAAACTCAGTAGATTATTTTCTCAGGTGAGAGCTGGGAGGAGAGGAGGGACAGGCATGGAGTGCGGAGGACAGGAAGTGGGCAAGAGCAGGCCTCAGAGCTTTCCCCGGCCCTTACCATCGCTTCAGTCTGGGACTCCTCACTCTTTGGGCCAGCAGGCATATGTGGCCTTTTGGGAGTGCGGCTTCCCTGCTCCTTCAAAACAGATGGCACGGGGGGCACTATCCATCGCTGCACCCTCATTTCCCAGAAGGCAAACTGGTGGCTGGTCCACGAACTGCAGCGGCATCAAGCTCAGAGCGACCAAGCCCCTCCTCTGAACCTGAACACAGATGGTGCCAGGGGCAACTCTCTGCTTTCAGGTATTTCATCTTTCCTGTGAAAAATTACGTTTCTCTTTAAAAATCAAGGGACAAAATCCAGCATGGTCCGGGGCCCAAAGATGAGATGACGGGCACCAAGCTGGGGAGCGTGAGAGAAATGGACCCGCTTGCGGCATTGCGCCACGCTTTCAGAGTCCCCTGCACTTGGCTGTGATTCATTATTTTAATGGTGATGCTTTCCAGATGCCCCAGAAGCCTGCAAAGCAAATAATGCATCACAAGCATGCCTGTGAAGGGTCGGTCTCTTTTTCCCAAGCACAGTCCTTTCCTGCAAGGACTTGGGGGTGAACTGCTGTTAGTCTCAGGATCAACGAAAATCCTCTGAGGCTGGTGATGGCAGTAACGGGGGCTCAATCGGCATCCCACTATTTGTACCCCACTACTGCAACTCTGAGTTTGGGGGCCCTTGGTCCACAGCTGGCATGTGGCTTCTTTTCTCAGCCTGTTTCTAAATCGGAGCCTCTTGACTTCCAAGCCAAGAAAGGATAATTTTGATGAGGTCATGTGGGCTTCTGAGCTGTACAGAATTCTGCCTCAAGCTGCTTCTCCAATATTCCAGATGTCCAGATCCTTCAAGATACAGGGAAAGCCAGTGAGGTGCAGTGGTGAGAACGTTGGGCTGGGATCTGGGAGACTCAGGGTCTACTCGTAGTCCCTGCTCAGCCATGGAGCTGGCCTGGTGATTCTGGGCTGGTCACAGACACTCAGCTCATCCTTCCTCCAG